TTGTGATACTTCTGAACCTCTTTGTCCTTCACCATTTTTTGATATATATATATATATAAATATATATATAAATGTTTTTTCTGAACCCACATTAGGTAAATCCCAGAAATCGTCAGTCTTGTTACTGAGAAACTTCTCAACATTCTTTGTCACAGTGTCGTACTTCCTGTGATGACCTTGAGGCAGCTTAATTGTGATACTTCTGAACCTCTTTGTCCTTCACCAGTATTTGACGGGGCAGTGTGCAGCAGCTGCAACAGATTGCCCGTTGCATGACTTTTTTTGACAATCAAATTTGACCAAAGAATAAAAGGCATTCCATATACAGTTCATACGATTGTTTGTCCCTTGAATGAATTCGTTACTCAAGTTTGTGATTTTCTTTATTTAAAAAATATGATTTTGTAGTTGATGACATTAGTGTGAGTGGCATGTCATTGTTGAAATAATATTGAAGCTAAAAACAATAATCCATTCATTCAGAGTCCTACTGAAATAAACAATATGGAGTAATACCTGTGTTCAGTATCCATCTTATCTGGTGACCGTCTGTAGAGGAAATCAGTTCAAGAAAAATGTACATTGTGTCCATGAAGGGCTCTACATGGCCTTTAATAAATTCTAATGTAAGTCATTATCTTCCTACAGATCTGTCGTGCCTCATAAAATGGATACTATACTGTACAAATTCATGCATATAATCTCTGTAACAATGATCCTACATACCATGTCAGCAGAAAGTACTTCACCTACCCATGATCACATAGCGGCTGTGTTGTGTCTCTTGTAGAGCGTGTGCATTAGTCTCCCTTGCAATGGTTCAGAGACACACACTGCACATGAGGACACCTTCTCAGGCATGCCGAGACCCACTGTGAGCCACGACAGTGAGCCTGAGGATGCTCGAGTTGAGGAGGAGTCATGTGATCAGGAAGAGGTTGTAGTTTTTGAGACCTTCTCGGTGCCCGCCGTAGAGGTGGAGATGGTGCAGCTGCCCGCCTCCCTCGGCCGCTGCCGTAAGGCTTTGGATGGGACCCGGGAGGAGGAAGAAGGATCGTGTCCAGAAGTGTCGGTGCGCTCTGGGAAGATAGTCGGATCTTCCCCAGCTTCCTGTTTCAGGAGCGATGGTCCCCAGGTCGTACGCTGCTTCCAGGTAGCCCCCCCCCCAGGGTGACGCTGAATCCGCCTCTGCTCGGCCTCTGAATGATTTCAAGGCTGGCACTCTTAATCACTCCTTTGCAGCACCGTAACAAATCACAACTTGTGAATCTCTTACCGGCTAAGTACCGGGTGAATTTTGCTCATCATTCAGAGGTGTTGCACAGTGGTGTGTTCTCAGCTATGGTGATGGGTTACAAATGTTCTGTTGTACACTTTGACTTTACTTTCATCATCTTTGCAAACCCAACGTATGGCTTTCCGTCTCCTTGTTTCTTTTCAAGTAGTTGGTGGCGGGAAGGAAAATAACACGATGATTCTGTTGCTTCCAAAAAAGTCGTAAGGACATTTGGTGAACTGGCTGTTGCCGTGAAAGTGACTTCACGCAGACGATGGCTTTAGGAAGAATGCAATGGTGTAAAACAAGTTGGTTGCTGTGAGGTGTGAGGTGTCTGGTTAAACAGCCACTCGTGGGGCTATGCTCCCATCCACAGCCCCCTCTGGTGCAGACCCAGACAGTCACCATCACAGCTGTCTCCGCCTCCTTACCCAGTGGCATCTCCACCACGGAGGTCCCTATCGTCCCGACCAAGACCTTCATCTATGAGTCGTCAAAGGTAGGGGCTCCAGCAGCTGCTCAGCCCAGATGTGTCTCGGCTGTAGACGGTCTGTTTACTTGGAGGAGTCTTGGGAGGAACCAGGCCGGCGCCTCCAGAATGAGAATATAGCAGCACTGCACCTTCCCTGGCTGAAGCTCACGGTCACATTATCTCAAAAGGATTACTCAGTCTCCCCGTTATTTTAAATTCTCAGGTGGCAGTTGATGGGACAGACGAGGACAAAGACAACACAACCGCGTCCAGCTCCAAGACCGTAACCTCAGAGAGCACCAGCGGCACCACAGTCACTACCACTCGCATCTCAAAGGTTAGCATTGGAATCCTGCTTTGTGCTGATTTTTTATTTTCATTTTATGTCGCCTCTTAATTCTACGTTTTCTTCCCACCACCAGGTAGTGAAAAGCGGATCTTCTGAGACCCGCGTGGAGAAGAGAATCGTCATAACCGCCGACTCTGACATCGACCAAGATAAGGTACAAAACACTGCCCGGTTGTGTCAAAAGTTGCCATTAAGTATCACCTAATGAAAATGAGGACAATTGTGACTTTACTAATTCATATTAAGTCTAATACAAGTGCGCTTAATGTCTGTCTTGCAGGAGAAAGACGGCGGAGCATCAGTATTGTAACTGAATCACCAGCTCCGTCTACGCACACATATCCAAACAACATGCCCTGAATCTGCACCTACTATTATGGATGATTCAGTAGATGCATCTTAGTAGATCCTCTTTGTTTGTTTATCAGTTGTAGGTAGAGGAGGGCTCCACAGTGCTCGAGTTTGATCAAATGCTTATCTCATCCAGGTGTCAACAAAGCTTAGTGAAAAATTATTGGTAAAAAAAAAAAAAACCCAGCATTTTCAGTTCTGTTTGCTTTTAAATGCTTTTATTTCCTTCGTGGTTTTTACATTAATTTTATAAACAATGCACTGTTTTCATTCTAGTTTACACACCATCAGCATTTATTCCCTTGGTGCTGCGGGGAACGTTAAGACTACATTCAAGGGAATTCTTTTTTTTTTTGTTGTTTACTTGTCTATTTAATTCAGGAAAGGCATTTTTTTTTTTTTTGAATGGCATTACATACCTTGCATAGAAAAGTGGACAAAGATTTGGACAGTTGCTTTGCTCAGTTCACTGCTCAGGTACAGAAACCTAAACATATTCTCTTTCCTAAACCAGCAGCCTACACATTGTTGTAAAGTCTAAATTAAAAAAATGGATCTATTTTGAAATAATTCTCTATTTTATAGAATTAATGCTTTTCTAGTATTTGTACAAATTTGAGGTTTTTAAGTTATTCATCCATCTGCTCATTAAATTGAAGGTTACCACTGTGCTGTTTACTGAATTCTGAGGTCTCTGCTCTGAGGCTCTGAATCATTCTTATTCGTTTCCTCTTGTAGTCCACCAAGTTTATCAAACCTTTCACAATGTCCACATGACAGGGGAGCGCATGCTTCAGTCCTATGTTTCGTTCAGTAGCATAGAACTCATAATTGCTTTGAATATATTTGGTTGGTAAGAAAAGCTCTGCAAGCTTTGGTCTGTTTAACTCAGGTTTTGATATTATTTGTAAGACTACAGACCTCCTTCTGATTGTACGAGGAATGTCCATATATATGTATATCCATCCCGACTTTAAATGTACATTCATGTTCAGCCAAGTGAGGTCAATAAATACAAAGCTCGTCTGTCACAATAACCACGCTTGTAAGGGGTGAAGGCAGCTGTCCCAGTATGTGTGGCGCGTCTCTCTCATAGGAGCACAAGTTGTCTTTTTTACATGTTCTACTATACAGTAATTTATTTGTAAAGTAGGAAGTGTCTTGTGTGATTTGATGTACTCTGATGTTTCGACACGCGCTGGTCTCCAGGCTTCCACTAGAGATGTCACAAGTATTGCATTAATTATCACCCGAGTTTGTAAAGCCTTTTTACCACATAGTCCAAGTAGATCGCTCTCTCACTGTTTCTTGTGCTTTTCCATAGAAGAGAAAATGCTTTAAATATATGAATTCCTTTTAGATAGCATGTTTGTTAGCAAACTTCTTTTTTTTTTTTTTTTACCCAAAAAGAAGCCATTGGTATTGTAGCTACATGAACAACAGAAACCTCGCCTGGAAGAAAATGTAGAATTTCACAAAAAGAAAATAGTTTTTAGACGATGGAAAATATTGTTGCTTCGTGACTTATCCCTGTCTTTTTATGGAAAAATAAAAAGTGCATTACTCTGCAGTCTGTGTGTGAAGCATACCATTCTGAACGTATGAAAGAGATCTTGGTAAGAAATAAATATTTAATGCCATTCACAGTTGATGTTGCTGCATGTCCAATCAACACCAAACTCTTGAGATGAAACTATTGTAATATACTATCATGTTACATTTGCCTAAACAATCGAGTACAAACAGTCTCTGAACTTTAAGGAAACTGAACAGCCGAATAATAAAATTTAAATCAAGCATAGTTCCATTTTCTTCCTCTAATTTGATATTCATTGTTTCTTGGAACGAGCACCTGATCAGTTACACTCATTGCTGTTTTCAAATAGAATCCTTAATCTTTACAGCATAAAATACTACATGAATATGATTTAATGTTAACTTTCAAAAGCATGGGTTGACCATATCACTGATAAGGCAAACCTGTCGAAAGCACACCGCAGGAGTTGAAGCCACGTTGAGGAGGAAACAACCCTAACATGTGCAAAGACGGATAGACATCAATTAAAGTTCAACATTATGAGGAGATTGACCCTTTGGAACCAGTTACATGTTTAATACAGAAACAATAACCTGCTCAACTGTACGGTGTTTCGATAAATGAGGAAATGTTTGAATCTGAAAGTGTCTAGGTGAGTTTGGGAAACTGTACAGGCATTCATTGGGATTATATAATCCATTCCTTCCAACAAGCAGACAGCGAGGTCTTTCAGTCCATCGTGTTGTTCTAGCGAATCGTCTTGACTGGGCTCTTGAAACTTGACGCAGCCTGAAGTTGGAGTTGATAAGCCATTGGGTGAATTTTGAAACCATATAGCCTGGAAGAAGAAAAAAGAAACACAATCACCTCCTGGACAAAAGGAAATGTCTTTTTACAAAGGCGGAGTATTGTATGACATCTTGCGATAACCGATATACCAGAACTGCGTTTCAGTACAGATACCTAAACAGGACACATGTGACCAGGTAATCAATGTCAACCTGTAGTACTTCTTCAATATTGAGCCCGACTAAGGTCGGAGGGAAACGTGTCTTCTATACGCCAACCACTTAAAGGAGCAGTGTGATGAATACACAGCAATGACTATTATATTCCATTTTTGCCAATAAAGCCCCAAAATCCTACACATTAAAACATACTAAGAAAAGCACGGCACTAATAAAAACAAATAACTCAAACACACCGTGGCACAAACTGGTTGGCTGGTCGCTTTGAACGATACTCTGGGTGCACCATGAACAGCATGTGGGGGAATCCGGTCCCAAAATAGGCTCCATCAGTGTGGTGGTGTCTGGAGGATTTGGGGGTGTAAACATCCATGCACTTTGGGCAGTAAAGCTTCACCATTGCTTCTCCGGGGATGTCTGACAGACCTACATCAGACAAGGGATGGTTGAGTACGTCTTCATAGCCACTGACAACGGTACAGCGTGAATTTGTCACCGACTTACCGATAGGAAGCATTGGTTGATTCTCGCAGTAGACTCTGGGGCAATAGCCAAAATCCCCTTGTTGATACTTTTCCAACTATGGAGAACAACAACTTTAGAAATCTCCATTGATTCATGCCATGAAGCATGTCAGAATGTGAAATCATGAAGTGATAGCCTACCATCTGTGCAATGCCTCTGTTTGTGAGGATGTAACGTGCATGTATGAGCCCGTAGAGCATCTCTGCTGCCTGCTCTATCAAGTCACTCTGATTGGGGTTATCTTCAAGCTCCTCATCTGTCAGATTAAACGTTATTAAAGGCAGTTAAAAAAGGGGACTCTACTTTATTTCCACATCACGTGGGAACCGCTACTTCCTTGATATTCTCACCTGGCTCCAGGTCCAGAATCATGTCCAAAGCCTGCCGATAGTGAGGCACCTGCTCATTCAAACCGGTCAGGTTGAACTTGTCCTGTATGTAGTCTTCATCCACCTGTAACACACCATTGGAGACAATGAATGGCTATCAATGGCGTTATTTACTGATGCAAGCAACATCCCATTGCTACAGCACATTAATAAGGAAGCGTTATGCAAGAGCTTAACAGGATTATTTAGATGCTGCCAATGATAACGCAAGGAGTTCAAATTAGAATTGGATTGTGTGAGTGCTAAGCTAATTAGACATGTTACGCATTGATGCCTACATGCCTAGTACTTCTTACTGTAACAGTTTTTTCTTTCATATTTGAGTGATAAGGTCCAATGTGAATTCAGTGGAACAGATTAGTAGCAAACAGCAGGGAAGTGGCTGTAATAGGGAAGTGTTGAACATCCTCTGACAAATATAAAATCATATCCCTCATCACAAAGCAAAAGCAACAACTTTAGAAATAAAAATACATGTATATTGTTTAGTCCATGTGGCTTGTGTAAAGAATACATGTTTCCAGCCAGATATGAAACTGTCACACTTAGATACATGTCTTAAGTACTTAAGACAGCATTACTATTTTTTTTAATATTTATATATATTTATATATATATATATAAAAATGTAGATGCTATCTGCAGGTGTTCAGGGCTATACAAATGTGAGACAGTACAAACCCAACTTCCAAGTACATTTATTTTTTCATTGCAACCATAAAAATACAGCTAAGATTAAACAGTGTTTTCTCTGGCTATATATACAGATTTTTGCTTCGTCAAATACATTTTTCAGACTTATTTTAAACCGTTTTGATATATACTTTTTAAATAAAATTGATTTATTTTCATTATTATAGCCGATTGTTGTAAATGACTGTAAAAGTAATACTTTGTAAAGGGTGTATTTTGTTTTTTGTTTCAAAACCAGCGAAATCTTTATTAAATCAAATGAATGACAAATAGGATGTATGCAGAGAACTGGTGCTCACGTGACTCCTTTACGTTCATTAGAACCTATTTACGGCAGCTGACCTGTCGTGACAACAATGGGTGTTCCCACTAAATGTGGCCAAATAAATTCCAGTTTAAAAACAATGTGTGGACCAACCTCACAGAAGAACTCATTCCCTCTGAGTCCACAGAACCAGGAGATCCAGGACACCTCCTCCGAGCTACTCATCCTCCTGACGAACCAAACCAGTCAATGGACCGATGTTAACGCTGTGGCTAGCGGCTAAACACATTCACTTCATATGAGATGTAACGTTTACGAACACAGATTAGATATTTTACAGCTTAGTTGCAACAAACCTGATCTGTTATCTCGCGGACTTTGAACGAGACATTTGATTTTATTGTATAATTTAAAGCAAACCGTGAGTTTGCGTCTCAGACCTGCTGCTAACGTTAGCTTGCTTGCTAGCGTCCCTTGGCTATAACACGTATAGTACGTAGAGTGTGGAATTTATTCTTGTAACAGCAATATGTAGTCAACGTTAGAGGTACTGTTTCCTGCATGTGTATAATTGTTTACAGAGAGTCACTTTTACTCACCTTTATTTCTATATTAGTTAACACATCAACTTGCAAGCTTAGCTAGTTTATCCTCGTTTAGCTCCCTGGATAACAAATACGTCTTCCGGTCGGTCAAAGTTTTCAAAATAAAGTTCCTCATGACGCATATTCCCATAAAATACTGCCGAGAGAGAAAATGTGGCTGATTTTGTTAAGAACATGAACAGAATACAAATTTATTTTCATTCACTTTAATGAATTTCCAACAAAACTACCATTGAATTTATGCTTTGAATCATGGCTTTCACCTTGTATAAAACGGTGCTATTCCTATATTGTACATATTATGGTATTTTGTCTGACACGATAATGGTCATGTAGAGTCCAGATATGAATCGGCCCTGTGTTCTATTTAATTAAGTAGCTAAAGCAATATCATATGGATTAAGCAGGCTTTGGTAGTCCACTATATCCAAAGCATTTCATGTAGATTCCATTTCTTCATAATGCACATTATACAGTATGGTTGGTGTTTTGTTTTTTCTATTGACATGGATTTTAAAGATTTGGGTTATATTTAAATCTGAAAAAAGTAATCCCTCCTGGGATGAAGAGCTCTTTCAAGGCAGATCAGAAAAGGTTTTGCGACGAGGTGGTGCAACATCTTTGTGCTCCTGCTCCTTTCCCATGCCTTCAAACATCAAGATCCTTAAATGAAGAAAATGACATGTCAGCTGCTATACAGGACATTACACGTATACAGTATAGAGAGTACTACTGTTGCATTAAACAATCATCTACTAGGTTCTTTATAAAAAAATGTAGCCAATATTATTAACAACTGTAATCATTTTTCAGGTTTTAATTGAGATTGAGAAACTACTTTTTTAAATTAAAAATAAAAATGTTATCGGCTATATTCACTATTGTATCAATAGAGGCTTCATAATTTTTTTTTTATAATTTGGAGACTTAATCTCCGCTAACTCTAATCCTCATGTGACCCATCTTTGGGTCTCCACCCATTCTCTGAATGTATTCACTTACAGTTTTAGAATTCCATTTCTTTTTCCCAGCATCATATTCAGGAAGTCACTGTAGCTGAGGGTGTCTTTCGATGGCCCTCCAGCGACCTCTGCCATCATCTTTTTCAGCTCTAAGTGAGTCTTGGCCAATCCGAGTTTTTCCAGCATTTGTTTTAACCCCATTAAATCTATAAAGTTGATCGTTCAAAGACAGAAAATAACTAAAAAAGTGCTTATCTATATAAAATCTGTGAATATGATCTGACTCACTACTGAAAGCAACAGTTGCAAATTGTAGCAAAAAATATTAAAGATTTGAAGACAAGTGCAATTATACCTAATTCTCCTTTGTCGTTGAGATCAAACTCCATGTATTTCTCTGTAATACAAACAAATGTAATCTCATTTCAAAATGTGTGACACTAAATAAAACAATTAACTGAGGAGCGATTGGTAGCCTTTTGATACTCACTTTTAAACATGTCAAGCTTTGAACTTAGGTCTTCCTCTTCTGCATACTTGGGGTCTGAGAGAAAAGCCTATAGGGCAGTGACACCAAACAATACAAATCAATCAGACATATTATTATTGGTATCACACAGGTCCCATGTGTTTGTGTCCAGCTCCTGTCTGTAGTAAAATAATTCCAAAAGTCAGTTATCTCTAACGGAACACGATGACTTTTTCTAAAGATAACAACTCACCTCATTGATCGAGTCCAGTCTTTCTTCCTGTTGAGACTTGAGAAGACCGTATGCTTTACCTCCTGTGAAATGATGTACAAGACAATATAAAGAACGTGAAATGACAAACAGAGTTAGCAGAAGGAAAGGCAAACTAACCTTGAGCATTGCTGTCCATTCTGTTGACAGTGCTGAGAGCCGAACACGGAAAGTGCGGAAAGCTATGATGGCGTTTCTCTAAATTGAGCGACAAGAGGAAGTGAAGAAACAAAGTTTTGGTTTGCGTTGGTGAGGTTCCTCTGTAGTATTTATGGCTGCAGCAAAGCAGAGGTGTGAATTCACAGTATAACACTCACACACAGCCTCAATTTGATCAGCACAATAAGCTGTGTAATTTATAAGCTCTAATACAGTCTATGTGGAAAAGTGTTACATCTCCACCAGTTTAAAAAAGAAGTCGACATTACAATTAAGGATGGAAGAGGGACGCAGCACTGTGTTGTGAACAGTGAGCAATGCACATTTATCTGCAGAAATAATCTGCTCACGAGGCATGTTTGAATAAAAAGTGATGCATTCACACCTATGCAGTTGCATGCATAGAGCAATGCATGTCTGCCAGTCACTGAGCAGCTCCACTGGAGTGGTTGCTGGTTGAATGCCTTGTTCAAGGGCACCTCAGTAAAGATAATTCGGGAGGAGCAAGTGCTGCTCTTTAACATATCCAACTCAAATTTAAACGTGACCTCAATATATTACTTGACAACAACATGTGCTCTTATGTTCCGTTTGTCAATTTGATGTAGTGTCTTGTTCTTGCCACATGGGGGCTCTATTGACCACACATTTAGGTACAACGGAACAAAAAACAACATTTGGCTGTGCAGGTAGTGTCATGTGTGACTTAGAGAACTGAGAATAGGTGGAGACCAAAAAAACAAGTCTTGAAGAGAATACAATTGTGTCACTCCAGTTGGCTGCATTACTTAGAAAATGGCACATTTGTATCTACAAGGTCTCCAACTATTAGTTCTGTTAATAGTCAAATCAGAATGCAGAGGTGAGTAGGTCACTGAATTATTACCACATTCGGAATGTATTTTATTGTTTATAGTCAGTTTAACAAAGAAGTATTTGCTTTATACCAACTCTGACTGTTGTTGAACTTAAAAGGTGACATACTTATTTAATAACGGATGTAATATATTTTAATAATCTGCTATTTATTGTAAAATCTTGAATTATCTGGCTTATAGCTATGTAATCTAAAACCCTTTAAACAACGTACTCTGGGTGTTATTCTGAAAGGGATTCTAATCTTGATCTCTTATCATTTTAAAGACATCCTACCAAAGACTGTGTTTGCTTCTAAAGAAGAAGATATAGTTCTCCCCTGCTTTGAGAACTATAGAACAACGAGCTGCTACAGAGTCAAGTTGATTAAGTATGCCACAGATGCCAGTCAGATGAAGGTGATCCTTGCCAGGCCTAAAATACCCAAACTCAAGGATGCTGAACGTGTGAAATGGGATGCTGATAGAAATGTGTCCCTTTTTCTGACAAAAACACAACTATCTGATGAGGGACTGTATGGATGTGAAATCTGGCAAGGCTGGGACTGTATTCATGTCAAAAACATTTCTATAAAAGTGAGAGGTAAGATCACACATTATATTCTCCTAATTTTCACTCTTTTTCAAATAAATCCCACTCCTGTATGACAGAGATCTCACCTTTTTCAGACTGCAAAACCCTTCAAGCAGTGAAAGCATCTCCCGGCTCTCCCGTTAACCTGAACTGCCCAGTGAACGTAACATCAGGACAACAAGGACCGCAAAATATCTCCTGGGCAATGCTGAAAGGAGGTAACCCTAAATCTCTTGACTCTGAGAGGGTTGAAATGAATGGGATGTCATTAGCTATCCAGTCTGTGCATGACAGTGACAGTGGTTGGTATACCTGTAAGCACGTGCTTGGACAAACTCAGCGCTGCTTTGAAATTTACCTGCGTGTCCGAGGTAAGATTTTAAACTATCTTGTATCATCACTGACAACTAAAGACAATATGCATAACTCCTAATAATGTACCTTTTCTATTTCCTTTGTAAAGTGGAAAATGTCACTGTGGCCACAGTTCCAGGTATTGCAGCAAAAACTATAATATTATACAACTTAATCCAACTGTGTCAGTATTCTCCTGTTAAATCTGATGTTGTAAATGCTTAGCTTTGCTTCCTGTCTTGCCCAGGATTAACAACCAGTGAGATTATTCTGGAAACCAAGATGGAGGGGAGCAGCAGAGCATTTATTGCTGTTCTTGTGGCGTCAGTCATTGTTGGGATTGCCATAATGGCTGCACTGATAGGACTATTCATTTACCGCAGGCGGAACACCCGGAGAGTTACACAGCAAACCCAGAGGCACACACCAGGTTTGATCTTCATTAATCTTGATGAGCAATGCAGTGTCGTGGCATATTAGAATAACTTTGTGTGCTCGTGTTGTTAAGGTACTCTTTCGGATGTTTATGAGATTGTGGATCTGACACCTTCAGAGGGTGAGCACCATGTTACTCTCTCACTACCTGTTTTAGTCCAGCTCCTGTGACCTTTCTGTACCATTTCATTGATAACTTTTCAACTTCATCTCACAGATCATACAAACAACTGTCTCTACCAACAATCCCTGGATGAAGGCCTGTGTACTTGTAAGTAGTACTGCTATTATCAAATCCCAACTACTATTATCAAGTCATACTTCAATTTACATCATGTCAAAATAGCCAAATAACAAATTCCTCTCCATCATTGCAGTCCGGTATCAGTAACATCAGTCTGCTGAAGACAAAGAAGAAGATTTTCCTCGTGAAATCAAAGTCCTTAGTGTCTAATCTTGTAAAACATGTAACATTAACTCACCTGCAATGTGTTTATCTTAAAAGAGTAACTGAGATTTAGATGGATCAACATAGAGAATGCTAACCTGTTTTTAGACTGCTGAAAAGAGTCTTCCTTATTGCCATGTTTCTTCATCAACATCTAATCAACAGTATTATTTTTTTAAAATGGAGACGTGTTTACAATGTAATCTTTCTATTTCTTTCCAATGTGAATAAATATCTTTAGGACGATGAATGATCACGAGTAAGGAGTCATAAACACTGATAACCATTTAAAAAAAGGCCTTTTTAGTGTATAGATGGTTGAAATCAAAGTTAAAAGACGCTTTTATTTAGTTCACAGCCTGTAATAAATCATAGAAACTGTCAGTGGTGGCGACAGCTCCTCTTTTGGGTTGTCTTTGCCGTTGTAATTCCTCTTGATTTGCATCCTGGATGACCTCGTAAACATGAGTCTGTGAAGAGGAATACTGGAGTTATTACATTGGGAAATATATGCTCGACAAAAGCTATGAAAAATTATTTTCAGCACAATTATGTTTTGCCTCTTACCATTCCAATACTTGACTGTTCATTTCCTGCAAACAGAGAGGAAAGAAAACATCAGCCTTTCGTGCATTATTTCATTCTCATTGAGGCTCCCAGATTATTCTCATAGTTGTACAGTAGGTTGTATGGTTCCTAAACCACATTCACTACCTGCATCCTTGTGCTGCTTCCTCTTAGTGTACATGTAGGATCCTCCAGCGGTTATACATATCAGGAGAGCTAGTGGAAGGGCTACCCACGCAGGTGTTTGCAGAGCTGCTGACATTAAATAGTAATAATTTCCTCTCTGTTTACTCAGAAACATTAAACATTTTGGTTTTATTTAGGAGAAAAGGCAACACTAGCATTATGCATACTTACGGTGAACAGTGTGCCACTTCTTTGATGCCATCACATCACTCTCTCTATGCACAAAGCAAATGAATTCATCTGATGTCGTTGACAAAACTGGGAGAAACAGCCTGTTTATCAGAGAGTTATTGACATTCATTAAGCGGCTCTGCCAGGTATTTTGGCTACCTCTGGACCAAGTCAAATTGATGTCTTTTCCACATTCTTTAGTGCAGGTAAGCACACAAGTCAAAGTGAGATTATCTCCACCTGGCCCACGCTCTGAGGTAACTTTAAAGAAAAACGTGAGAGGAAATGTTTTATAATAGCAGTGACACAAAGTAGATATAGGACAATTCATGCTCCGCTCTGGCATTTAAAGTGTTAACACTCACCATCGAGGGTGTGCAGCCTGATTTTGTTAAGCACCTTTTGCTGATCAGTGGAGTCTGAACATTGGTAGTCCCCAGCATGCAGAGCACTCACTTTGCTAATGACCAGCGATGAATCTTCATTGACATGAAATTTCTCTGTTTGGCCTTTTTGGGGTGACATATCATCTGTCAGTGTCCTTTCACCCACAGACCACTTCCCTCTGACACTCACACCAAGAGAGGAAGTGTCGCTACAAGAGAGTGACACTGACTCACCCACTGCTGCAAACACTTCCTCTATGCCATCTGAGCGAAAGAGGGCACTGGTTACAGTTTGGACACGTTAAACCATATAGTTCATTTGGAGTGCGCTGAAGTGAAGTTTAGTACCTTTTATTGTTGTCGTGTAACTGATGGTAGCTTTCACTGTGTCATTCTGAGTCAGCTGGCATTTCCATTTTCTGTGATGATCCGTCAGCTTTTTAGTGATGATCAGTTTAGAGAAGCATTCAGAGGGATTGTCAAAGTTAAATCTTTTCCCATTTAAAGGTGTATTGTCTCCTGTCCTCCACGTGATATGTATCCCTTTGTTGTTACAAGGGGCGAGTCCTTTATACATGTTGAGGAAGCAGTGAAGCTCTATTGTGCCTACCGCAGGAGTGGAGCGCTCAGTAACTGTTGAATGAGAAGAAGAAATGTCACGTGACACTGTGATATTGACTTTACATTGTTCAAGGATGGTTGGAGTCATTTACCTTCAAGAATCTGAAGTGAAACGCTTGAATTGAGCGTGCCACTGTCACAAGAGTAAAGTCGTGCATCATTGAGCTCCAGGTGATTAATCTTCAGAGAGCAGTCCTTTAGCAGGCCAAGCCTGAGGGCGTTCGGACTCGGAGCTGTCACCTTTCCAGCCTTCACCACCTCAGCGATCGACTGAAACTCTTCAGCCATGTTCCAGTTGACAGAGGAGCAGGATTCAATAGAGGGTATGCCACATGGCAAAGTAATATCCTCTCCTAGTAAGGCAAACATCCCCAAATGATCTGTTGGAGAAGAGAATTTAATCTTAGACATTTAATTTTCCAAGTCATGAGCTCGTTCTGTCAAATTAGAAGTTGGTGACCCTCCATCATGAACTGAACATGTGTACTGTTTTCAGTAAAAGAAAAAAAGAAAAGGAAAATAGGTTGCAGCTACCTGCACCATCCTGCGAGCACTCTACCTGTCCCAAATCAAACACTCTGCATGCTCGGTGTGGCTAATATGCAAACATGCTAACATTTAGACGGTGGATACTCAGTCACGCAGTGACTTGAACTCTGCGTTCACTAATGACCTTCTTCGTTCGGTAGGACCAGAGAGACCGAGTCGACTGGTTATGGTGGGACAAAGAAGCTGGAATGGGCGGACTGGTTATATTTATGCTCTGAGGATGAACGAGTTGAGTAGTTGTCCCTGGCTGGAGCAGATTTAGGAGGACTTTGTGGTGCACAAGACTTGCGTTCAGACAGGTGAGTACAAAAACAAACACATTGACTGTTGTAATTCAAATCTATTCAGTTCAATATGCTTTGTTGTCATGTGTGTAGCAAAGACAATATGCCAATTGAAAAGAAAAACGAAAAGATACGATTAATAAAATCAACTCTCTACAGAGGAGAGCTCCAACGTCGCTAGGCAAAGTAACGTTCTATCATGCACCTCCCCCTCTTTCCCCTTTTAAAGTGTTGCACAGTGATGTTTACTGAGAGTATAGGCCTGCATTTTAACAGACCTACTTTTTACTTTTATCTAACTTTAAGTACATTTTTACCAAAGTAATAGTACTCTTATTTGAGTATACTATTCTAGTATTCTTTCCAACGTCATTCAGAACCACATCGGACATTCGTGCATTATTTAAAAATTTTAGTTAAAGTTTATCTTGAATTAGTTTTTTGTTTTATTCATTGTTGTAAACATTTCGTTTGATTAATTTTGAAGTTGGAAATTTGAATCTGTTACATGTAGGTGTACCTCAACATTTTGTAAATAAAGTCAGTGATCTTAGTGTTAAGTCAAAATATCCCCAAAATACAACAGATTAACAAGATAACTTTTTTTTATATAATTACCAAATAACTGAAGTCCAGCTGCTGCTTGTGTGAGAGATATAAGACAGAGTCGTAACAATATAAAGGAAACCATTCTTCTCTCAGATGTCTTCTCGCAGATTTCTTGCTTATTGCTAAATCCTCTGATGGCAAAGGTTTTCTAAAATCACATGCTCAGGAAATTACTCATCTGTAGTTTAAGACCAGCCCAGGAGAGGCCTATGTTCATTTTTTCACATTAACCCTTTAACTTGTAGCGTGTAGTTATGGATTCAGACCTCAACCTGAACAGCCATATCAAGACAATTACAAAATCAGCCTACTATCCCCTGAAGAATGTATCAAGGATTAGAGGACTTATGTCTCAACAGGATTTGGAAAAACCTGTCCATGCATTTATCTTCAGCAGACTGGACTACTGTAACGGTGTGTTTACAGGTCTCTGTAAAAGGTCAATCAGAACGCTGCAGCTCGAGTCCTCACTAAGACCAGGAGGGTGGATCACATCACTCCAGTTCTGAGGTCTTTGCACTGGCTTCCTGTCCAACAAAGAATTGACTTTTAAATCCTGCTGTTGGTTTATAAAGCACTGAATGGTTTAGGGCCAAAATACATCTCTGATCTGCTGCTACCTTATGAACCATCCCGACCCCTTAGGTCGTCTGGGACCGGTCTACTTTCTGTTCCCAGAGTCAGAACTAAACATGGAGAAGCAGCGTTCAGTTTTTCTGCTCCAGATACCTGGAACAAAGTTTCAGAAAGCTGCAGGTCTGCTGAGACCCTCAGCTCCTTTAAATCAAGATTGAAGACTTTTCTGTTTGCTGCTGCCTTTAATTGAACCAGATTCAAGGATATTAATCAATTTCCTGCATTTCTGCATTTTACTACTGTATTTCATTGCTTTTTAGTGTTTTAATTACTGTTTTTAATGTATCAATCAATGTTCTTAATTGGTTTAAATCTCCTTTTCTTTTGCCTTATGTTTTGATGTTTTTAATGTTTTTATGTGAAGCACTTTGAATTACCTTGTTGTTGAAATGTGCTATACAAATAAACATGCCATGCCTTGCCTTAACTTAATACAAACATGTGGCCAGTATGCAAATTAATGCTTCATGTGAACTGTCCATTGTGTGTCTTTCATGTGATATTTGTCACATGTATAAATGATAATACCCTCTAGTAACACCTGTTATCGTCTATCATCAGATGGCTATTGATGTTGTAAATGCGAACAATTTTTGCTGCCAGACTGTATATTTGTCCTGTAGAATTACTAGTGTAGAATTGACCAGTTTCAGTGTCCGGTAACTTGTACAAACCCCAGGTTTTGATTCGCATGCAGCTCCACCTGAAGACTGTTCAGTACATCCTTGTAATGTTCCACTCTACAGGTGATGTTGAGGCTCATTATTTTCAACTTTAATGCAATTAGCTTTGTCTTTATTCAAGAGGTGAAACAAAAAATGATATATATCTGGCCCGGGTTACATGTTATTTATAGAAGACTAGATAATTGTATAAATTAAGTTTTAAGAACTAATTAACAGACTATTTTATCTGGATATCTAATATTTCAGGCAAATGGAAATTTTTGATGAGAAACATACACATGGATGTTCTGTAATTATGTTTACATGTAAAAGTAAGACAAAAAAATCATTTATTTGCACACAAATGCACAGCGTTTAAGCAACAAGTAAGCAGTACACTATAGTTCAGGTATTAGTCAGAGGCCTCGGACGTGCTGTAACTGTGTAGGACTTGACCTTGAGTACAACACTAGCAACTCCTCTCAGGTCGGGCAGAGAGGCCCCGCTCTCAGGAGGGATGAAGTGGAAATCTCTCAGTAAGTAGGCAGTGAACAGAAAGAGCTCCATTTTGGCGACAGACTCTCCCAGGCAGAGCCGAGCACCCCCTCCGAAAGGGATCAGGGCTCGGGCGGAGTTTCCTCCTCCCTCCAGAAAGCGCTCTGAAAGCCAGAGAGGAGCTACTTTATTTGAGATCTGCTGAGCAAGTGAAAAGGAATGCACTTCACCTCACCGTTAGAGCAGTACCTGGTTTGAAGCTGTATGGGTCAGACCAAACTACAGGATCATGGTGTGCCCCAAAAAGATTAGGAATGATGACTGTGTTCTTAGGGATGAAGTAACCTGCAATACTAAACATGAATGGTGGTTATACATTTTCCATAATGCAAAGTTTGTGTGTACCTGCTGACTGATACCAACAGGAATATATCAGTATAGCATACTTTATAGACATAAACATTATACAACAAATTTAGACCCATTTGGTGCTGTCTAGTTTATTTATTTATTCATGATGTTGCTGGTTTGCAGGAAGCAAGCATTTTTTAAAGCAGAGGTTCATTATGTGGAGCAACAGTTCAGCCTGGGTCCCATGCTGTTTACTTGTTTTCTTTCCCAGTGTAGACATAATTGCTTTTTTGCACAGTATATTTTATGCAGGCGTTTTTAATTCTTTCTGTACAGCCATGTTCACCATGCTTTCAGTCTTGGTGTTGGACCAAGGAGTAAACATGATGAGTGAAGTATTGGAGGAACATAGGTCTGTGTTACAAGATTTGTAAACTGGTCTGTATTGTACCAACCAGTACCAATGCCTGCTTAACCATATCTGATCTTATAGACAAGTGGTAGTTAGCCAATAATCTTCTAATTCTTTCATTGTAACTTCATTTTGCCATTCAGCTGACCTGCTGTCTCGGATGGCTCTGTGTGGCACCGCCAACGGGGCAACCGGCCTGAGTCTGAGCACCTCGTTGATCAGAGAGCACAGGACGGGGAGTCTGTGTCTGTCACTGTACTTGGGGTATCGTCCCTCGAGTACTGTGCACAACTCGTCATACACTTTGGCCTGCACCTGAAGATTAAAGTAAAAGAGGGGAGAGGCACTGAGATAAACTTCAGGGTTTGTAAATATGTTGTTTTATGGTAAATGACGTGCCCTGCCTCTGGTCTGTGGAGGAGGAAGGCCACAGTCCAGTTCAGCGAGGCTGCAGTGGTCTCTGTTCCCCCGATGAGAAGGTCCACAGTGGCCATATGAACATGAACATCTGTCAGGCGCTGGAAACATGAAAACACATAATTTAGTACAGAAGTGCTGCTACTTACAGTATTAGTCTTGAATGACATTAGATTTATTCCCAATACATTTCAGAATTGATCTCCCCTGGTATTCTCTGTTCTACTTACCACTCTGGGATCTGTGTGGTGAAGTTTGTCAAGGCACTGGAGGAGGGATCCTGTAATTGTGTCGTCATTTTTCTTGTCTTGTGACTGCACAGACAACAAAGCAACAGCTGATTAAAATCAGCATAGCAGGAAATGGGATTTATGCAGCTAGGATCCACGTATACACATACAACGGGTTGTATATGATATCTTACAAATTCATGCACTTTTCTGGATACATACACAAAGACGATTAACTTGAATTTTTAATTAAGGCATCTATGATGTGAATTTATTTTCTTTCTCTTTCACTCTATAGTAACATATGCAAGCAGACAAAAACAAATTATATTTATATATATATATATATATATATATATATATATATATATATATATAGATTTCAGTAGATAACATTACTCATTTTATGATCCTGATGTCTTAATTGTTCTGATCACTAAGCCACACCGAGACATGCTTTTTGTTTATCTGTGACCACAACAATTTAGCAGAATTAAACCTCTTCATTCTTTGGCATTTGTTTTCACCAACCTTGTAATTGTCGAGATGTTGTCTTATAATTGCATCTCTCTTGGCCACCTCTTTCAGGAGACGGGCAAATACTGGATTGGGTAGTTTCTTTGAGAAAACAAAGGACAATGTGTAAAATCTCATTCTGAAGATGTTTGCTAGTCTTTGCTGTGATCTATAGTCAAGACAGTGAACATTAGCTGACTCTGAGCAGCGGGAAGGAGTCCAGAGCAGAAATCCAGGACGAGCCCCACAGAGCAACAATCTCATTCAGACAGATGTGCAGCTGCTGCAGCTCCGAAGAACTCTTCTCATACTAGAAAACACAGAGATTTATATTTTAACAAAACATATCAAAGAAATGCACTGTCCAGTAACAGAATAGTACATTACGAGTGCACAAGTTAACGCATGCTTCTAAGAAGAGCAACATGAACAGCGACCTTAGCCAGTCCCCAAGATAAACAGCAACCAGGCACAGCTGTCGATTAATGAGAAGCATATTTTGAAATCCATCTTTGACACTGAGAGATACTCACTTCTTTTCCAAAAGCCAAAGTGGTGATGACATTACTGGCTGCCACTGTGAAATCCTCCGAGAGGTCTACAGCACTGCCTTGATAGTCCATCAAAACCTAAACAGTGAACAAACCAAGCTTTATCTTTTTATGTGACCACTGTGGAAAGTCTCCAACATTTGGTTTGGATCTCTGCAAGCACATTACAGCCCTTTAAAAAAAAATAAAAATAGGGCACGATATAATTCCCTGGTGTTCATTTTGTTCCTCCTGTGTTCTGTACCTCTCTCAGATGCAGTGCCTGTCTCTCGATCACATCATGCAGTGATTGCTGACAGCAACGCTGCAAAGCACTGTGGACGAGGCGACGATGTGCCCTCCACTCCTCATTATAGTCCCCCAAAGAGATGGTGTGCCCTCCCCCGGACACAATGTCACCTGATGCAAGTCAGTACAGGTAATAAGGACATACACATTATGCATACTATTGCTGCAAAAGAAGTTTGAGTTGTTTACCTGTGTATGAAATTGGTCTCCCAGCAAAATCTGACCATTTTTTCACCAGTGCTTCTCTTATGACTTCACCACTATTAAGTACCACCATGGCTGAAAAAAACACAACAAGGTTTTGTATTGTCTACAAAAAAAGTTTTTCTTTTTAAAAGCTGAGTTTTTAAGTCAGTATTTGATATCATGAAATCCATAATTCTGAAATGGGATGATTACTTGTGTTTCCACATTTCAGGCGGTAGATGTTTCCGTACCGCTGTGCCAGATTGGTCAGGTGGATTGGCAGATGTTCATGCGTCAGCTCCATCATATTGCCTATAAGGAAGAGGCTGGGAGGACCCGGGAGGCAAGGAGACGAGGAGCGGGGCAGGAACTGACAGAGATACTGCAGCAGTCCAGATTCAACTACTGGATGAAGGAGTTAAGAAACACAAAGGTAAAACAGCGAGAGAATAAACAATTATCATATAAATACATTAGATCAAGTAATCAAGTTCAGTGGTGTACTAGTTTCCCATGTGTTAAGAAAATGTCCCATTCATTAATCATTGTATTTTCAAGAAATCAAAACACTTGATTGTACAATCAGCATGTTTAAATATACAGACAATAAATAGATAATTACCTGTAGACTTACTTCCCTTGTGGTCTTTCTGTACAGATTTGTCTCTCTGACCAGAAATACAAATCAGTACCGTCAACAGCACCACAACTAGGAGCACAGCTCCCACAGTGATAAATGATATTTCTATTGGCATTTTGTGTCTTCTCGCTGGTGTCCCCTTTCAGAAAGGTGGTCAGCACACTGCTTTGCCCCTTTTATAGTCTCCTCATCTGTCTCTGAGCTCGTCGGCTTGATACAATGTTGTTTTCACTAAAATCAAGGATGTCTAAACATTTTGTCGGTCAACATATCTGATAATAAGATAAATGCAACACATACACATGGCCAGGACTCGCTGAAGGGCATGATAACATTTCACAGTTGACAGGACAGTCAGTCATGGCATTTCTTTATAGTACAGGGAATGAAGAAACTGTTTTTCATCAAAGGATTTGGGTGTTTTAATTCACTGTAACAAAATCAAAAAATCGACACTTCAGACCCACATCAGCCACATTTATTCCAATGGAGAGAGACAGTGCATATTCAATGACAGTAGTAGTGGGGTGGCATACCATGGTGCTGCACAAAAAGGTATTGGAGTCAATACAAAACTGTGTTGAAATGGACGGGTCCGGCAGAATAGTAGAACAAGATACAAAACGTTGCAAAAAACATTTCTCCAATCCTTTGGTATATTTCCAGAAAAATACAGATTAGAAAAAAAAATGTTGCTCATTGAATCAAATGTACTGATAGCTGTTGTTATAGCTATTGAACCCACTGTACATGCAATTTCAGTTGGAAAGTGACCAGCAGTGATGCATCAACTGTGGGATTCACTGTCTTCTGGATTTCTGGAGCTTTAATTATCTGTTACAAATGAATGACGACTGATGTAATCTTAGCCATGAGTTGCAGGAGAGAACCTGGACGGTCTGAACTTCATCTCAACGAAGGGAACGGAGGAGTCTTTACCTTTCCAGTCTATCCAGACTACTCCCTGAAAACAGAAACAGAGAAGTGATGCTATTTGGTCAGTGTGCTGTATCATAGAAGATAAAAGTGTTAAAAGTTCATTATTCTATGTCCCAGAGAGGTGAATTGTACCTGATTATTACTGTTGATGCCATAAAGGCCATTCAGGTTGGCCTTGTAGCAGTTCTTGTACCACCAGCCTCCCATGTAGGCCCTGGCACAATGGATCCCCAGAGGATCAGGGTCCTTGTCCCGGGCTGAGAATGGGCGTCCATTATGGTACCTCATAGAGTCACCTGACAGAGAAATAGTGACATTGATGTATAAATTGTCAGACACTTGCCGTAATATGGTATAAACTGCACATTTCCAGTAAGGTTTTCACCTGCAGTTCCAGTGTAGCCAGACACTGCAAGACTGTAGTGCCTCTCCACTGAATCCACGGAGAAGTTTGAGTAGTGAGCGTATATGGTGTCATTTCCAGATCGCATATCCACCCTCAGACTCACAGGGCCGACACTGGTCAGATTGTGAAGGAGCTCGTTCCCTAATAGTGATAGAAGTTTAAAGTGAACAGATGAGGCCAATTTATTGAAAATATATATTTTATGCAGATGTGATGGTAATAAGAACTTGCTTCAACTGTACCGAGCCAGAAGTCTTCGCTGAGGTTTCCAAAGCCGGCACTGTATTCACTCCATGTTCTGTAGAAATCTGTCTTCCCGTTCATCCTCCTCTGGAACACCTACAAACACACATCAGATTGTTGTCCATTATCTAACATAATACTGCCATTTTCTCTGTGCAGAGTTTATAAATAACAGCAGTTTCTCTCACCGTCCAGCCGCCTCCATCAGTCTCCATGTCACAGTAGACTCTGACTGCTTGTCCCTCTTTTCCTAGCGGGTAGATATCCACTTCACCTGACTGCAGAGCTCCATTCAGCAGCTCCTGAGAACACTCAGTGGGGAAAGGGAAACGCGCTTTGCCTAAGGGATAAAAAAAACAGAAAACAAAAGAATATCTTTGTTGTGATAAAAGTATTGGTAGGACAGCTTAATGAGCAAGTATTGCATTACATGATATACAACACCTGTAAGGAATTCTGTGGTGACAACAGATGTGTATTGTCCATCTCTCTCGCCTTGTACCAGAACAATATATCGTGACATTGGCAACAGCCCTGTCAACTTATACTCTGTGATGGACTGGTCCAGGATCACCTCCTAATGTATACACAGAAAGCATACAAATTTAGGATATTCTGTAAATGTCAGGACTTTCTTCGTACTGCATGTGATAGTGATGAGGGGATATGAATCACCTTTGTGTCCTCTCCTGCCACCTGGTAGATCAGTCTGTAGCTGTAATAAACAACAGTGGAAGTTCTCCATGCTATCACAGCAGAGCGGGCACCCACCTCACTGGCTTTAACCACTGAGGGACACAAAAATGTATTGAGTTCACACACTTTACGCACAAGCTCTATATTTTACTGCCATCTTTACTCACCATGAGCTGTTGTAAATGTAGTTGAGATGACCATGCTCTGCAGACTGTCCTTCTGGCTCAGGACTTTGACTGTGTACAGGGTGCCTCTCTGCAGGCCTTTCAGCTGGTGCTCCACTGAGTTTCCAGACAGCATCACAGTCACTGTCACATTAGGAGCTGTGGCAAGAAGGAGAATTAATAACGTAGCGTAGCACAGTCATTAATGCTTTGTCATTAGTTATTAGGGTGATATTGCCACACTCACTCTTGGAGGACTCATAGCTGATGATGAACCGGTCTACTTTCCCCAGACTGGCTGTCCATTGCAGCACAGCTCTGGTATCTGTCACATTGACAACTTGCAGATGTGTTGGAGGAGCGGGCACTGCAGTCAAGACAAAATCCATTGTGTGTTTCTTGCAGATTTCACACATTAAGAGGAAACAAGTAGCTGTAGACAGTAGTAAGCTTATCTAACTGTGTACCTGTGGTGATAAGGGATGTGAGAGCGTCACTCTGGGCTCTGCCTTGTGTAGTAGTTATAGTGATAATGTAGGAGGATCCAGCAGACAGCTTGGACAGAACCACATACGATCGCTGCGACTCCACTGTCACAAAGCGGCTCTCCCCTAGCAGGATAATACATCACACATATCATACCGACAAGCAAGGGGATTTTGACTTGAGTTGCAGTATAAAGGCAGGCCTTAAACAAACCTGTGACGATGTTGGTGAACATGACCCTGAAGCTAGAGAATGCCGCCTTTGGTTTGGACCAGGAAACAGTGATAGAAGACTCTGTTACATTGCTGAAAACCATCTCTGTGGCTGGCTCAGGACCTGGTTAGAGAAATCAAAGAGATTTTTATTCGCATTTTACTACTCCCATTACTGATTGTGTTCCTGGTAGTTGTGGAGGAAATATGCTTTACTGAAAAATGTAGTACAACTTGAGTTACCTGTAATTGCAGTTGCTCTATGGATCTTTGATCTCCTCTCAGCTGCAGTGCCATACAGATGCAGGACATAGCCTGTGTTTGCCCTCAGGTTGCTGAACTCCACAGAGCGTACGCTACCAGGGACCACCATAGAGATCCTCTTTGTTTCAGCTTTGCCTTTAGATCCAATAGCTTTACTGGTTGTGTTGGTGCTCTCACTCTGTACCTGGATTTCAGTTGTGTTCTTAACTGTGGAGCCCTTGCCTCCTTCAAGAGCTTCGTCTTCAAACTCCTCTTGGTCATCTTCGTCACCCCCTGTCCGTGGCTCTCTTCTGATCACCGTGAAGTTCTTGAACATCCCTTGTGATGCTGTCCACGTGACAGTGAAGCTGTAGGAGGAGATGTTCACAACCTTTACAGAACCTAATCCAGATCCTCCCATCGTCCTCATGCTCCCAGATCCATGGATGGTTGTTTTATTCTGCAGAACTCGAGTCTCGACTGACGTTGCTGCAATGGTTGAATTAACCAGATACTGACTCCTCTGTGTCAACTTCTCTTTTCCAATTTTGCTAGTTTCAGTGTTTCTGTTGTCAACAGATTGCACATTTGTAGTGTCTGCCTTTACCTTCTTGTTGCGTTTATTTCCAGATGATTGAGTAACATTTTTTTCAGTCAGTGTGGACTGCTGCAATGTCTCCTTCCCTGTTCTGGTTTTGTTTGTTCCCTCAACCTTGGTCAGAATGGTCTCGATTTTAGCCGTGCCATTAGATTTCCTCACATTACTCTGGGTTACATTGGTTTGAGGTTCATCTCTTAGTTGGTCAGATCTAGGATGTGTTTTACTGGCAGTTCCTTCCTTAACAAGCTTAAGGTCAGGTTTTTGGAGAACCTTTTTAGAGGTCAGGACTGTTGTTTTGCCTTTGCGAGCCTCCTCTTGCTTTCTTCCCTCATGTTTCAACAGAACTTGACCAACAGTTGGGCGACTGGTCTTTGTGGCACTTGAAGAGTCTTTTGTAGTAATTTTCTTAACAGAGGCTTCTTGTTTTGCTTGTGTCTTAACAAGACCTGCTTTAGCATTAGTAGACACTTTGGGTTTGGTGTCAGTCTCTTTGGCGTCAGACCCTTTCTTCTGCTCTCTCTTCTGGAAGAGTGTGTGCTCTACTTTGGTTTTCTCCTGCATTCTTTCCTTGTCTTTGTTCACCTGCAGGGTCACCTTTCCTTTGGCTGTTTCTGAAATTGTAGAGTAGAGGTTACAATCAAAGTATGAATGTGATATTAGTCAAAGTACAACTTAAGGATACCTTCCTTTCCCTTAAAGATATGTGTCTCTAATGCTATCACATCCAAATAACTGTGCAGACTTTCACTTACTTTTATTACACTCAGCTCCTTGTGCACACTTACTGCAGTCTAGACCCATGAATCCCTGCTGGCAGATACATTTCCCCTTCTCACATTCCCCATTGCCACTACAGTCATTTGGACAATTTGCGGAACATGGACCTGGGCAGCAACAAAAATAAACAAAATGACTAAATCCACATCTCTAATGAGTTGTGCCAAATATAATAATCTGGTGAAAATGACGGAATTATACATTTATCTTTCAAAGAGGACATCTCTCTTTCCAGTCGTGCCACACGTCCTTTCAGCGCAGACATCTCGGCCTCACATCCCCCAATGCATCCACCAGGCAACAAGCTGATCTTATGCGTCATCACCAGAGGAGTGCCAGGCTTCAGCTTCAGCTCGTGCTCCTTGGTGTTGCTGGAGTCGCAGCCATTACTGATGACCACCTTAATTGGTTGTGCAGGGGCAAGCTTTTCTTTGGTGGTGGTGGCAATGGGAGCTTTGATTACAGCGCTCTGATTGGCAGAGGATGTGACCTTATCTTTGTCGGCTGCAGAACCACCGGGTGTAGCGACCTTTGCTGGAGTTGACGGAGCAGTTTGAACTACTGTAGGGGCAGGCTTGTCTTTGGTGGAGGGAGATTTAGCTACAACAGTCTGATTGAAGGAGGCCGTGGGCTTGGTTTTGACTGTTTTAACGCCACTGATGGGAGCAGACTTTGGGGATGTTGACTGAACATTTGAAGCTCCAGTGGGGGCAGGCTTGTCTTTGGTAGCTTTCACTTCACTGACTGTAGAAGCCTTTACTGCTGCTGTGGCCAGAGTGGATAAAACTGTCTGATTGACTGTGTTTAGCTTTGGTGTTGGGAGAATGGTCTGTTTGGCAAGAGCAGAAGTGGTTTTTGGTTTTGACTGGGTGAAAACTGCATTGGGTTTGGACGCATCACTTCCTGTGGCATTTCTCCTCTCATTGGTTGTGGATTGAAAGGAGGGAAATGGGGCGAGAAGGAGGAGAAGTCCCAGAGTAAACAGCATTTTGAGCCAGCAGCTGTAGCCAGAGATGATGGTGGATCTGTATGTATGTTACTGTGAAATTATGAACTCCTTCCTCTATATTTCTAAGACCACTTTATGCCAGGTTTCTCCTAGAAATGAAAAAAAAAACAGAGCTGACTTGTAACCAAGTTTGATGCATGACATTTAATTCCAAATAATTTTAGAGCTTTTTTTCTACCTCAAAGAAAGACTTTGCTGAGCATACATGCCAGTTTCACATATAGAGCTCCTATTCACACTTTGATGCTCCCTTCTACAAACTCCTGGCTATTAAGACGCTACACTTAGAGCAATTTCAGGTTTTGTGCCTTGTTCAAAAGTGACCTGACAGTAATTGCTAAAGCAAGGGACAGCAAGGGACTACTTTTTAAATTCAGTTTGAGAAACTTATTTCGGTAACCTTTCAGTCAGGTAGAAGGTTGTCTTGTCTAATTCTTAGGATACAGGTTCTCTAAAAGTTATATGCTGTGATCTGACATTTGAGAAGGTTCACTGTGCATTCGTGGACTGATGCATAAAAGCATATCAAAATATTTCTAAGATGCGGTTTTGCATCTGACTACATACCTGTTTCTTTTATATGACCCTGTATGTTGAATTGTCTTAATCCAAATTTCCCTGAGCACCAGTATAAGACATTGGAAACAATTAGAGTAAGTAAAAATTATTATTGAGCAGAAATATCAAAATGAACACAAAATTCATGAAAAGTATTTTATTACCTTTTTATTTAAAACTGTGTTTACTGGGGCACTTTTAAAAGTGAAGAAAAAACAATTATAGGTGGAAGAATTGCAGCAGTGTTCAAATCAGCCATAATAGTTGATTCAATGGCTTGCCAAACCAAGTAAAAATCTAAATTAGTTGATTCTGAACAGGAAGGAATAAGGTTACTTGAGCGGGAAGTGCTGAGAGTCTGCTGGAGGGACTAGAGAGGCAACAGAGCGTCACTGTATAAAACTGTGGGACACTGTACGTCTTTCACTATCCAGAAGGTTACATAATCCTCTGCACCCACAACTCATAATACCACTGAATATGTCCAGTCTTTGGTTTAAAACGGCAGAAATCCAATAAATCACGCGACATGTAAAGAAACTGAGGATGCTTTGCTACACAGCAAGGCAATTTTCAAATGTTGCATTGGAGTTCAGGGATTAACTGCATAATTAGCTGCAGTATTAACGGAATTAATAGACACTTTTTACTTATAGAATATAAATTGTCATACTAGCGCAGTAATTATTTTGATATAATATAAAATAATTAAAACTAAATCAAATGAATAAGGTAAATGATAGTATGTATAACCATACCACATTATATGTGCAAGCTGGAAATTACATATCATGTTCACCAATAACTGCAACTAGTACAATGTAACTGTTTTGGTCTTTTTAGCAACTAAAACACATTATTTTACAACAACATTACCTTTTCTCACAATTGTACTTATTCAAAACCCTGAGAAAAAAAATCAGCCATGCACTATAGTAGGATGTGAAAGAATATCAACAGACACCAAAATGCAGGATGCAGGACATGAGTCCATTCATTCAAAGAGTTACCACTCTGATACCATAATGGAAAAATGAACTCACCAGAGTAATGACTTAGTTCTTGGCTTTATCTCTTTCTGTGTGTTGCTCCCTCCATCTGGCTGGAAAGCTCACACAAATAGCTGGATGTGATCAGGGAGGAAAGAGGTGAGAGAAAGGACCACCACTAGAAAGGAGGAGAGTGATAAAGTCTGCTCCTACTTAAGGACACCCCCTCCCCCCTCCCCCTTCCTCCACGCCTAATGGTCCCACTCTATCAAACACCATGGAAAATATTTGTTTTGGACCAAAAAGTGTGGCATTTTTACAGATTTGAGCATCAATTATGATCAATATCTTATTTTCTCTTTTTTGTAATGTTTTGTAATGTCTCTATACATTTTGCTGGTAGATTTAAGAACTTAGCCTCAGTGACTCATTGATTTCTTTAGTTAACATATGAATAATTAATCACTTTGACTGCAACTTCTTTGTGAGTCAACATACTGAAATTGCAGTTTTGCTCTGAAACTGTATTCAGCACATGCCGGGACATTTTTCTTTGTTACTCAGTGTTACACAAAAATTGCCCGCATTTTGCAGCTTTTGCATCGCTGATGACAGTAATTCCAGTGTCTACTGTATGTCACTTGACTTATACCGGACATTAACACCTAGACACAACTTTGATTGTATAAAGCCCCGGTCTGAGAATTATGATTCAGCTGGAATACATAGCATAACACTGCAGGTATTCACTGCGGACTCTGGGGGACAGGAACCTCTCGCTATATGAATAGGCTGTTTGTTGGAAGTAATGAGATGTAACTACGTGGGAGTTATGTAAGTGACCAAGTATCCACCAGATTTAAGGAATGCTCTGTGAAGGCTCTGAATCTCTGACTAAATGGCCACCCACTATCCCACCTTTTGTAAACCACATGAAGACAGGTAAATCAAGGTCCAGATCAAACAGGGCATGAGTGACATTTTCCTAATTTTACAGGAGCGAATCATTGGACCTTTGTACTGTAAGATAAACTGACATTGATTAAGATTCACTTATTTTATAAACAAGTATTTGTACATTTTCTTATTTGTTTTTCATTTTTTTGTATGCGCTGGGCCTGTGAAGTCATTCTGCACCAGACTGCAATTCATAATTAATAAATGTGTCTCTAATTAACAGTTTAAATGAAATATCCGATGAAAATTATACTGGTAACAGATAAAAACATCTGTTACAGCAACTTCTAACATCACTCGTGTGTTTAATGAGGACCATGCCTTTAAGAAAACAAAGTGCTTCCTGAGATAAATACATTGAAACTGCTGATGGACACTCACCCTGCATTAGTAATGCGTAGCTAGTGTATTGTTTACAGCCCGCTGCCTGTTTTTAAATGGCCTGCATGAAAACAACAAACTAGAATATGGCTTGAGCATATTTGTAATAAATTAAACACAACAGCACATTAATAAATTACTGTAAGGTCAACGTTAAACTGTTTAGTAGTGTTTATGTCTTTATTTTGATAGAAAATGAATATGGCACATGGGATTAAACCATCAAATTATTTAATCACTAAGACAGTGAGCATGCAAAACCATTTTGCATAACAGCTGTGAGACTGTGGCCTATGCTGAAGAAGCCGCTCTCTCATAGTCTATTACTGTTACATGTACTCACTCTTTATATGTTACAGTGTGTGTGTATGTAAGAACCCTCACAGTAAAAACATATTTACCTGTAGATATTTTAGTTGCAAATGCGTTGAGCTGACATGTTTTTCTTGGCATGTACACCATGTTCTGATACTGATAGACAACTAACCTACAGTACATTACTGCAGCATCACAATTTAGTCAACAATAAAGTGGCGAATAACATAGTTATTATGGTTATTCCTATACCAGTTGCCAGTCAGCACTATGAGAATGTACAGCAAAGGGCCTGGTTGCTACTTGTTATAAAAGTGATTGGTATTTAAGGAAGGTTTGTGTTTGTTGTGTGTGAAAGTTGTGTATGATGTCTGACTTACACCTGGATTTATGGCAAAGCTTGATCGGTGGTGGATTCATCAGTTTGTGGATGTCATTAGAAGAGGAACGTGACAAAGAGTGACATACTGGAAGCATAAAGTGATGCACATCTGGCCATACCAAGGGAACTGCTGAAGATAAACGGATAACCACGAACTGCTTTGTATGCAAACGCCTGCTACACCTCTCATCAAGAGGATATTTTGACTTGTCATTTCCATTTTCAAGTGTCCCAGTAATTCATGGCAGAGTTACAGTGAGCCAGCATGCACAATACCAAGACCCTGAAACTGAAGCAGCTAAATGTAATTCAGCCATCATTTACTGTATTATTTACATCTGTGCTTTTCCTACTGCGACATGTAAGATGTCTTCTGTGAAAAAGGCCAATCCACATTAGAACCTTGATATTGAGATCAAACAGTAATTGTTACTGTAGTGTGGGCTCCCGAGTGGGTGGTCCTACTCCATCAGCGCCTCCATCTGCAGGCAGCCTCCAGAAACAGCTCCGCCCTCACTCAACTCCTTTCTGCACCTTAGACCACCCTCAAACCACTGACCCTGTGATGGCCTTTTGGAAAAATGGCTCGAAATACACCTTCAACAACTAAGGCTACTGCACAGCGAACAAAATATCCCCTGGTCGTACAAGCACATTTTACAATTCCCAGTTGATGCTGAAGCATATTTCGTGTGTCAGAGTAAGTGACACACTTACTCTGTCCTCGTGGAATATGTGTATTTACAGTAAATCCACAAATCAAAAGTATAAAACTAAATATAGGTCATTCACTCACCTCTGTCTTTGTTGAGAGACTACGTGTATCTCGTTGTGCTGCACAAACAGCCTGAACAATAACTGCAACTACTGTTGATTGATTGTGACTCATCAAAAGCACAAGTCGACACTGCTTTGTCATGTCAAGCCAACAAGAAGACCGCTTTTTACACTTTAATGTGCTGTTGCTTTTGGCTACCGACGGGGCACTAAAGTAACCCCAAGATGAAAATGTGTGATGCTGAAGTCTGCATATTTATTTACCCTTTATTGATGCAAATTTAATGAAATGTCTAATGGCGAAGGCTGAAACAGTGCAGGCATTGATCTGGCTGTGATTGAAGTGATGGTCAGTACTCCCGTGTTGCTTACTTTGGACCCGACCTCAGAGATTAGAATAATATAAGCGCATAAGCCCTTGCTTGTTCCTCGCCTCTCCACCCATGCCTCTCTCCTACTCCTGCTGCACTACTCCCTCCCACTACCCCTCGTTTTCTCCCATAACCTCTCTCCACATCACACAACATGTATTTAGTAATTGCGCTCTTCTGCAGCAGGTTTATAAGTGGAAGAAATTTGAGAAGAGGACTGTTGGCTCTCGAGAGCAAATGAAGAGCTATTATCTTTATAAGGTGATGATTGATCCAAATCCTCTCACTGTGTAACTCCACTGGGAGCAAGCGAGCCAGTCTTATGTACAGACTGTTATGCCATTTATGTGTAGTCACTGTGTTGCCAACCCCAAACCACTCCCCCTCTCACTTCTTCCTTACCTTGCAGATGTTGTTAGGAGGGGGGGGTAACTTTGAGGGGGGTTGCATTGAGTACAGAGACCCCTCTCAGAGCTGTTACTGCCAGTAAAAGAAAAATAAAAACATAAAAAGAAAAGCAAAATCTAACCAGTACACACAACTGAATCACACTATTTGAAAGGACATAAAAGTTTGTTTTTTCAGTTGCTGAGTTAAGTTCCATTTTCAAATAATTATCTCAACATATAACACATACAAAGGTATTTGCAAACATTAAGCAGTATTTATTTTTATTTAAACACTGGTAGCAGTGTTGGACATAAAGAGATGATTAATGGTCACATTGTAAGTGTAGTAAACTTTAAAATGATCCTACAGTGGAGTCAGTCATTCACTTACTCTCTAGCAAGCAATGATGTCTCAGTACGTATATATGTTCTTATGCTATGCTTTCAGGATTATAAACGGTTAAAAAGAGCTCTAAACATCCATGCTGACTGTGCATATCATGGGAAACTACTAAAATAAAAGTTAATTCAAATGAATTGTCCGTTTCACTGTCTGCAGCCATCTATCTTGTACTCATCTGTAAACCCATTAAACTGTTTGCAGGCAGTTTTATGTGCAGATTTTTTACAGTCTTCTGCCGAAGGCTTTCTTTCAACCCAGGTGTTTGACTCCAACAGATACTGAATCCTAGAAAAAAGGGACAGAGTTAAGAGAATCAGAATCAATCATTGTAAAATTATACTTCTACTTTAATATTATCGACTACACTTACTTTCCATTGGAGTCCGTTGTGGAGCCATCTTTGCCCATGATGAGATACTGTTTTCCCACATCTAACTGTCCTTTGCAGTGACGCCTCTTAGCAAGCACTCGAATAGAATTCTCCTTCACAAGGATATCTCCATCTGGTAGACCGATTATTACCATTATATTTATGATGGGTCTTCCAAGCATAAACATTTAAAGGTCAATGTTACAGCGTCTTGTAAGCCTTGTGGTTACAGTTTACTTACGTGATCTGAGTACCTCGTTTACATTAATTTTGTACAGCTCAAAGTTACTCTTCACTGAAACATTGAGGACTTCAACCATGTATGCTGAAATAAAACAAAGTGTCACAATATGAAAGTATGAATTTTCAAGGTCAGGGCAACAGTAGATATTTTACACCATGATGTCATTTGTGCAGTACTGACCGTAATCTACTGTAGGGAAGAAGCAAGCGTGTTCTAGACGGACATTCTTTGGGATTCTCCGACCACTTTCTGATTGGAATGTATTTTGTATTTTATGACAGGGTCCTAAAGAAAAGAAAAACATTATGCAATTTTAATTATTTATACAAACCTGAAGGGTAACGCTACATGTATTCATGGCTGTTTATCAATATTGGTCTTAGTGGAATGGCCTACTTTCTGCACATTGGCACACATCCTCTGAGCACAGTTTGGAGACCATCTTGCTTCTTTGGGGGGCGGAGTAGAACACAGTACACCTTCTGTCTGAAAGGAGGCACAACTAGTTCATAAACTCCTGGCGAATTAAACAAAGATGTCCCCTCTATCCTGACAAAAAATGCTAAAGATATCAAATAAAAAGCTTACTTGGTTCATAATAATCATAGAACACAGCTGGAGCAGGCTGTAGAAGGCCCATTGGTACTTTCTGTATAGCATCAAAGCTAATACATTCCTCTGAGTCAAAGAGCTGGAGTGAGAAAAGAAATATTTTAGTACTGAACATTTAAAGTCTGTGTGTATGTAAATAGATTTCAGCCTTACCTCATTGAAGTAGAGGAGCACTCTTCCATAGGAGACCTCATAATGGGAAATGTATAGCTCAGGTGTCTCTCTTAGCTACAAAGAGACAAGATTTTAAGATTTTCAATTTTTCTTTTTATGATGTCTACTCTTAAATCATACACCTTCATGTTTGTAGGTTAAGAATGAAGGCTCACTAAGCTTAGAGTAAATACTGTAAACAGAAAGATGACTAACTATCAACACGTATCTTGTAATCGAGGAATCGAGGTGGCACAAAATCGGGAAATGAGAAAGACCCATGGATGAAGAGGAGGTAGCTACTAACCTTGTCCAGGTCCTCAGTTACAACCTCAAACCCACTCAGAAGTGTGATGTCAGCAATAGCCATTCCTGTGAGATTGGCGTTCAGGCTATGACTACACACAGGAAAACAATAAAAAGACACAGATTTATGAATTTTTCACGCAAAGCTCATGTCTCATGAGTACTTCTGAAGAGTGAATGTGATGTGAGTCCCGTTCAACTAACCTGACACAGATTGTATAGGTGACAGCCTTGTCTGAATTTAAGTTGTTATTAAGGTCTCTCCTGTTTCGGGTTCGAGCATCAAACCACTCAATTGCTGATCGTGGCACACGCACCTCCGGTTCCTCGTTGTTATTGAAGTCATCGTAGTATTCATAGTTTTCTATGACCTTAGCTAGGGACACAGAGGTTAATGTAACTGTGTAGCTTTTATTAGAAATCTCATGTGGTTGTGACTTCAGTGTCAAAAGCTCACCGGTGTACTTGACTTTCCCCTCCACTGAGACACTGATAGACACTACGTCACAATCGTCCTTGGGGTCCAGCAGATGGTAAGCCTTTACAATCTGCCAAAGAGATTGGTGATTTGTGGTAAATGATGGATCCCTTTCAGCATATACACACTTTAATCAAACTTACTTTAAGCTTGGTTTGGCCTGTTCCTGTCAATTGCACCATAATGTTGTTCCCTGAAAATTTCTGGAACAAAAGACACAAGAAACGTAATCTAAGAAAGATGTTAGATATTTGTGTGTATTTAGTGCAATGTTGATGATGCTCTTTGATACCTTAAGGTCTGTTTCCACCTTTTCCTTCATATTTTCAAATGCAAGTCTTACAATGCCTTGCTTTCCTTGGACTTTGAACTCTGCTATTAGATTCACTTCAGGCCTGACGGACCTCTTCAGCTCATACTCCGCGAGGGCTTCCAATGCCATGATGGTATCCTTGGCATGGTAATAAAACATTAATAACACATCTGCACTCTGACAGTTAGTCTGGACTAAACTGTATGATATGGGACCACAGGAATACAGGATCTATGTCCAAAGAAAGAGATTCCTAGGGTTCAAACAATTCTCGATGTAGCATCCCAATCACCTGTGATGTTTTGTAGCCTCCAGAATAGTTTTCTTGGGTGGTTAACCAGCAGGCTGTTTTGTCTGCCCACTTGGTATGCCCAAGTTCCACTGCCGCTAGGAGGGCATAGGCTGTAGTCTCTACTGTGATGGCATCTGCATTTGCTTGATTCTGTGGGTTTGCATTTGCTGTCCACAGATAACAGCCATTTGTCCCTGATAATTAGAAATAGACAATAAGTAAAAAAATACAACAATTTCAAACAATAGCAATTTGTGATACACATTTTGGTTGTCTCTTAGGGTTGGGCGATATGTAAATATGAGATAATATAAATTGATCAACTGACTGCTACATACTGTTAACAACATAAAATTACTTGAATATTTCTGGGTGTATTTGGCATTGCTATAAATCAATTAGAAGGCCTGCTTTATGGCAACATTTAATTTGTATTTGATTTTTGCATCAATGTAAAGAAATACTTTGCTTTGTCAGGCAGTTCATTTACTGGATTTACTAAATCTCTCAATTGATTATACTCAATAGGCAACAAGGAATTTTATATTTTATCCATATCGCCCATGTCTATTTGCTTTGATTGGACATGCCTTCAGTAGCCAGTGTATGAAGTTTTGTCCAGGCAGCTGAATGATCTGTTCCCTGTGGCAGGCAAACTGCGAGGCAGTAGACTGTAATGGCAACAGCATAGGGATGCTGAATCTCTTCAAGGTGCAACTGGAGATAGGTTGTTGATCTGGCAAGGCTTGCTTCCTGAAAGTAGCATGAGGGCAGTCATTGTTATTTTGCATCCGATCTTCTTTGCAAATTAGGCATTGAGTACAGTCTATCAAATTAGATTAATTATAACAAGGCTAACAGTTTTAGCTTGTTAGCATGCTAATATTTGCTGATTTGCACATACAACTGAGGCTGCTTAGAATGGCGTTAGTTTTACAGGTATTTGAATTAGGGCAAATCAATGTCAATATCCGCGAGAACAAATGAGATCCACGCGCACGCATGTGTAGAGGCAACTCAAACAGCCACGCACGCATATTACTTTTGCGAGCGCTTTCACATCACAGAATATCTCTGCTTATGCGAGCAAAATTGCAGCCTGCGAGGAGAAAAACATACTTTGCGCATGAAGAGCATCCCCTGGCCTGTCCCCTCCCCTGCTCTTCTTCACGCAAAACTTTCACCTGCTCGCTCACAAGTGGTTTTTCAATCCTTGTCAAGGATTACAACCAATTAAATCTAGTGATAGAATGGTGACTGGGTCTGGCCGTTTGGTGTCAAAGAGAAAAACCACCCGCAAGCGAGAAGGTGAAAGTTTTGCAAGAGGAAGAGCAGTGACAGTCAAAAAGTCATGGGATCACCAACATTATTACAATTCATCCTGAGGGCGTTACATGAATGTCTGTTCCCAATTTTATGGCAAAATCCACAGAAAGATTTTCATGGTAATTCCATTCACAACCACACATGTTAACTTCATGTGTGGTTGAAGTTAACATGTGTGCGCTGTGTGCGCTGAAGGAAAAGCCAGGTATCCAAAATTTTTAGGATGCAAGACCCATTAATGTGTGCAGATTTGCGCTAGAGGAAAAAAGGGATCACCAAAATCATAATGTCTTTACAAAATTGCATGATAACCTATTGGATATAGATATTTATATAATTTAGTCTGGACCAATGTGGTGGACTGCCATCCCAAAAGACAAAAAAACCTGCAAGCGTGGCTAAAAACAGTCACCAAGGGCAATACGTCATTTTATTATCTCACCGCATTACTTCTCAATTCGGTTTGCAGGAATTGAAGCGACCGGTGCAGTGCAAGACTTATGAACGCCGTCATAGCTGCAACGTCTTTCTGCGTTGAACAAACAGAGACAATACTGCATTCAAATCACAGCTTTTAAGTGTGTTGACACATCTAATATTGTTATATGTATATGCGTGTTCTAACATGAATGCAGAAGAGGTTACCATAACTCCTCTGTGTAGCACTGGATGTGGGTCACCGAATGATCCGTCAGTGTTCTGTATTGAGAGCAAGTAACTGACTGAGTGCCTGATCTCTTCTTCTGGTACAAACCTAGCCTTCCTGCCGTGCTCTCCAAAAGACGCTGTCTGACGCTGCGCCACCAGCGATAGCACTTTCACTACAAGGGCAGTCCCCCTGAGAGAGAATGTAAAACCAAGGAGAAAGGGGATGGAAAATAAATAATTTATTATTTGAGATAATTGGAAATGAAATTTACAATGTTAGACATAGAAAGAAAAAACCATTACAGCAGCATAAAACATATACTCACCAATTACTAGATGGCACTGAATACCATGCTCCATAAGAACCGTCGGGTTTCTTGAATGTTAAAATCCTTATATAACCTGACAAAACAAAACAAAAAATCCATAACTTTGTTTGTTAGTGACCTGTAGAGGACGAAATGTTTATAACATCCCACAAGGGACCGAAGTGTTACTTTTGATTCCCAGATGAATGTTATAATACATGTTAAGTAACTTGTCCTTTGCAATCTCTCAATGTTATTTCCAGAAACAATGCATACGTCTCCACCCGCTAGAACAAATCTTCCATTCCTTTGTCTTTTTCAGTTCGGCATTCATTTCCAAGAAGCAACCACCACTGGCAACCACTGACATCCACCATATTGTCATGTTGATAGGCCTCTTTCATCTAGCATTACTCCTTCAATTATTGCAGCATTATCTGTGGTGTAGATACTCTTTTTCTTTACATTTATTCCTTTGGGATTTAGTAGAATTTAGTTTTTCTACAGTCAACATATTGCTAAACAAGCTACCTATTATACTAGTTATCTGGACTGGAGCTAGTGTGTTGCTAATGTAGGGACAATGGTTGTGTATTTTAATCTTTTTTTTGCTCTTACTTTTGGTTTTCTGAAAAAAAAAATATATATATATTATAATTATAATTATTTAAAAACTCTGCTGCAGGACTCCCCAGCATTCCCATATTAGCCCAGCATTGGCTTTATAACACTTGCATTCTATCAAATTTAGGATTTAATTCAACCTATTTCTAATTACTTTCAAGGGTTTACACAACTATATCCACCACACTGTACACTGTAGGTCACTGATATCTGTGACCTACAGACCCGAAAACCACAAATCTTATTCTATTCTCTGTTCAAATAATGGGCCTTTTGCACAAAGCGTGGCAACACGCCACTAAACTCTGAAACACATTATTTCCAAGGGCCATGACAGCTTTGCGCTGCGTCAAGAAAAGCCTCGGCAAGCGCTGAACTTTGGGTATAGCAGGCTACTCTTTTAAATGTAGCCTACTTTTGGAGGCACAGTTTCTTTTTGAGGACTTAAAGGATTAAATATAGAAGCTTCATATTTATATAGTGCCACTCTGTTGTGTTGTGATTGGTAAATCTTTTAACTCTGAGAGACCCACATAGACCCTTTTTTAGGAGGGGACAAGGGATCTTTAGGGGGAGATTGCAAGTTAACATTATGCCACATAGAAGTGGTGTACATCATCTGAAAGCTGGGAACCTGAAGATTGATTTGGGATGCAGTTCAGTATCGTGTGTCATGTTGCTCTAGTCATAAATCATAAATTGATTCATTAATTATGTTAATTAATGAGTCAATAGGTTGATATTTATTACAAAGATTTGGTGCTAGAAATAATTTTTACCACTCGAGGAATCAATATAAATGTTAGAAAATGCCGACAAAATAGAACATAAAGACACCTAGACTTTGAAGAACACCATAGATGCTGTGATTTGGAATCAAAAACTTTTGACATTTTGAGATTTCTGAAATAATTGACTTTTTCGGCAATGGCAAGCGGTTCTGTTCTGGAAACTGCTGAGAAACCCTCTTATTGTCAATATACCTAATTTGTTGTCCTTATGGTGGTGCTAGTGGAAAGGTCAAGGGGTTAGCCAAAACATAAGAATACAATTCAATTAGAATTCTTCCTCTGGATATCCATTGCCAATTTCATGGCAACGCAACGCCAGTTGCTGTCAAGACACCTTGTTGTGGACCAGAGTGTGACCGGAACTGATAGGCCACCTTTAGATTCTGCTAATGCAAGGACAACAAAATTTGGCTCAAATTTTTTCTTCTTCACTCTAAATTTGTGTGAAAGACATTACACAATTGATCACTTTTTACCTGTCTCGATTTTGTCAAGGGCATCATCTCTGGCACCAGCAGGCATGTCGATCCATTGGTCACTCAGGTCAAGGTAGCGGACAGCTGACAATGTAGGGGTCAATCTCATTGTTGTCTGTTCTAAACATCCTGTAGGCAATACGATCAGTTGAGCAACCTTCTGAGGAGAAAGAAGGTTCCTCGCATGTGAACTGCCAAATCCATCCCCTGTCAGATAAGAACATTGAAAGAGTAAGACACTGTCATTTACAAAGGTCTGTGAATCGTATGTATGTGTCTAACAGCACATACCTTCTGCTGAAATGAAAATATTGGAGCTGGAGTCGGGGACCGTGTTATCTGGCAACATTCCGCTAATATTGAAAGTTTTTGTGCTCCTCCCTATTAATATAGAGATAAGTAAATTGATTAAAGTAAATGGGAAATATGAACAATATGAAATAACAACTGCCAAGCAAGTTTCATTAAGAAATACTGAAAGAACTCACCATCAAATTTATATACTCGGGTTTCTTCTTCTCTCTTTTCTAGTCCTTCTGTCTACAACAAAGTAGAGAGCTGATTACTGTGTGTCCCTGGCCTTACACTTGAAGATATGCACATGGTAAACACATGTTGATTTGAGTTAAAATTACTAATAAACAAATATGCTCAATAGTTAGTATTTTAATGCATACTCATAATCAATTAAGGCATAAATCCTTTAGCACACAAGCACATAAATCAAAATGAATAACTATTATTAACACTTTTATCAATTTGTAAAAACTGACTGACCATTAGTGTAAGTGTGAGTTATGATAAAATGCTGATATGGGACATATGGAGGGTTAACAAAGGCAAGTGATTTTTACATTAGATCCAATATGACTTCCAATGTCATATATATGTCCATATTTTGTCAGGTAGGCAGCTATCATAAAATTGTTTTGCATGGAAGTAAAATATTATCTTTGTCACTCACCAACACACTCAAAGTCTTTTCAATTGCATCTATTCCCCTCTCGTTCTCTATGTCATAGAGACGTATTTTGATGGGTATTGAGCCGGTTACCATGGGGACAGCAGAGAAGGAGACAAGCTGGGAAGACTGTGGCTCCACAGTAATGTTAACAAAAGATGTAGTGGTGGCTGAGCCGGGGGAGCAAAGGCCTTCGGTTTGTTCCATATGAACTGCCACCTATAAAAAACATAAAGATTTGAATTTCTATTCGTACAATAGGTGGTTGCTGTTTTTAGTGCCACTTAATGTGAGTCAATTAGGGATTTTTTTACCTGTAGTCTGTCTTCGCCATAGTTGTAGATAACCGGCGAAATGGATAGTTGCTCATATTTCTTCACTGAGTAAGGCAGTTGCAGAGAAACAAATGCGTCCTTAAATGCTCTGAGCTCAGACGGCTTAACTACACAGAAACCTGAAAGAAACATAGTGTAAGTGAATTACAGTTATGAATAAGAAACCTCTCAAAATATCCAAAAGCAATTGTGGAGTGTTAAGCAGTTATTACCAGTGGCTGGAGATAAAGTGATGACCTGAATCTCCCATGTGGTGATGGAATCGGGTAGAGTCAAACGATGCCTAAGGGGTTTCAATTAAGATGAAATGAATTAACTGACTGTAAGATGCATCTGACAAATGTTTTTGTCTACTTGTAGTTTGTACTGTAGACTTAAGGTAATGCATTTACCTAGATTCACTTACACTGAACTTTATAAATGATGAATATAACAATATTAGAAGCAACAAACAGTAACAAATGCAAAGAATAAAAACAAAACTATGTAGTAGCAACGGTTTTAACAGCTGTAACTAGCCACTGATTTCCACTGGAAAAGAAAATATAACATAAAAACTGTCCACCTTTTACCTTTTTTTCCCATCTACATCAAATTCTTTGAATTCAAAGCTTGGGGGAAAAAATCGTCGAATGTACTGAGCAGCAGTGTCCATGAAGAACTGTTCAATGTCAGCTACGTCTGCAGCTAAAAATGAGAAAATAAGACATATGTATTTTCACTCTGTGATAATTGTAATCTTAGCAGGTGTGTAAAGTATTTAATGTTCACAGGACAAGTTCATCTCACTCCTGCCAAGTACTTTCTGGGCGTCCTCTTGTATCTTTTTTTGTCTCAGACGCTCTCCTTCAAGGCAGCATTTTAAAAAGGCGTCAGCACAAGCAGGATCTTTAACCACCAGAGAGACTCGCTTCACTCTTTCCTGACATGTTCGTCTCATAGGGATGAGAGAAAACCCGCGAACACAACATTCTTGCATCTGTTCATCTGAAAAGTTTGATTCTGAAGGTGACATAAAAAGAAAAGGAAATATCCTATTTTTATAGCATATTCTTTGCAGAATAATCTTACATTAGCTCAGACCAGAGTCATAATGCCAGAATGTTGTCTTACTTATGGTCATCATTTCCTGTTGAATATCCACTGCACGCCTTTGCCGAGCAGCTTGTGAATCACAGCCAAAGCCTGGAAAAGTAGCATTACAGCATTAATATTCAGCATGGGATAATAAGGAAGTGGATAGTCACTACATTATAATCACTGCCTCAATATTCTCTCCTACCACCTGTAGTAGTATTTACTTTTGGTTTCATTTATTTTTGGATAAAACTGATACCATCTGCATATAAAAAAACATGTCCTTTGCAATATTCACACTGCAAAAGCCTACGTTCCATTATCTAAAGCTTGGGATATATTAAAGAATGTGAGTGTGTTCATTTAATGTACTGTAAACCTGAGACCATCTTTATTGCATTTTCACAAGTATAATATACTGTATAACACAAGTTAAACTAGATGCATAATGCATTTGACCTGTTAACATTTTCAAGGATTTAAGGAAGAATAATAGTGTTTCTCTCATACTGTTTTTCCACATTGACTGGGACTGAGACACATAAGACAGGCCAGCATCTGTTAGTACAGATGCAGTATCAGATCCTCCGCTGTATGAGCAACCAAGGTCATATGACTGCATGGAGGAAAACACCTGAAAAGTAGGAAGAAGATCTTGAATTTACTGTGTCATAATATATGGGTTGAATTAAATAACCTCAGTGTCTTGTAAGAGAGAGAGAGAGAGAGAGAGTTTGTGTGAAAGTGTTACCTGTTTGGCTGTGAGTTTATTGTCGGCATTGAGAGCGTAGATGGCCTTATCTACAGCCAGCAAAGCCACTCTGGCTCTTTGACCATATAAATCCAATTCTATCTCAGACTTTTTTCCAGGTTGGAACGGGCCTTTCAGCTCGACCTAAATATACACACGTAACCACATAGGCTGAGTTCAGTAATTGAAACTAAACTAGACAGGAACATATTTATTGTTGACAAAGAATGACAATGACAATGATAAAACACCAACCAAAGCAGTGTTTGTTACTTTACAACATTATTTTGCCGACCATCCCAACCCCCTCCCCGCGCCATGAAGTGTAGCAGGCTGCATGCAGACTTAACTTATTCAAACACAGTAAATAGAAGTCAGTCTGCACTCGTATCTGTTCTGTTTACTCACCTTGACCTTTAGCTCACATTCATCCCTGACATCTACCCACACCGAGTCCGCAATGATGGCACCAAGCGCATTGTAGTAGTAGCCAATCAGACGGAAGGATGGCACCATATCAGATGTTATTTCCAGGTTGTGTTTGACTGAAGTACCAAATCTAAGAGAGCCCGTTTTTTTTAGGATCCCGTGACTTAAGACCTACAACATAGTCAATTTAGAATTGTTAAGATTTAAGAAACTGTTGCTTCTCTTCATCAAAATAGACCATGTTGTATTCCCTCAGTTATGTCTCACCATGTAGTATATGAACCCAAGTGTTGGGCCATTGACGGTGTTGTAATCTACTGTTAGTACCTCGCCCACAGAGTACATCTTGTTGGTAAAACTCAGGTAAAGGTAGCTGTTACTCGGAGATGAAGCAGGCTGAATTTCTTTCTCTTGCTGCTGGCCATCTACCGACACCTAATGAAGTCAGGGTGTTAGAGAACAGTTAAACTGAAGTAAAGGAAAATCCGGTTCTTTATAATACATCTTGTTAGTTGTTCAGGGATACTAACTTTAACAGTAATCTGAGCCGCAGTGGGAATATTAAAGACAGGATACACTGCCCCCTCCTGGTCGGTGGTGCCTTGCCATGAATCCTCTGAAGATCTTGGTAGTACATCAATCTTTACTGGCACACCAGCTGCTGGGGAGCCATCTGGGAGACGCACGACCGCCTATAATGACAACAAACAATATATTTTACACACAAAATCATCACAGTCATGTACATAGCTGTGTACACCTTGTTAGTTGCATGCATACCACCACATCTAGCGGATATCCAGGAAGGACATATGAGCGAGTTCGAGAGAGATCCATGGTGTATTTGTGGGAGATGATAGGAAGATAAACTTCTGCCTCTTGCATTTCACCACCTGGGTCATAAAATGCAAATGAAATGAAAAATCACAATACTATTCCCAGTATCCTCCTCTTCTTCGTATTCTTCTTATACCCTCTCAAATACTAGATGGTACATCTCAAGGTGTTTGTCCTTCAATTTTGTGATGAATTATCACTATCATTATTGTTATTAATATTATTACAATTTGCATCATTATCATTATTATTATTATTAGTAGTAGTAGTACTAGCAATAATAGAATTGTTATTGTAATTATTTTCATTATTGAAATGAAATACTGAGTTTTTCAGTGACAATACTTTCTAAGACTTGCATAACAAGAAACAGAAAGAGTTGCCCGGTCATTTAACATGAGTAAACATCATACAGAGCACATGCTGCTGTATTCTAAACACAAAGTATTTTAAACATAAAACATATTCTCTCTTTACGACACATGGTTGCTATTTTAAACACGGGTTTATAGTGTGACAGAGTATCCTTTACTTTGTATGTTGGTGACAAACACTCTCAAGTAGAGCTGTGCTCCACTCTGCTGTAACTCGGAGAGGGTTTTGTTTTGCTGTTTTTGGAGGTGCACATTTAAGTCTGCTCTCTGGAGAGAAGCTGCTGCAGCTCCATCCTTGACCTGCAAGAAATGGCATACATTGTTGATGGTCAAGTATTGTAACAGATGCAAAATGTTACCAGATTGATCTTAGATCTTGAAATTAAATTTTATATAGATATCTAATGTAATGTAATGTAATGTAATATCTGTTTCCTCACCGAACCAGTTAACTCCAGTCCCTTGATAAAGACAGGCTTCATTTTCTGGCTACGGGTTTTATCTTTTTCCATCACTCCAAATTGGCAGTGGTAAGCCCCTTTAACTTTCTCACCATGTGAATACCTAGAGAGAAAGTTAAGGCAAAAAGAGTGTCTGAAAATGTAACTAATATTTATGGTAAAGTTTTAAACAAGAAGCCTAAAGATGATAACATCATCCTGTTTTGTAAAATATATGGAAAAGCATTAAGCTTTCCTTGCTTTTTGTGGGTTGCGATGGCCTATTAATGTCACATTTTATCTTTGGTTATTGATGCAGATAAAAAGTTTTGTATGCTTCTGATGTGTTTTCTGTTACGCATGTAATGGTTTTACTCTGGTTTCTGGCAAGGTTATGGTTTTTATAAAATTGGACGGATTTTAAGTTGTGTTTGGCTGAAAACTGTTGGTCTGACCTGGCAACACTAGCAAGGCGGAAGGCAATGACATGTTTTTCAAATAACATTGTTTTTGAGTTCTCTAGGCATATCAAGATGCCAAAATGTATTAATACTTTTTTCACATGAAAACTTAAAGTGAGTTTAATGGGAAATGAATCAACACTTACCTTGCTAAGATGGAAAAGTCAAACGGTTCTGCCTTCAACAAAATATAGCTCTGCTTCATTGCAATGTTCACCTCAAAACTCGGTAAAACTGTGTAAAAATGAAAATGTATTTGAAAGGGGTATTATCTGTTAATTTAAAACAAGAAGGGAATGTTTAAATTAAATTAAACTAGCTTACCAAATTTTTGGACTTTGAATTCTCGGGAAGCAGCATTTGCTTCATCATCTTCATAGTGTGCTGTAATCTTCCATGTGCCCAATCTTTGTCAACAAAACATACTGTTATTATAGTGTATCAAAGTATTTGTTGTTATGTAAGAAGCAGTTTTTGTAAATCTGTGTTAACATACTTTGATACATCAGGTATGGTGAATGTGCCTTGGAGTATTCCTCCCTTGGCAGTATTTATGGTCCTCATTACTCTATTTCCGACAGCATTCTGTAATTGAATGATAAAAGCATGAATCATCATATGAAACCATGTAAATCAGTCATGTTGACCTGCCAGAGTCCTCTTCAATTACTCACGTATACTGCTATGTGGAACACCTTCTGAGTAGGCCTCAACGTGTGGTCAAGAGTAAATATCCTGTACCTCACTAGAAGAGAAATAATCAACATAAAATGGCTTTAAAAACAATGAATTAATTCTTTAGTGGGGCATTCTTTCACATTGTTTTACCTTTCTTCAGATTTGTTGACTTTTCTTTTACCTTTCTGTGTTGGGTTGTAGATTGGCTGATCAGTCTGAATGAAGATATAGCCCCTGTGTTTTGATATCAAAACTTTTGTTTCCTTCCTTGAACCAAAGGAGGGGCTCTCTGCCACCAGCACAAGGTAGCGTCGTTCCAAATGTTGAGGCACTCTTGACATAAGCTCTCTGTCTATCTGTAAAGATGCACATTAGAAGTTTGGGTCAATGACATCTTAGTCCCCTCTAAAATGATAAAATGAATACTTTTGGATGAGTGGGGAAGTTTCTCATACCATGAGCTCAACTGTTTTGATCTCCCCTTCCATAGTAAACTGAGTGATTGCCCTCCCAGACACAACAATACCTCTACTCTCGTGCTCCAGGTAGAGAGTGATAGGAGTATTAAGATGAGAGTTTCCCATCTGGACAAACACTTTCTCATTTACACCCACATGAAACACACGGGGGGCTGAGATGAAGAATCTGCACAAAAAGGGGAAACATAGCACTCACTGTATCCTTCACTACTATATTTTGCATTCATGGACTTCTATGCCTAGAAATATCTGCAATGCTGCATATTTTGTTTCATCTGTTACATTATAACAAAATGATAATAATTTACCATCATGCTAAAAACACAATTGTTAACTATTGTGTAATAATATATCAAATGTTGTAGCTATTTCTATATTTACCTGCTCGCTGAACACTCCACAGTCAAGATCAGGAACAGTATGGAAAAGATGTAGCGCTCCATCGTGCAGCTTCTATTTCTTTGCCTGCTCTGACAATAAACGTTTGGTTAACTGGGGTTTTGTTATTCATCCACCCCTGTATTTCTCAATCGTTGGTTCTCTCAATGCCCTCCCTGATTTTTTTTTTTTTTTTTTCTAAGATAGCTTGGAAAGAAGCAGCATTCCTCAGACTGATGTTTCATGTATCACATGCTAACTGGTAAAACATAAACTGGGAAAATCATCATACTGTCAGCCATAATATGTAAACTGATGTGTACAGATGTGTGACATACTTTTTGGTTCAAGTGTGTGCAAATGTATACTACATGCATGAAAGTATGAGATCTAAACAGATGTATTTAAAATATGAGGTTAACAATACAGATCAGATCATAGTTGACTGACAGATGCTTTTCAGACTACAACATGTTTAATTTGATAAAAGTCTGTTTTAAATCATTGCTTGGCTTGCAGCAGGGAAAGTGTTTCTGTTTCACAATGTGTACCTGTTCCCTCATTGGTTGGTGCAGTCAGCCAGATTTCCCCCAAATCATGTGATTTACAAGAAATCAAGTTTGCTCTTTGGGTTTGGGATGGAGGGAGCACTGTTTACTGGTTCAGGAATGATTTACAAAGTAGAGCTCAAGTATCTCTGTAAACTCCCTAATTACAACAATTTCTTCAGTTTAGTGCATCTGACTTTTAGTATATCGTATCAGTAGTTACAAGAGCCTCCTATTCAACACATACATGTCCTGTGTTTGTAACTTTATAATTGACATGTGTGTATTAATCAATGAATTGATGAATGTGTTCTGATCGTGTAAAATCAAACAGTTTTAACGACACAGACTATTACCAGGTTGTGATCTCAGCAATGAACAAATATATGCAGAGACAAGGTCAGACACTTTATTTTCCTCCATATGAACCACTTAATGTGTAATTAACAGTTACAAAAACAATACCTAATCTTTTTTTTCAAGTGTAGCAGGATACATTATGCAATTCAAGATTAAACACAGTGATTGGACAGAGAATTACTTTTTTTTTTTTTTTTCAAATTTACATTCGACATTAATCAAACTTGCAAGTAAATGCATCAGATTTGTACGTCTTTATTGATAATTCACATCAAACATTTATCTCAAGATTTGTGGATGAATTTAAGCTCCAGCTGCTGATTCCAAAGTCTCACAGAAATATTGCCTCATTTTTTCCAGCCATCATTTCTAATAGTAGACTAATTCTTTTATCAATATGCAAACAATAGTACATACATTTATCAACTTACTTCATGGTATTCATTAAAAACGTTTTAATTGTATTTTCAGAATATCCTACATGTGTTTCAAAGAACTGAAAAATACTGGTTCATGTTAAGTTACAATCAAGCTAACACACTTAAAATGTACACATATACACTTTGTTGTATACATAAAGAAGTGGGTATGTCATGGCCCTGTATAATCCAAAGACATATTTGGCACAGGAAAGAAACATCTCTGTCAGCCTCTGTTTCACTTCACCAACTACAGGTCATATCGTCTCTTCATCCATTAATAATCAAATTCTCCCCACATAGCCAGATAAATTGTTCTATTTTATATTCATCTGTCCAGAAAACGAGTTAAATAACTCATCCACATGTTTAGTTTACTTGTTTCATCAAGATATTATAATATTCACACACCTAAAACAAATAAAGCAATTTCAGTTTTTCAGAACATTACAGAAAATTGAAGAAATGGCAGTCCACTAGAGGGAACTCGTCGAGTTGAAAAGGACAGAGTCTGGAATTTTGAAATAATAATTGAATAATGTGACTTAAGACAATTGATTTTTGATTGAGAAGCATGTTAAAAATCACACATTTTTAATTGTATTCAATAAATAGCTTACAATCCAGTATGAGCCCTGCAAAGTCAAACGTCTTTGTAACAATTAAAATGCAGTCCCTTCTTGGCCCACAGCTACATGATATATATATATTAAGTTCAATGTTGTTCGCTGCATTATCACAGTAAGAAGAAGAGGGAGTGAATGAGAGTCGGGGGCACGATGTCCATCCACAACTCCTGGATAACACAAGAATTGCGTTTGGACAATCAACACCAGACTCCCTGTCAAACTTGGGATGAACAGCAATATAGCCCTGGGAGGAACTCCTGCAGAGGATGGTTGGTTTCATAAAATACAATCATTCATAAAAACATGCAGAAATATATATATGCAAAGTGCACTGACATTTTCGAAAGAATGAATGACCTGCCAGAGGAAAGCAGGCCACACATTCAAAAATATAATTAAAGTGTAGCTGCTAAAATAAGATTATATACAATCCATGTTCCAAAGGTTTGTACTACACTACATGCTTTAAAAATCTACATATTGTTCATCTAACAATTCCCATTATTTCCTATCTATAGACTGGCATATTAGTGAATTAACTTGTACTAACAAGTGAAAAAGTAAATATTTTTATACTTACATCATGCACCATCAATAATAGGGTGATAATAGTCCCAAAGAAGCAGCTATTCATTATGTGTTCCTATGTATATGAAATATAAAACTGTTGCTCATTCTAACTTCTTTAAAATATTGTAAAGTACACTCTCTGCATCCGTCCTCAACCGCTGCTTGTTCAGTTTGCCTGTCCATGTCCCCCTCTCTGTCTCCTTCCTTCTATCCATCTCATTTCATGCAGGAGTGGGGTTACCTAAGAGACCAGGCCTCAATAGAGAAAATCTCTTTTCTACAATTAACTGTGAAAGTGACAGAAGGAAAGGAAGGGAGGGATCTGTGGAGGGGTGCACACTCAGAGAAGAAAATGAGAAAGGGAAGGACACAAGTGTGCATGTCAGGTAGAGAGACGTAAAGTTAAAAACTAATATTTGTACTCATTTTTTAAATTTCACTTTCAGAAATTCCAGAATAGATAACAACAAAGATAGTTATAATACAAATGTATTCAATGTTTTGGACCCTCAGACAGCAGCATTTTGTTGCTGCATTTAACCTTTTGATTTACTAAATATATTCTGCATTGTATTTAGTGAGGCTAATAACTTATATGATTAACTGACATGTACAGTTAAGGATATATTTTATGTCCTACATTGGTAAGATTTTTTTCACACGCTCTCTTAATAAAAATGTACATTTCAGTTTTGTAGAACCTCATACTTGAATTGGGATTAGGCGTAATTAGGTTGCATTACACTGATCCCAGTGAAAGTGAATTATGTCTATTAGCATAATCTCTAAAAATGCGGAGGGAGTGACCACTGGGTTTCCATGGAGAGGTGTACACAAAAGGGTGTGGCGTGGGAATGTCCTCTGGGGTCAGGAGTGAGGGTTAAAGGGTCAGAGGCCAGAGCCAGCTGGACAGCAACAAGAGGAGATGAGGGTGAGAAAAGGAGGTGAGGGGGTAGTCCAGAGACTGACTGACTGACTGGACCCAATGGGACATTAACATTGAACTGATGGGAGGCTCACTGACCAAGGCCTATTGAGGAAGAAACTAAGCTATGACACACTCATGTGTAATGGTCCGTGGTAATTGACAAGTGACAAGACCCTCATTGTGGATGCAAAAGCAGTTATTAAAATGCAGCGGTGGATTACAAGCTATATGCGTACTAGTATTCAGTGGTTATATGGGGTTATTTGATTCAATGATAAAACCATACTCATATACTACAACTTTTGTAAGTGCAATACTTATAACTCGGTAACATTCAAGGTGGTGAATATTAGGGTCACTTCATTCCAAAAAGAGGCCTATAGGCATATTGGGATATAAATACATATAACTTTATCAGTTTGGGGTTTAAGGACTCACTTCAGTGTGCACCAATTATCGCCATTTGTTTTCCAATAGTTTTCACTGATAGCAGTCAGAATTGCTTACAGTATTAAGCCCAGTTTATTTCCTGTGGTGTATTATTCTTTCCACCTCAAGGAACATATACTTTAACATGTACCAACTGACAGTTAAAGCCCATTCATATTTATCTGACGCCAACTATTTAAAAAAGAAGGGACATTAGTACTGTGTTGTGAAAAGCGACAAAATGAACGTAAAAATACAAAGGCAACCACATGATGTTTCTCCAAAGATCAGTTCTATGTAACAAGCTGTCTGATAACAGTGAAAACAGCCTGTTCACAGTTGCATTTTTGTCAGTTTGAGATTTTGACAAATCAGGGAAAATGTTGTATCATTTCCAGTTCCCGTGGTTAAAGATGCTCCCTGTAACTCAAGGGTGCAGACAGGAAGGTGAGTGTCTGTGAGCTCTGTCTTCCATGTGGCCGCTAGTGAAGGTCAGGTCAGAGAGGGCAGCAGGCAGTCTGGATCGGGGCCACACTCTGGTGGTCCAAAAAAGACAATCTTTGGGGCCCAACCCAGGGGGTCAACATGCAAATAGTAACCCCTGAGTGAAAGGCATAGAGCAGATCAATGTTCTCACATTACTCTTGCTGCCCACGACTGTGAATGTGCACGCCTACACACCACATGAGGTTTTCATATGTAATGAAATTCAGTCCCAACAATAGTGAAGGCAGCTGTATTTCAACAAAGGCAGAAGTATGACGTCATACGTTAGCGTTAAAATAAACACGATGTCTTTATTGAAGTTCATCAAAGTCCACTGATGTTACTATTGTCAAAAACACTTTATCAGATGATGAATCATGACTGAAAAGAACAAACAAACATTTTTGAATTTACAGGATTATGAAAGCTGCAACAACAACATTATCATCTGGGTGACTCTGGCCCTCCACATTCATCCAGTGCATGTGTCGCAGATGAAATTCAGTTTTTCTGTCTCAGGCAAGCCTACCCACTGCTGCCTCCCGGTGGCCTCAATGGCACCTGTAACATCGCAGTCATATTTCCCTTCAGATCCTTGTCCCGGGGCCCAATTGTGGTAACAGCCAGAAGTCGACTTAGTCCAGAACCAAAAGTTAAATTTACAAGTGTACCGTAGACCTATCCAAACATGAAGTGATGTGGCGTTCTTTGCCGTTTCAGCCACCTTCCCCTGAATGTCTTTGCTGCTAATGTGGACAAGGTCAATATGGTGCTCCCTGCAGTAACCCATAGCTTCAATCCATGTCATATTTTCTTGGATTAGTATCAGGTTGTCTTTAAGGAAAAAAACAGAGAAATAGTTCTTCATTCATCATGGAAATGTATGCAAAATCAACACAAAGGCACATGCTAATTTGAAACATACCTGTTGGAAAACTTTGACTGTTTTCAGTTGGCTTTAGAGTGGAGGACGGTGTAGTGGTCTGGGCTGAAGTCCCCATCAGTGTTGATAGTGTAGAGGCACTGTCTGTGGTCACTTGTGCAGTAGTACTGGGAGGTTGCTGTGTAGGTGTCACAGTTGACATTTCTGTAGTTGCATTGTTGAGCTCAGTATTTGGGGTACTTGACACAAGATCTGTTGTATTTGATGTCGTCAGGTTATTGGTAGTTGTTGCTTCTTTGGTGGTAATATTAGTAGTGTGTGATTGATTGGTAGTAGCCAAAGTTAAAGGATATGTTACAATCACATCTTGAGATGAAGTGCTTTGAAGAATCGTCCGATTTGCTGCCATCTGCTGTGTACTTGTTTGATATGTGTTTGTTGGAATTGATTTCCTTGCTGTAAGAGTAAGTAATGAATTAATAAACATGGATTATAGATGTAGCTCTGTTGTGTCCTGTGGCAGGTCACAAAACATAATATAATAACATAAAGATCGCTTTGCTTACCCCCACTGCAAACAAAAAAACGCTTGCCGCTGCATTTCAGGTCATTCCACCGCCCTTTATCTTTGAATATAGCAACAACACAATCCTGCCCACGAATATTGTTAGGCTGACTGGGTTTCCAGTAACGGAATGATGTTTTGCTCCCATCAGACCACTTCCAGGAATCTTTGAAGAGGCCAATCCACACATTTTGTGATGCAGACACATTATGTACTGCCTCATTCTCTTCTGCTGACCGTATGCTAATTAGATCCGATGACAAGCTCGAGAAATATCAAAACATTCTGCAAAGTCCTCTCCGAATGAATACACGGTTGAGGTTTAGCACATTTTTCATTCACTGTTTGTCTCTCATCGACCAGGAGGCGCTGTCGGGAGCATCTTCTACCCTCTTCCCTGTCTTCAAGGAGCCGGCCTGCTGAAGAGAGAGAAGAAGGTGACCCGGGTTCAGACACTGGTATTCCAAGAATATCTCAGTAAGTTCTACTTTTAACACGAATCCCAGAATATACTGTAATTCTGGGAATAAGAAGTAGGTGGTGTAGAAGTCGAACATTATGTAGACAGAAAATACAGCACACTGTTTAAGTCGAACAGATTTCATCATCACTTTTGTTGTGTTTTAGTGCTACCAATGCAAATTTTTTGAAATGCTTGCATGCTTAATGGATGATAATATCCAAGAAAATCCCTCAGAGCAGCACCTTGAGTTCTCTAAGATGTGTCAATCAAACGTTCATGCCCCCAAGCAGGATGGGGAAGCAACCTCTCACAGACCAGTAGAGGAGGTTCATGCATTTTTATGGGCACAGATTCTTCACATAACCTGTTGTGACTTGTCTAATGATTGTTGTGTCTTCTCACCAGGAATATTGTTTGACACTTCATGACAGACACGCATACATACACCTGGTTGATGGTGCGCACTGTTCAGCAGTCATTTTTACAGCGTGATGGGGATTGTCTGATTCATGTCGCTAACCCTGTCCGTACCCTGACACACAACTCGTTGGTCCAACATGTCTTTATGGTTTGGGGATCAACACACGATGTGTAAATCCATTTCATGGATGGAAAAAACGCATCAAACCATTTGCTTCATGGCTCATATCTTCAAAAACAGGTTATAAAATCTTCAAAACACAGATTAATCTCATTCCATAAAGTTATAAGAGCTGAAAGAATGAATTCATTAACCCTTCAGTCGATGTACAAACGACAAATTTGCAACCATTTTAATAATTCATTAATCATTTCAGTTATTTTTTTAAATGAAAAAGTCATACCCTTGCTGGTTCTTCTTATATGTGAAGATTTGCTGCTTTCTTTCTATTTTATATCATAATAAATTGAACATTGTGGGGTTTTGTAATGTTGCTCGCATAACAAATTAGTAAATTGCAGTGGCAGTCTTCAGAGTGTGTGCATCAACTGTCGGGGCACATCGGAGCTTCCTGAACTGTTTTCAGTTGGAGCTCTCACCACCTCAGCACAGGCTGGTGCACAGAAACGCTCTGTTGAAATATCATTATTTTACAGACACACATTATGTCCCCTTGGCAGGAGAAGATAGCGAAACACCAGTAGAGTGGAGCCAGATTAAATGAAGTGGAGTGAAATTCTTCAGCTTCAGGAAAAGCAATAGGGCTGTTCTTTGAAAAGGCTATGAGCGGAATGAAGAGCCCTGAGAGACCAGAGACCTTAATGAAATTCATTGCAATGTATTCTGACTTGGCATTAAATTGGGAAAAGGCGTGTCAAAATTACATACTGTTCAGTAGACCAACATTTCTGTATTAAAAATCCTTTTTTTAATTGGTCTTATGTAATATTCAAATTTTGTGAGATACTGAATTTGGGGTTTTCATTAGCTGGACGGCATAATCATCAAAATGAAAAGAAATAAACGCATGAAATATATCACCCTGTGTGTAATGAATCTATATAATATATGGGTTTCACTTTTTGAATTGAATTACTGAAATAAATTAACTTTTCGATGATATTCTAATTCATTGAGATGCACCTGTATGTTAAATAGAAACGTGCACTAAAGAGAATATTATGCTGCAGTTTTTAGACACTAAAAAACATCCATGTCAGAGGCACAAAACATAAAAGCATGCAGAGTATGTGAAATACATAAATCAGTCAGACACAGCTAAACAACAATAAAAGACAAGCATGCAGGTAGATGAGGGTCGACCGGCAATTTCAAGACAGACAGACGAGGGAAAGTTCAACACGGACAGAGAAGCAGTTACATTCTAGTGCTGACAGAGTTGGGTACTAACTAACCATTTCTTTAATTGAGCTTTAAATTAACTGTATGTTTGTAGTTCTCTAATGGACACTGGTTTGACCAAATCACTGATACTTTAATGTCACTTGGTATCGTCACCAGAAAGAGAATTTGACAGCACCTGTCAAAAGTGATTTTGGTCACACTACACTATAACAGTAAAGTTATTGAATATTATTTCCAATAAAAATGCACTAAAATTAATCAAAGTCATATTTTTTCAAAATAGCAGTTGTAGTACAACAAGGAGGAGCCCATTGATGTGTGAAGTGATTTTGGTCATGCTACACTTATCAACAGTAAAGCTATTGATTATTATTTTCAATAAATATTCACAAAAAATTATCAAAATCATATTTTTTCAAAATAACACTTGTAGTACAACAAGGAGGAGCCCATCGATATGTGAAGTGATTTTGGTCATGCTACACTTATCAACAGTAAAGCTATTGATTATTATTTTTAATAAATATTCACTAAAATTAATCAAAATAATATTTTTTTCAAAATAGCAGTTGTAGTACAACAAGGAGGAGTCCATTGATGTGTGAAGTGATTTTGGTTACACTACATTGCATGACAGTGAAGCTATTGAATATTGTTGTAGTAGGTATTTTCCGCATTGCACTTTGTAGACGGTCCCTGCGCACTCGTCTCGCAGCCGGCCGCTCATTGAGACCAATGCAGATTGTCCAGCTCGGAGGAGTCCGTAAGACGGCCCGTTTTAATTCAATTAAGGTTGTAGCTTGTTGTCTACCTCACTACGGTTACAGGGAGGTACCGTTTGTATTTTAGCAACGTTTCGTTAACGATTTATTGAACCGGGAAGTCCGAATCTGTCAATATCTTTCTAACTTTACCTAAGTGCTAAATCCCTTGTGTAGACTAAATTACTATCGCCGGTGATGAGTGATTTATTTATTCATGCTGTGCGTCAGATCGCATTCCTGTAAAGTGTGCGATGATATCGTTAGCCAACATGTGTCTTCTGCAACGTCCTTATTCTCTGATTATAGCTTATCCTCTTCACTTGATTCTAGCCGAGGTTTCAAGACCGTTTGGTCCATACATTACGACACACAGTGCATTCATATTCGCTTTATTGGCAATCCCATCTTAACATGTCATTCATGGTTTTAAAAACGAATTTAAAAAACGTTTATTTTATGCGAAAATCTACAAATTCTCGATCACATCGTTGTCTGAATAATCTTTCTCTCTGAATAGTTGTCCTAAGAATTTAAGTATGTTAATCAGGACCAAATTCTGACACATACAAAGTGTAGTAAGGCTATTTTATGGTTTAAACTTTTCAAGCTTTGATAATATTCAGACATTCTTCATATCTAAATTAATGTAAAAAAAACACAGGCACACACTACATTTTGCAGTCTATGGTTTCATTTATCAGAAACATGTATACAATATACTGTATTCAAAACAATATCACAAACAAAATGGTATACAGTATATTCCTTGTTTGCTTGTTTATTAACTTAAAAAAGTTAGTGACAGGACTTCTTATTGAATTTTATGACCTCTTTTCCAGACTTTTTGCAGTGTCTGCATGTTCATATTGTCTTCATGGTAAAGTCTTATAGTATATTTCAGTTTTCTAATACACAAATCAAATACGGAAGAGAAACACATCCTCTTGAATATCATTTAAAATGTTTCTGTTTTACTATTGTTAAATTACTAGGAAAATAATATTTTGTGATACTTTAAAGTATATTAGAAATTGTCTGTTGCTTTGTCTCATATCATATTGTCACAAACGTCAAATGTGTGTCATAATATGAAAACTGTAACAAACCTTTAAGGAATTCTAATGACAAAAAACATTTTGAGTAAAAACTGATCTGAACAACTTGGAGATTTGTTGTTTTTAGAAAAAGAAGCCAGTGCATCGAGCAGTTCAGGACAAGGGTTTATTCAAATATACTTTGTCAGTACAAAATATGTCACATAATCACACAAACAGTTATTGCACTTATGGTTTTCATAATTATGAAGTCACTGAAAAATAAATCTGATTAAGGAAGTTCCTAATGATGACATGGAAACATTCACTAAATCCTGAATGCATTGCCCAATTGTACATTTGATGTTACTTCCCTTTTGTAAACAGATCTGCTGACACTGATGAACCAGCAGATGTTGACATGCTGGCATTACTAGTTGATTTCTACAGTGTGTTCCTGGACGTAGACGATATAGTGGTGAGTGTTGTCACCCTGGGTGAGGACTGTCAGGGCCTCCAGGCCGTGCGCGTCCTCCACAACCATCACCTGGTCACCAGTTAGATCCCCGTCTGCATTCACCACCATCAGCTGGTTTGTGCACTCGCCGCCCTCCTGCTCGTCAGCCACAGCTTAACGTCAACACTTTGTTGTCACCACTCACAATCACCCGAGTGGTCACTCACTCAGTGACAATCACCCGATGTGGTGCTGTTTACCTGTTGTACAACGGTGACAGTGCCTGGAGCCATGGCGACCATGGAGGTGACGGTGTTGTGAGTCTCTGAATTGAACACGGTGATCTGCTGGATATCAACTGAACATAAAAGAGACATTTATTGTAATGTGTTACATAGTACATGCAAGCAGGAAAAACAAATAAAAAAGGTGTGGTCTGTTGGTTTCTCTGTATCGACTGTATGTTCATCCCTGGTGCTGTTGTTGTTGTTGTTGTTGTTGTTACCGTTGTCCTGCAGGGACGCTACAGATACTTCTGTCAGCTGCTCTTCATCCTCCACAGGTATGAACTGGGCCTCTACTGTCTCCCCCACCTGGATATTCATACAGATTATGTATTGTCCTGAAAATACTGATGCTCTGTTGAACAAAAACGATTAATACTTAAACTATATGCTAACACTGTCGAGCTAGCAAGTTTTTCCAGTAGGATTCCAATTTGTGATATTTTAACAGGTTTTAAGTTTCTTAACCCTTTGATACACAAGCTATGCAAACCCCTTCTAAGACACAACATGGGTCAAAAATGACCCGTATTGACCTACAATGTTATTTCATGCACGGCTGAGGGTTTCTTTGCTATATTTTTGGAAATCAATATATTTCATCATTTAATATTTAAAGTATTCATTAAATATCTTGTTTTTGATTACCACAAATCCTTATTTTAATTTTTCCTTTCTTAATTTATGAACTAAAATAGTTTTTGTATTTTTACATCAAGTTTACACGCATGGGTCAAAAATGACCCATGTATGTAAGTGTGATAAAAATTTGAAAAAGACACATTATAATAATGATTTTGTTAAAAATGATTATTTTAGCAGTGATTTGGACGAAAGAATTACACATTTAATATTTGAAATGTTTACTTTATCACACTCACACATAACATACACCATACAACCGATAACACTGATATTGAACTGTAAGTGTATCTGTAGTGTTACTGTAGTGAACTGTGGTGAATGTATAAAATGAATAAATAAAAGAAAAGAAAACTGATTCAATAAACTCATATGGGTACAGTGCAAATAGCCATCTTAGTGCATACATGCCTCACAAATGACAATCACATGTTTGTGCTAATTGCACACAGGGCTGGTGCACTTTGAACACCAGCTGCTGGCTTTTCGGTCTTTGACAACTTCTTCACCAGTATCCCTCTGGCTGAGAAGCTCCTTGAGAATAACCTGACCAGTGTTATGATGCCTTAAACGGGGCTGTAATGAATTAAAAATTAGTCTTAATTCCTCCCAAGAGTGATATTTTTTTAATTTGTTTTGCTAATTTCTTAGAGACTTGAAGAGTTTTCTGCCAAGTATTTCAAGTGAACTGACCTTTTTTCAGCAAAATCGTTGGAGCACCCCTCCATGATTTGGTCTCAGCGACAAAAATGAGACCACTGTTATCACTGTTGCCTGCAATTCCAAAGGTTTGACATTTTGAACACAAAGACCATTGCAACTTGCATTTAAACATGATTTGTGCCATCTGAAATAACTCTGATTGCAATATTGCCATTTCCCTTACCATGACAAACAAAACTTCTTTGGGTCCCACAGTCACTTTCAATCCACTCTCCTTGTTGATCCATTGCTGCACATGCATCTTCATTCTTTATTTGTGGTTCTCCTACCTTCCATTTAAAAAAATCCAGTTTTTGATCAGGCCAGGACCAATGCCACATCCACACTTCGCTAGTCTCTAGTCCTATCCAGGCTCTGGCAATGGTACTTGGAACTATACTGATTAAATTATCCATATCAGTTGAGTTGTGAACTGTTGCTAAATCAGTGTACATCTCTCTGCAATAGGTCTTTGCTTCAGTGTAGGTCTTGCTCATGGTAATTAGGTGAAAATCTGAAGATCCCAGAGTAAAGGAGCAAAATCCTGTGAAATTACAGGTAGCATGTTACCGCAGGTTGAATACCAACAATTAAAAACAACAACAGTCTTGTCTTCACAAATAGCCAACCACATTCATACATTTGCATCATAAATTATGATATGAGGAAAGCATGCATGTAAGGTTCAAACCTGAGATAAAAAGCAGATGCACTATTCGAGTCCCTTTTCTCACGATCCATCTGTTTTCAGTCATGATCATGGCAAACAGCAAAACAGAAAGCAAGCTTTAACCAACTAGTAAGTTGCTATAGCAGCTGTGAGCAGCGCAGTGGTTTTAGTAAGAATGCCACTTGGCTTGTTAAGAGACACCTCTTCAGTAGTTACAGAAAAAGCAGTTCCTCAAGATTCTTTCTCTCTTGCACATACTGTAAGGCACGCGGCTCATTAGTATGACATTATATGAAAACAGCTACAGCAGTGGAGTACTTTTGATCTGTTTGATTGTCTGTCATTATTTGGCAACAGGTTGCGTCAAAAATATAATTACATTTTATGCTCCGGACTGGATTAAAATCACTGATCAGGTCAGGTTATGTAAAAATGACCATGGATTACCTAACACATATAAATCTAAATATCTCAGTTGGTGGAGAGCATTAACAATTAATCATATGGTTGGTGGTTCAAGTGTCCATGATCACTGCACTGATCATGTAGTAATCATATTCATTCCATAAATGGGTGTGAATATACACTCACATGGATATTCATTTCTTTGTGTCTATTTATTCAAACGTGAAATGAATCCATCTAAGTAAACAAAAACATTATTGCGATATTGCGGTCTGTTGGATCCCATTTAATGGAAATGTTAACTTTTCAGGAGGCTGTGTCTAACTCTAACTACCTAGAGTTGTTTTCATAAACCAGTTGTACTGTGCTGACAAAAAGAACATTTTAAATAATTTCACCATGTGTAAAGAAAATGTAAATGCTGCTTAGTAGAAATTGTCGGACATTTCTGTACCCAGGGGTTTAAAAAGTGTTGGAACTAAATAAAAACTCTACTACATGTACAAATCATTCTTAACCCCGAAAACAAGGAAGTTCAAAGACAAGACACAAACGAATACACAAAAGAACACTGTGTTAAATACTGGAGATGGTGAAATAAAAAAGTTGTGCAATACTGTATATTCCCCTCCTGTCAAAGGCAAACGCATTCCTTCTTCTAGATGTGGCTGTCCAAGAGTTTGCTCAGATTAGGTCTGCTTTGCCAAAATGAGGTACCTGAGAGTTTTCCACGTAGGAATCTTGTGTCAGAGTATTTACTTTACATGTAATTTTCCATTACTTCTTCCTGAATGTTTCATGTAGTGGAGTAGTTTTTTTTTTTTTTAGTGCCATTTACTTAATTTCAGAACAATATAAGTTATAGCAAACAGTAAATATAATTTTATTTTCATAATTTTCATGCAGATGTTTAACTATTTCGCAACAGAAATCAGCGTGTCCACATAATACATCTCGATGCGCATATGCTGCAGGAGTGTCATATGACAGCGCTGTTATGGGTGGTCCCATGAGACATTTTGGCTCAAGGGATACTGGCACTGAGCCACCATGGCATGGCCTGTAAACAACAACAGCGTCAAGTTGAAGTAAACTGGATCTAAGTGTCGGCCTGTTGTCGCTTGGTCTGTTTACAACGAGTACCGTGAAGTTGTTTTTAACAATGCGTCGAAGGTGTGTCTGGTAAGTAATTCCAACCTTCAAACGACCATGAGCTGTTTTGTCATGAACCGCTTCCTCAGACGATCACCCTGAACCGAGCATTACGCTAATCTTAGCTATATTAGCCAAGTTAGCTGTAATTGCAGCTAACAGGCTAACGTTAATCTTAGCTAGTAAGTACGCAGAAACCACTGCGCTATTTGTGCCGATTTATTGATGTTGTTCGATGACCGTCGAGCAAACAAGCGCCGCATTTATTGAACAGTAACTGGGTATGATTATTTCTTAGTTTCACGAAACGCTACAGAATGCAAAATACGCCAGACAGACGCATGCCAAAGCTAATGTTAGCTGTCGCTAGGGGGGCTCGATCATTTATGGTTTGATGCTAATGTTAGCTAGCTCACGGTAAAAGCAAACGTAGGACCATATTGGGCGATATGTTACGGTCCATTGTACTAATTAATAAAAATAATCACGGGCTCTTGCGCGTTTGTTTGCGGTTAACAACGACAAGCTAATGTCGTTCTCCACGTAGTAACGTTTATGTCAACGTTACTGCAAATGGTTAGCAACATTGAGTAAACGTGTAACGTTATTGCGACGCCACAGGAAGCTAGCTAACAAACACTGACTAATGTAAGCAATTGTTGATGTAACGTTAGCGTACTTAAAGGTTCCTTCGGGTTGAACACGGATTCTTACACTTGCTAAATCGCAATGTGTTTTCCTCAAATTCGACCAATTTGAACAACACAAATCTTGTAAAACAATATGGATTTTAGGCTTCCTTTTAGCTAACGTTAGCTAAGAAATGGTTCCAACCATATTCGATTAGCACGTCTCTGTATGTGCGTGTCATTTAATGTGTCGGGTTGGTTTTAGGGTCTTAGTTTGGTAGATGCCTTGACGAAAGTTAATCGTGAGCAAATGTGATAGTTAACGTCACTGTGTCCTGAAACTAGGGCTACCACTCACGCTTATTGTCACTGGTAACGTGATTCAATTTTTCTATAAAATGTCAGAAAACAGCGAAAAATACCATTACATTTAAAGTCCAAGGTGTTGTTTAGTCGGACCAGCAGTCCAAAATATACCCAAAGATATTTAATTATTCAAAACCGAGGAAAACGTCCTCCTCTGTGCCAGAGACTGATGGGCAACTATCCTTGAAATATGACTTAAATAATTGATAGATTAACAAAATAGCTGACAAGTAAAACTACCAGTCACGACAAAGGCAGAGGTTATCTACAAGCTCTATCAGAAGAATTAATATTGTCCTTTTGTGTCTCCCTCAGATTGATATCCTTCAGACGGGACCTCTTCCTCCACCCTGGGTAGCTTACTAGCCATGTCCTCACAGCAACCCAACAGCTCAGCCTCCAACAGCCCCACCAACATCTTGGGTTCTCCTTTCTCAGTCATCAGTCCCTCACTTAACTCCCCAGGGGTCTCACCCTCACTCGGATTTGGACCCATCAGCAACAGTCAGGTAACTGACTGCCGTAATAGTCTGTGAATTCATGTTACGGTGGGCTTGATTCTTGTATTTACGGGATTAATCTGCTGTAGTTGTAGGGTACTGGTGTATGGGCAAAATTGGATAATGCAAAAGGTAGTGTTGTAATTTAATATGACATGTAAATAACCAAAGTCATTTGTTTGGGTTGCTTTGTGGGTACAGATCTCTTCTTCAGCACCTATATCAGGGATGCACTCAATCAGCAGCTCTGAAGATATCAAGCCTCCCTTTGGCCTGAGGCCTATGCCATCTCACAGCCCTGGAATAATGTTGTCTCAGAAACGCATGTGTGTCATCTGTGGAGACCGCTCTTCTGGTGAGTGAGGGCTCTAAGAGCAGGATTAGCAGTAGTGAAACATCAGCTGTAGATGGTTTTATTTAATTTTTAGTGTGGATTATACCCTACTGTCAGATGTTTTTGCCTGTGTTTCCTCAATATTTTGAACTAAATGGATCTCACTCCCCGTTGCTAATAAAAAATATAAAATGTTTTGTCAGGCTGTTGCCTTCACGTTGGTGTTTTGCTTGATTTTTTATTTTTTCCCCAACAGCATTTAACTTTACCTTTTTTCTGTTTTGTTATTTGTGTAATTTACAGGCAAGCACTACGGAGTGTACAGCTGTGAGGGTTGCAAAGGTTTCTTCAAACGAACTGTACGCAAAGACCTTAGCTATACCTGCAGAGATAACAAAGAGTGCCTGGTCGACAAACGCCAGCGCAATCGCTGCCAGTACTGCCGCTACCAGAAGTGCCTGGCCATGGGCATGAAGAGGGAAGGTACGCAAGCAGCAGGGTTGCATTAGAAATTAAAGTGCATTTTGAGAGCCTGTTTGGCTATTGAAGGTTTAGCAACACGTTTTGTCGCGAGTTGTCATACATGCAACTATACAAAGGTGACATACATTGGAGTTTTCAGCAACATAGAGTTAATACACATTTTTAGAACCATTTAAACATTGGCAGTCCATTAGATTTCTTAGAATGACTAATTATGCTAAAGGGCGCCCACTTAAATTGATTAGGTAATATTGGATTACTACTATTCCTGGCGTAGGTGAGGGTGGATGCTTGATTAGATAAGATAAAGAGTAGAGACGAGTGTATTGGGGCTGGTTTATATAACTAACCCCTCTCCATCTCTTCTCTTCATTTTCTCCTATTCTACCCTTTCTCCATCTTTCAATAGTGATCAAACATGTAAAGTGGATAAAAGAAGATGGAAAAGATGAGGGATGGATGAGTATGACATGAAATCTTAAAGATATTGTTTTTTTATGTTACTTATAGAATTAGCCTGTTGTATTAGACATGCAAAATTATCCCCTGGAAGATTCTTGTGTGAAAACGTACCCCAGAAGTGATGGAGAGCGAGGATTGCTGTGGCGTAGTGCCTTGTGAGGATAGACTGCTCTGTAAAGCGAGCAGCCAGACAGCAGTCATTCTCTGCTCTGTGACTGTATTTTAAATCCGATGGAGTCGATCGGTGTTGAAGCAGCACGAGGTGTCTAGTTAACGCCGCCACAGGCCACAAGGTCAGTTTAAAGTATCTTATATAAAAGATACATGTGTTATGAGAGGCGCTGCCTCTTCACTATGTCTGTGCAGCTCCAGATGTATGCACATAATGTTTGTACACTGCTCTGCCACCAGTTAAATCACCATGTCCGTTTGTAATGGCTGCACTTTGGTCAGTGTCTGATCTGCTAGTGAGATGGGTAGATTATAAGTGTTTATCAGGTCTGTTGTTTTTTTTTCCTGATTTGATTGAGAGAAGTCAGAATATATTGGATTAGACAACAGTGCCTGTTCTTCCACCTCACTGAGATCACAGTCTCCTTTTGGGTTGCTGTAGACAACATAGAATCTCTCTCTTTTTTTTTACTGCCATTTCGTTTTTAACAAACCTCACCTGCTAGTGTCCGTTGTCCTCATTGAGCGTTGTGCTGTTAAGGCAGCACCACTCTAGAGTGATGCTGCCATTTCACGTGGGGTGGGAAAAGCAATAGATTGTTTTAGATGCATTGTTGTTCTGTCTTTAACAATTTAGTATTCGATTTAGTTTCATTAAAGTAATGCATGTAAGCTAACTGGCATGTTAATAACAAACTCATGCATGTGACTTCAACCTGCCAGTTACTTTACTTCTGCTGATAGTGGAAGTAAATTCATCTGTCTTTTGTCATGATGGATATTAATTATGTTATTGTGAGTGTACTACACAGTAGAACAAGTATGGAAATGAAACATGTTCAAAGAGACTTTGAGAAACATTTTAACTCCCTGAATTAGAATGGAATGTACCAAAGATTGCCCACACTGCAGTTTAAATTGATAGCAATCCGCTGAATTCAAATCTATTTTTGCTGTTATGATTATAGTTTTTATGAAGACAGCAGATAATTTGAATTTGACTTTGTTAGTGCAGCAAAAACCCTGCCAACAGATAGGGTATTTTGCATAATATCCCTCTTCAACCCATAAATTCATCACTTTTCATTTTATTCATTCTTCAGTATTTATCATCATCTCATTCCTTGTATTCCCCCCCCCCCCCCCACCCCCCCCACCCCCCCCACCACTGTTTCCTTATGTCTCGTCTGACGCAGCGGTCCAGGAGGAGCGCCAAAGGAACAGAGAGCGTGAAGAGGGGCTTGAGTTCAGCGTCGGAGTGAATGAGGAGATGCCCGTCGAGAAGATTTTAGAGGCAGAAACTGCTGTGGAGCAGAAGACCGAGCTTCACTCTGATGGTGGTTCTGCAGGCAACTCGGTGAGTGCTTCCAACACGGCAATCAATCGATTTATACAAGTCACTGTGTTTTGCAAAAGCATGGTGGCTTTGGGCCTCTTGTCATTAGAATAACCTAATTAAAAACATGCTCTGATGTACAGGCTTACTGTTATTGCTGGAAGTTTTGGACGTACAACTTATAAAACATGATATATTGTTTGGTTTCAGCCCCATGATGCAGTTACCAACATCTGTCTGACTGCGGACAAACAGCTGTTTGCCTTGGTGGAGTGGGCAAAGAGAATCCCTCATTTCTCTGAACTGCCCCTTGATGACCAGGTCATCCTCCTGCGTGCAGGTACAATTGAGCAAAAGAGTGACTCATTTGAAACTGCAGCTTCCAACTCAACATGGCCATCAGCTCCGCGTTATGTCTTTGCAAGTTTATCAGAGGCAGATTATCAACAATGCCAAGGCCAAGGACACTGGGGGGCTTCCCTAAAGATAGTGCTGTGCAGAAGTTCTTCATACATTTAATTTGCACATATGGAAAACTCTAAAATGAACCACACAGTGTTAAAAGTAAGAACGCAAGGAAATAATGTTTGTTAACCTTTTGCTGCTTTTACATCAAATCTAAGATAGAAAGCAACTCCAAGGCAACTTGAATATTAACATCTGTGAAAACTCCAAGCGATGGTGATATTGTTGATTTTTTTTTTTTTTCGTCTGTTGACGTGTCAGGGGCACAATGGTGGACAGAGTTCAGGTTCCAACCTCAGGATGGAATTTTGCACAACTCAAAGACTTCTCCTTTAAAACAGCTTTTCATTGTGGGTGTAGTTTCACCTTAAGAACCACTGAAAGGTTTTGACTGATATTGTTACTGACCAGGTTAATTGTATCTCATCCGTCAGGGTGGAATGAGCTCCTCATTGCCTCGTTCTCCCATCGCTCCATTGGTTTGAAGGACGGAGCTCTCCTGGCCTCTGAGCTGCAGCGCGACAGTGCACACAGCGCAGGAGTTGGAGCAATTTTCGACAGGTGCAACTATAGAGACACAAAACTGCCCCGCATACTCAAAAATATATTGCAACTAATGCCTTTTGTCTAATTTTTCACAAACGTATCGTGTCTGTGTAATGACTGGTTTTATTTAACACAGGGAGAGCGTGCAGAGTGCAGAGGTCGGCGCCATATTCGACAGGTAATGTTCCACTTTTATGATATTTATGTTTGAGTCAACGAAAGGAGTGTAATTTTCTCATTATGCTCGTTGTATTTTACACTCTGAAACCTTTTCCAAAATGTCTCATTATTTAGGGTTCTCACCGAGCTCGTCAATAAAATGAGAGATATGCAAATGGACAAAACGGAGCTGGGCTGCCTCCGAGCCATCGTCCTGTTCAACCCAGGTTTCTATGCAATGCTGATATCTAAAAAAAAAAAAAAAAGTATGTATTGTTAAGCATCTCACACCTGAGTGAATGCACTGTCTATATTTCCTTGCAGATGCTAAGGGGCTGTCCAACACTGGCGAGGTGGAGCTCCTCAGAGAAAAGGTCTATGCATCATTGGAAGCCTACTGCAAACAGAAATACCCAGAGCAGCAGGGAAGGTGAATGTCCTCCACGATCACAAGCTCGGCTTGTTTTTCACTCTACTGCATCCGTGTGACGACGTAGAATGTCAACATCAAACATGATTTGGTTTATCGTTCATCTTGTCCAACTAAATGATGCCTTTTTTCTTAACTCGTTGCAGGTTTGCTAAGCTTCTTCTTCGACTGCCAGCACTGCGATCCATTGGCTTGAAGTGCTTGGAACATCTTTTCTTTTTCAAGCTGATCGGTGACACACCTATTGACACTTTCCTCATGGAAATGCTTGAAGCTCCCCATCAGTTGTCATAAATAGGAAAGGCGTACTGTGGTTAGGTTGAGATAGCTGAAGTCTGGGAAGCTGGAGTGGGACTGGAGTGGCACTTTAAGTTCTTTGAAGATTTGTCAATTTGTCTCACTGCTGTCTGGGTTACACTATTTTACTGCAGCACAGATTTGCTCTTCAGACCAAACCGAAGGCTTGGCACGATCTACAAGCTGGTGCTATATGTTGAAATAACTTCATGAGTAACTATGGTTTAAACAAAAAAGTATTTTTAAAAATGTAAACATATACATATTTCCCTCACAGGAGCTATAATTTGGGTATAACTTTTTATATAAGCTTTTTAGACAAAGTCTAACATCAAGCTTCAGTTGTTTCTCCAACTGAACTGATCCCCAAAACCTATTTTTTAAAAGGAAGGACACCTGAATCATGTGTAATGCATTAAGGAAGCAGTCTTCTTTTTTTTTTTTTTTTTTATCATTTTTAAATCAAGCCAGCTCTAAAAGAATATAATTGTACCAAACAGTCACCTTGAGCGGTGTCCGAACGCAGCTCTGAGTTTACTTGTATCCATTGCAGAAGATTAAATCCTAACGGTGACCCTGTGATAGAAGACGAGTCGGCGGTCGATGCTGTCCGGTTTGACTTGTCCGTGTTGATTGAGGGATCAGCTTTATGTGTCTGGTAATATACAGTTAGTGTTGTTTACTTCTTTGCCATTTTATAAATCGAATCACTTTGTGGTTAACGATTAAACTGCACTGCACACTTGCTATGTACTATTTCTAAAACACTTTTAAAATATTGCCTGGCCTTTAAATAGTCAGGCGTATGTATTTTGGTGCTATTTCAGTAATAATTTGACATAATTGCAGATGCACACCAAGCCACAAACCTAAGAAAATATGCAAAACTGAAAATCCCTTTGTTAATCTTTGTTAAAAATGTAGCAATATAAAATGTTAACTGCATAAGAGCTTTCTGCCTGTCAGTCATTCAGGGGTTTTACTAAGTAAATCGTGTCTGGTGGAAAGGGAATACTCCATTTTGTAATTTATCTATACAATTCAAAGGTACTGTGCAAAAATGATTGTTCAGGGAAAATGTATATTGACAAATTTGAATTATGATCAGGATATACAATTCTATAATTCTTAATATGTGCCCTTGTCTTTAGTTATCAGCTAGAATAAAGCAGAACATGTCTTGGGTTGCACTGGATTTGCTGAGACTGTTTCAGCTGATTTTTTATTTTTTGTGCTTTTTTTTTTTTTTTTTTTTTTTTTTCTTAATTTTTTTTTCCCCCCCCCCCCCCCCCCCCCCTTGTAGGTAGTTGTGTTGTTCGTCGTTATGTCTCCGCAATTTATTAAAAGCAAACCATAATCACATTTAGATCCATAACACCTGTGGAAGTATAGGAATTGTAAACAAGACCAAGTGAGGTCTGTATGACGGCCATGTGTAAACCCCAGATGAGCTATATTGGTAAGCTTGTCATCAACCTCTATATGCTCTTCAACATAAAGTGACTTGAAGCATGGGTGGTGTGGACTGAAAATAAAGAGGCTTAAGTTTTCTTTTGTCTTTTTCTTCCCCAGCAGTGTTGGATACTTATTTATGCAAAACCATACAATTGAAAGGTCGTAAAAATAGTCATAAAGATGTTTTAATGAGCCTTCTATTGTATTTGTTTTTGACATATAATTGAGTCTATGTTGCTGAATGCTTTTCCATCACAGTGGATAGATTTTCCTTGCCACGATATCAACTGAAATGATATTTGTTTATGTAGCCGAGGCTGCTTCAAATTGCTAGCACATCAGTAGTTTCAAAAATGAAACTGGGAAAACAGCGTGACAAACTGAGATGGCCAGTAATGCCAGTTGAACTACACATGGATTTGTCCAGGTTTCATTTTAACTGAACAGGCAACGGGATGCAGCTAATGTGCATATCCAATCCGTACCATACTCGGACGTTTAATGACATTCTAAACTAGGATTTTATTTTGTGACATGAGATGACATTTTATGACACACAATCCTATGATTGTTTTATGCATGACTTTTTAATGACTTACTGAACTATGTTTACAACAAACAATTTTTGTGACTTGCTATAGTATAGTCCATCGTGTGAAATAGTAAACTATAGATGGACATGGCATTATATGAATACTAAATTACTTTATTTTGACATTTTTATAACTGACTTTTATTTATTTATGACATGCTACACTGACTTTTTTGTATCTTTTGCTGCCATTCTTTACTGTAACTTTTTTGACTTTTTGCAATATACTTTTCAAAATACGAGACTAACCTTCTGACCTTTATTGACATACTATTTGCTTTACCATCACTTTTTTATGACTTTTTTTAGATCTGCTATGACTTTTTTCTTTCTTTTTTTCATGACATGATTCGGTGAGTTTTTTTTTTTTACCCAAGGCTACATAAGGTACCTGAGGCTACTTCACCACCCAATCTGATCCTGGCTAATGTCCAGTCGCAGCAATTTTCAGGCTAATCCAGCCACATGTGAGTGACTTTAGTGTCTACATTTTTACAGATCCATAGCACATGTGGACGTATAGGAATTGTAAACAAGACCAAATGAGGTCTGTCTGATGTCCATGTGCAAACCCCAGATGATCTAGTTTGGTAAACTTGTCATTGACCTCTTATGCTCCTGAACATAAAGTGAATTGAAGCATGGTTTGTGTGTCCTGCTTTTTCTTCCCCAAACATGTTAGATTTGACACTTATTTTTCCAAAACTCATTTTCAAGATATACATTTGTTAAGAAATATCAAAAAAATAGGTTTTAATGAGCCTTTTTATTATATTTGATACATGTGTTTTTGCAGTAGGCATAGACACAATAGAAGCCTTGGTTGTAAATGCACTTGTGTCAAGTTCCACAGCGATGTTATGGCACAGGCAGCTAATGTGTGGTGGGCTAATGTTAAATTAGAAGAAGAAAATGCTGAGTGCAATAAAATCAAAGGCTTCTAAGGGATGCCACAAGGACTAAAAGGTGAATTTCATCAATAAGTGTTTCACCATGTTTGTTAACTTTGCAGTCTGTGAAGTAAAAAGTTTTAATACCACAAACCCTACAGCTCTGAGAACCTAAGTGAACCTCCTTTTGTATCAAGCAGAGGTGACACATACAACCATTCATGGCTTGGTTTGCTTAAATTATATGTAGAATACTGCTTTTAGTCTATGACACACTATTCTACACATGGAGCAAAAAACAAACAAACAGAGAAACATTTGTCATTGTCATGACATGTACATCATTTTACAGCATTCCCCTTATTACTTTACACATCTATTCTGTCGTTGACAAAAAAACAGTACAATCTGGGAAACACAATGAGCTCTTCCCCTATAACTTCAGTTCTTAGAAGAGTTGCATGCTACACATAGTCTAAGGTGCTGACTCATTTTCAGTAAATTCGGAACAAAACAAAATAAACATACTGCTGGTGTGGTTTTATGTAGCTTTATCGTAATATTGCCTTAAATTCTTGTTTCTCTCAATGGCCATCTTTCCATCACAGTGTGAATTTGCTAGTGAATAGATGTATCTAGCCGTGATATATGAACTAAAATTACTATTATAAACACAGCCAAGGCCATTCCAAATTAATAGCACAATGAGTTCATCAACAGTTCGAAAACAGACCTACAAAATCCAAAAGTTAAACTGTGGGCTCCGTCCTGTTCACTACAATACAGATTTACATGTTTTAAAACAGATAATGGTGATATTATATTTTTCCATATCACTTATTATCATGTAACCCCCGACGTTCTTATTCATAGTTAGGGAATGAAGCTCCTCGCCATGTGAATAACAAACTAAGATCTCCAGTGATGCCAGTTGAACTACATGTTCATTTGGCCTGGTCTATTTTTTACTCCTACATTTTACCTAGATCTCGACTTGAGTGGAACAATGCATTTCTATATTCTACAGTAAGGCAACACGATACAGCTTATGTGCATTACCAATCCTAAATTGTCATAAATACTTTAAAGCTATCTTCATAACATACTATTTGATCCAAAACATAACATGGAAAAAAGCATTTTATTTTGCCAGAACAAGTCTAAAAACACGGATTAAAAATAAATCACAGCTCCTGAATGATGTACACTGCAGTATTATCCTCTCGCCCCTCACAGACTGCACATCTGTCGTAACATTTTCTTGATTATATGTCCCTGAAAAGATCTTAATAAATAAATGTCTCTGAAAGGCACTCTGAGATGTGCAGCTCATAGTTTCTGAGAAAATAAAACTACTGATCTCTGAAGATTGCTCACTAACGCTGTGCCTGCCTTCCTTAAACTGTTCAGTCAAGTGGTGAGAATAGGCCGCATGATGCCACAGCTAAAAATGTTGATGAGCATTAGCATGAAATGAGTGGTATTACCAGCCTCGCACACAATAACTGGACTGTTGACTGTGATCTTTAAAGTATGTCTCTGCTACATTTCTTATCCAGTCAACTAACTGACATTTGACAAAGCTTTTGATGTTCATATAGCTTGAATGTGTCCACTTTGATTAGACATTACAAACTGTGCAACTATTGATTTGCTGGTTAAACTGTTGAGTATATTTTCAGATGTCAGTGGTTCGTCAGTGTCAAGGATTTCAAACTCCATCGATACCATACTTTTACATCCAGTGCAATTGTTCCTTATTCGAGCACCTTCTTGAGCAAAATGAAAAGAAACATAAAACTACCACAGTAGTAAATAACAGAATAACCCTCTGCACAAAGCCATCTATTCAACAGATAACATTTCTTTCTATTTGTCTCTAAAGCTGCATGGCTGACACTAAAACTAAGCAGCAGAGAATGTCTGTACCACACTTTATGCCCTTTGGATTCAATCAAGGCCACTGAGATTGAAGCAAATGCACTGCCAACTGTTCTGATGCCCTCCACCTTGACAAACACACTTTTTCGCGGGTGTTTGGAAGCAATGTCACGTTCGAAGGATGATTGCGATTTAACCTTGTGAGGGAACGACATCGATGTTTATCCAGCAATAGCAAATTCTGCTCTCTGACCATCAGTTCATGAATAAAACCTTTTATCCACTCTCTTCAGGAAGCACTTGTGATAAGCCTATGTGAACCAAATGCATGAAGATGAGGTCAACTCATCGAAGCTGTGAGGGAACTTTAGTACCAAAGCCAGAGTGAGTTGCCAGTCTGGGTGTAGGCATTGGAGGGGCAGTGAAAGGGCTTCGAGACGTCCTGACAGTGTGTCCAGCTCACACCTGCATCTCTGAACCGCTGGACAAGCCGAGAGCGTTTGCCTCCTCTGTTGTCAAACCGTTCTTCAGTGTCCTCCTCACTGTGCAGCCAGAACAAAAAGTGAATTATTACGGTGTTTTCACAGGCAGGTGATTATATGGATCTGTGCGTGATAATAAATGATGCCACTTGGCCAATAGTTGACATGACTCACGTGATTTTCGGTTGGCTCGGGACCGTCTCCTCTCCCGAGGTTGCGTCCGCTGGCTGGGCCCCTGAGTGGCTGACCTTACAATCCTCTCCATGATCTCATCAGCTGTATCATCTGTGCAGTTCACCGGGTCGTCACTGGCAGAGCACCATGGGGTAACGCGCCCTAAAACAGCAAGGTCAGAATGAATAAGAAAACAACAGACAGATCGTATAATAGGGCAGGTTTAACAGAACAAGACGAAGTGTCTACCGCCTTCTAAGCGGTTCTGTGAGGTTAACAAGGCTAACATCAGCATGCTAACATTCTCAAAATAATTCCTAGATGCAAATGTTAAAAAGGTATAATGTTATAACAATTGTAACAATTCATCATTTTTAGCATTTAGTAATGCTGACAGAGTACAAGCTGTACACCTAAAACAGTACAGCTGAGCAAGTAGTGGACAAATTGAAATGTCGACCTGATCTGGTCTCCAGAGACTTTTTACTAAAAACCATCACATCAAATGTGAAACTCCTGCACCGCAGCAGGAAAAGTCAATGTGATTTATCATCTGGCAACAATTCACTATACTTTGACTGTTTTTAATGACACTCTGTTAAGGCATACTGTACTGTAACTTTTTCTGCGATTTTTTCAATGGCATATAATACTATGGTATTATGACTTTGTCATGACATGCTTTACTATGCATATTTAGGACATTTTTGTTTCTCACTATACTGTAGTAGTAGTATGTCTAACACATGTTCATGAGACTGACCTCTGGTGCTGCTGGCTCTGGTGCGTGTACGGAGGCCTGGCACCGTGGACGTCGCACTCTCTCCGCCCTGCAAGCTGCTCTTTAGTATGGCCTTCATGTTCTCATGTTCAGCTGCATCTTCAGCATACTGGATACCCTGAGGCTGAATCTCCTGTGAGTCTGATGGGGCACCGCCAAATTTACCACTCTGGAGAAGGAGGAGGAGGAGGACAAAAGGATTACAATTTCTGACATTTTATTAATAGGAGACGGTGAAACTTAGCTCGTTGTTCTGGCACTTTTAGTATTTCGGAAAAAAAGCTTTAAATATGAAACTTCATACAGTTTATTCTCTGGCACAGCACTTTCCAGCCTAAATTAAGAACAATTAGTCATTTCAAAGAGTTGAAAGTTTCACATAGACGTTAAAAGTGCTGTTTATTCTGTGACACACACGCACAAAAATCCCCATGACTGTTTGTTGCAACAATGCAGACATGCCAGGTTGCACAGTACAGCTTCCCTTTTCAGGTCTATTCATATACCAGGAAGTAGCTGCAACTCCTCCAGTGAGATTTTCTTCATACTCTAGCTGACATCATGTGGGCATCTCTTTTGTCTCTTTGTCAAAATCGTCAAGCTTCCTCATTCATGTAAGGTTATCCACACACATCCTCAGTCTGACTGATGACTTGTCCATTGTTAATCCTCGTAAATACACCCGTTATTGTAAAGTTATGACAGCACAGTGTGGTTGAATGTTAGTCACAACAGAAAGTTCACATGCACTTGTTTACACACAAAGCCACCCTCCTACCTCACTATCATCGTCATCCTCACTCTACAGAGATAAAGGAAATGGAAGAAAAAAAATGCCAAAAAGGTGTGTTGTAAATACAGTACACTGCTGGTGTCAAGTGAAAACGTGTTATATACAAAGTGACAAATATTCAGGAAACAGTTTTTAGGTTTTCAGATTGATAAACACACTACTGATTTATCTAATTGGTTGTTACAACGGTTGTAGCATTTTCTCAAATCATAAAGAAACCTGTAATCCTTGATTTGGGTTGTAAACGTTCAACATTTTGGGAAATCCGTCTCATGCCTGTACAGTAAATATGAAGCTGGACCCAGCTTAGCTTAGCTTAGCACTCAGACTGGGACCAGGGAAAAACACCTAGCTGGGCTCCGTTCGAAAGAAAAAAAATATTTGAAGTAGGGTTGTATGAGGACAGCACTCTTTGACGGGGAAGTGAACTGAAAGTGAAACTTATCTATTCAAAGCCAGCAGACCTCATTGACAAAAACAGCACAGATAAGTTTCACTTACAGTTCACTTCCCCGTTGCAAAATATTCTAGCATAAAACTTGAACGTATATAGTTTTTATAGGTGAGTCTTTCTTTTAGGTGTCTGAAATACATTTTACTGCTGCAGCCCTTCACAGCAGTCCATTGCTTTGCTTCCATGCTGGTACTCTTCTCTGCTTCTCCAAACTCTGGTGTGCCGACCTACCTATATCTGCTGTAGATAATACACTGACTGTAGATAAATACCTTATATACAACTCACTTCAAATACTCCGAACTATCCATTTAAGGTGTTGGACTTGTTATTTCTCTCTCAGGGACATCCGAAGGTTTGAATTTTCACACAGTGATTGAATTAGGGTCCTTTTTGAAGAGAGAGGGGCCCCTGCCAAGGCCCCTGCTGAGTAGCAGACTCCTCGGGGTTTAAGGGATTTTAATCACGCAGGGAGGTGTTTGCTCTGGCCTTTCTTAGTCTGCTGCAGCTACAAAATGAGATACACTAAAAGCAACTCACTGATTGTTGTTACAGTAACCTATACATGTGATTACCAAGGAACTATGCTGATGTAATTGCAAATGTATGCCATGTCTCTCAGAAAAGCCACGTTTGACGCTTTAACCAGATTATGGCTATAACTAGTGTCCAGGGATTGCTCATATTGTCTCATAGAATTGAGCAAGTACAAACTAAACAAAGACGAGGATCAGGAAATGGAGAAAGTGTATGTGCGACCCTTGCTCGTGGTGAGGAGCACTTACATCTGTTATCATTTTCCCCCTGGTCTTATTCCTCTCTCGGTGGTTGGCCCTCTTCTGTTTCTGCTGTAGCACGCGCTCTCTTGTTGTGCGATACTCCAGGGCAAATTCACTCAGGATCTTGCTAAAGCGATGAATGCTGACCTCACGTACCGCATATATCGGATGGCCCAGGAACAGCAGAAAGGCATGAAACCTGCAGATGTTTAGAGAAACATCACATCACTGTACAGAGATCCTTTGGTGGAAACAAAGTTTAAACATGCTTCAAAAAGTTACGAAAGTCACCTGTTGAGTATTCTTCGATGTACAATCTTCAGAATAATGATTCTCTCTGCACAATCTTTGAGGAAGTCTGACATCTTTTGTTTCAATGGTGGTTTCATCTCGTGTTTCGCAATGACCTTGAGGTGATCCCATGATGCTTTGCACCTTCGCTCTATCTGGGCCAGATTGTCTTGAAGCTGGTCAAAGTCCACCTAACGAAAGTATCACAGAATTGTTGAGGACTCTCTTCAGTGGATATGGCATTTCACTTACTGCTACTGGTGACAAACTAATATTTTGGACAAATTGTTTAACGAGTTTTTAAAGAGTGAACAACCTTGGTCAAGCGGGTGATAGCTCCTATTTCAGAGTAGAGATCAGTGCTGTCTGGAAACTTCTCCACCACGATGGAGCAGGCATGGTGCAGCAGGGACTGCTTATGAACCGTGTCCTTCACCTCCGGGACTTTCTCCAAGTAATTCAGCTCAAAGCCTTTAGCCTAGAGATGCATGCATACACAGCAACACAGTCAGAATGTGGGACGGAAACAACTGTCTGAAATTAAAAATCAAGAGCCCCTAGTCGAGGACCAAATTGCAGTGAATTTCCTTTTTGGCAAGGTCAGAAAACGGGGCTCAATGGAGTGCGCCAAGTGCAGATTCATTAGGCTGGTGATTATCAAAAACCACAATCTACTTCAGACCTGACTGATTGTTCTGCTCACCATAGCGGAGCTAAAAGAAACCCGGGCATATCATGAAAGACATAATCCCAATAGGATCTCCCTTGTTCTGCTGCCAGTTCTAAATGGCTTACTGCAAAATATAAATGCAGCCACTACTTACGGGAACTTCTTGTTTTGATATCGATGACATATGTTTCCCTGTTTTGGCTCTCAGGTCGCATTGACATACAGACAAAACCTCCATCACAAAGTAGAACAAAAAAATGCACAAAGTTCACACACAAGCAACACACAATGTCAGAAACAACCCCCCCCCCCCTCTTTTTTCTTCTTCTCCCCCTCCCAGACAGACAGAGCCAGGTTCAGCAGAGGCCTTGGCCAGCATTTTTTACTGTAGAAGGACAGTGTCTGGTGCAGACAGTCAGGCAGCACATTCTTCTACACATAGAGAGTCCACTGTTATCCATTCCAAATAAATATGTGTGGGGGAATTTGGGAGGGAGGAGGGAGTGAGTAAAAGACAGAGGGAGAGAAAGTGTAAAGACAGGAACCTCTGAGCCATAAATGTCTTGAGGTTTACTCACGTTAGTGCCATTGAGGAAGTTGCCAATGGCCAACAATGTGGTCAAGATGTAGCGGAGTGTCTTGTTTTTCTCTAACTGGTCCATCCCTTCCTTGAGGTCCTGCAGAGGCTCTGCCACTTCCTAAAAGAGCATGAAAATGTAGTCAAGAATCATGTTATCTTCTCTATCCCTGATAACAACTTACAGTAAACGGTCTGTCTATCTATCTATATCTGCAGTCACTGCAGCTTGTTGTTAACAGGCTAACTGTTTCCCTCTGTTCCCAGTCTGTATGCTAAGCTAAGCTAAGCAGCTGCTGGCTGTAGCATCTTAACTACTGTACAGACATGACGGTGAAGAACTATTCCTTTAATACCTTTAAAAGTAAAAAAAAAGATAAATGTTGAAATAAATGAAATGAAATAATGTTTTACTTCTGTGACTCCATAAGGTTTGCTTGTGATTACAATTGACAGGAATGTGTCTGACCTTCTCAATAAGCTCATAGTCCATCTTGAATGCCCAGAGCTGCAGGCGAGCAGACAACTCTGTGATGGAGGAGAGGGTGAGAAGGAACTGTTCAGCACTGCCCAGGGGGATATCAGGGTTGACCAGCTGAGCCTCCTGGATCCTCTGCTTTTCTTCCTCTGTGGGGATCATTGTCAAGATTTTCTAGGAGAGTAAAGAAGAAATCAGAGAAGAGGATGGGAAAGGATCAAGCGTTATAAAATCATTCATCAAGTAAACCTATCAAAAAAAATGTAAACGGTTAAATTCTTACTCTGTTTATATAAGATGTTCCCAATTTTTCCTACAAACTTGTGTGACATCTGAATGTTCAACCTTGTCTTTGTTGCCTGGCTGAAAAGATCTCCAGAGACAAAAGGTGGGGAGGAATACTCCTTTTTGCTGAGAATGAACTCAAGGTGAAGCTCTGGAAACTGCAGGTTATATAACCCCAAAGGGATGCAATATTAAACATTATCTGCTGAAAAGTCTACGGTTTTTTAAAACGAGCTGAAAATATGCATGTGGAGCTAATCTTTGATCATCGCTGTGATTGATTACGCGGGAACAGCCACAAAGCCAGCCATGCAGCCAGAAAACCACATATGTCAACATTGTGGGCCATCCCATCGACAGGAGTTAAATCTCTCTTGTTTATGGAAGTGCATTTTGGTGTGCTGCTGAGTAATTATCATTCATAAAAAAACATCTATATTTTGGATTTAAATGGTTTAACTGATGGAACATACAGTACCAATTTAGATACAGAACGTATCTTTAAAAACGCTTACCTCAATGCCTTCCTTGTTCAGTGCGTACTCATCAAAGTTGAGAATAGCGGTCTTAATGGTGCGAGGAGGAGGTAAGACAGTCAAGCCAATGTTTATAGCATTGCTGCGTTTTGAGTCCAGGACTATGATTTCTTGTCGTTTGCCATCAACAGCTGCTTTCTGTAAGAGATACAAATCATCGTTATATTATATCATGTACCTTGTGTAGTGGAATCAGCTCTTAATGGTTTAAGATGCACTACACAAAGTATGTGTGAAATCACACTCGGAGTATCAGCCTTCATCACAAAATGGAGATATGACCGAGAGCCCCTTGAAGCCTAGTCACCACAACAGAGTTGCTATAGACTTGTTTTGGGTATTTCGCCTGAATGATCCATGGACAGGAGGTGATTAAACTAACATTTTAAGAAGGCTTTCACCCATTTTAAATGTCATCCAGGGTGACAGTAGTTTGGCAAAATGTATCACTCAACTCACAAAATGACCCTTTCTTATATGATACCGGATAGCAAGAAAACCTGAGCAATGGGAGAGAAGCCAAGGCAAATTAGGATTGCAAAACAAACCTTCAAAAGTATACAGTAATACTGAATGGTTCTGCTGTAACAGCAGAACACTAAGTTACCTTTGTGACAGGCAGCTCCTTGGATTTGGACTCAAACAGCTGCTCTAGCTTGGATGTGTCCAGTTTAACTGGCTCCAGTTTGGACCAGAGAGACTCCTTACAGAACTTATGACTGTTACAATGCCAGTCCACGGGACGCACTTCATTCCAGAAGAGTCGGATGGTCTTCTTTTTCTTTTGGAAGAGAGGCATCTCCCCTCGACTCAGCTGAGGGGAGGGCGGAGGGATAGGGGCCATGAATGGTGGGGCTGGGGGCATCATTTTGCCAAGGATGGGAGGAGGAGGAGGAGGGCACCCAAACAGCGGCGGGGGTGGTGGCAGTGCAGCATTACATGGCAGAGGTGGAGGTGGTGGTATGAGGTCACCTGACCCCAGTACACTGTCCATATCTAAAATGTCCATGTCATCCTCATCCCTCAAGTCCGTGAAGTCGATTTCTTTGATCCTCAGCTCCCTAGGTTCGGCCATCAGCTGATCCCAGATATAGTCGGACTCTTTCTTAGGGGTTAAGGTTGATGAGGCAGCGATTGATGATTTGTCAGTCTGCTGCTGCTCTTTTGAGGCCTCGACCTCAGGAGGAGACGTTAGGCCTTTGACCAAATCTCCAAACTTCTCCGCAACTGCTCGGACACTGCCCTGGTTGTCCAGATGACCCACTTCCATTTTTTTCACATTTTCTTCCCTGGCCTGTCTGTGAGCCTCCAGTGTGGAGATCCTGCTGGCCAAGCTAGCTACAGAGGAGTCACTGACTTCTGCATCCTTCTCACATTTACAGTTTTCTTTCTCCGTTTCTGCTACATTCCCTTCATCCTTGCCGGTTGTCGCCTGAGCGTAGAGCATGTCCAGCATGAAGCGCTTGCTGTTGAGTATTTTGTTGCACTGGTCGTTCACATCTGCGTCTTTAATGCACTGTGTCCATCGGCCTGTTGATACGGAGAGAATTGTGACATTGAATAAAAATATACATAGTTGAATATCAAAGTAAGTGAATAAAATGAGCATCGATCATACCTGCTTCAATGTCATTGGTGAGTTTCTCCTCCCGCTCCTCCCTCTCCAGAGTACTACTTGTGGAGGAGATGCTGGATGCAGAGCAGTTGTCCTTTTCATTCACTTCCTCGTTCTGTCTCTCCTTCTCACTCAGCAGTACTCCGTCCTCGACATCCCTTTCCGTTGGCTGCTCCTTCTCAAACTCCTCCTCTAACTTCACATTCACCTCCACATCTGGCTCTCCCACTCCTGCTACATCTGCTGCCTCTGCCTCCTCTACCTGCTCTTCCACATCTACTTTGTCCATGTCCTGTTTCTGTTCCTCAATCTTCTCCTGCTCTTGCCCCTCTTCCTTCTCCACGCCGGACTGTTCATCTGATGCTGGCTCTGCCACTACATTCTGGTCGGCCTGAGTCTCAGCAACATCCTCTGTCTCTGCAGGCGACTCTGTCTCAGTCTGCTGCTCGTCTGGCTCAGAGGGAGGTGTGGGGGAAGGTTCTGATACTGTTAAGTCTGGCGCTGGACTTTTGGTTCTGGTCTGTGGGTCAAGGTTTGGCTCTGAAATATGTTCTGTTCCTGGAAGAGAAATCAAAACAAGGTAGCAAAATTGTTACTTGAAGTACTTCAGTTATGTGTGTTTATATTATCTGATAGTCTTCAGATATGTTTGTTTATAATTAAAACGGCTTTAAATTGCTTCCTGACATGTCCTTAATTGCACTGAGAGACTGTACATTTCCAGACTGCAGAAATAATTTACAAAGCAATCATCAAATTCTGTTACCATAGCTTATGATCATACAACACACACACACACACACACACGCACACGCACACACAAACATATGTGAGACAATTTCTGAGAAAAAAAACAAGTTAAATTAGAACTTTTGTTACCAAGTTGTTACCAAAATAAACTTCTGTACTTTAGTATTGAGAGAAACAGCCCTTTTGATTGCAAGCCTCAAAACAATGAAGCTGCTTAATCAGTCTATTTAGACACAACACATACATTTAGATACAACATCAAATTATCTATTTTCCTAAAATCTTACTGTATCACTGCTACATTTTGATACACACACATAAGTCAAGTAGTTATTCTAAATAATCCCTTTCAGCAGAAGTGCAGCTAAATCTAATTTCTGTGCAATAAACTCTCGTCAATTGTTATTGCCATGCCCAGTGTGTGTGACAGGTGCACTGACAGCCAGTGTAGTCTCTGCCAGCTCTGCAAGCCAACATTACAGTCCATTCATGCTCATATCACTCGGGTACCAATGATGAATAAATGATTGGCAAACACTAGTTACCCGACGTCTGGAGTGCAGTGGCGACTGTGTCTTGCTGTGAGATAATGGACGAAGGTGTGGCACAGCGGGACGCAGAGCGGCTAGCAGGGTTGGGACTCAAACACAGCGTGATCTCTGTCCGTCCTCTTGTTGGCACCTTGGGGCGCTCTCGCTCAAACTCCTCTGCGGCTAGCCTCTCCACAGCCTTGTACCTGCAATAATGAAATTTAGCTTCTATAAGTCTGTACACTGGGGTTAAGATGCATGCTGATCTGTTGTAAAAGCTGTTTTAAAATTGGCCCGCCATATCATAGTTGTGATATAATCACATAGAAACATACATGCAAATGATTGCAAAGTTGAAAATATTACTTAAATTTGTTTTAGGGGTGCAGAGATATATGACTTCAAAATACAAGCTACTGAAAATATTACATATTAGAGATATTAAGGCTGCATCGAACAGTGATGAAATATTCTGTTCAGTTTTAGTGAATAATAGCCATGATGTCAAAATGTATGCTGTGAACACATATGCCATATTTGTCTTGTTCCTAGGTATTTATAGAAACATTGAGCTGCAATCCCATTACTAATACTCAGGGAGTCAAATAATGACAAATGAGATACATCTTTTATTAAATTTGCCAAAGTGCTATTTAACTTTAATGGCTGGTGTTTACTGATCTCAAATCACACGGTCAGAGGGAGACAACCACATCCAGGACAAAACGCAATTACACACTGGTCCTGTTAACTTTGGGATGTCTTATTGAGGAGCAGGTCTAAAGGAGCTCTAACACCACGCTTTTGACTTTAAAATAGAATCTCAAAGTATTTACAAACCTCCTTATCTTTTATCTTATTTGCAGCATTATTGTCGGATCCATGGGAACCCATGCACTAAAGTAAACTCACCTTTCCTCTCTGGCTTGTCTTGCTTCTTCCCTCTTGTCAACATGATCTCGACTGAGATAGAAAGATCGAAACAGAGTCAAAATTTAGGGCCTGAATTCACAGTCTGTATAATGTAATATTTCAATTGCTTAACTGAAATTGATGTGGTGAGTGCAAAGAAATCAAAACAGAGCATCACAGAAAGGTACGACAAGACATCAGAGCAGAACATATACTTTTGCTGATTCTTCCTGCCATGATCCAGTATTTCTCATAATCATCATAAACAAAGACAGCCCAGCTTTTATCTGACTCATGGAGGATTTGTGAATATCACTCCAGAGTAAAGACTGTCGCCACCTATTTCTAAAAATACCAACCTATCTTTATTGGCTGTACAGCTCCCTACAAAGTAAATAAATAATATATTCTTTCTGACATGAAGTCATGTAGTATTTCCGTTGGGTGAGACTAACTTCAAACGGTTCCTCTCTTCTCTTTCGATTCTCTGCAGACGCTCTTCTCTTTCCAGGCGTCTCCTCTCTCTCTCCGCAGCCAGAGACTCCTGATGCTGTCGGTACGATGAAGTGAGCAAGCCTCCTAGAGCAGGTCTAAACGATAAAGAGAAAGAACAAATGTGATAACATTATCAAAATTGAGTGATTGGTTTGTATTTTGATTTTGGTATTTACACATATTTTTTCAAATGGGAGCTTTATAGGTATATGATCAACCATACAGACAAAATGTTCTGCATCAGCTGTGGAAAAGTTAAGATGCCAACCTGTCAACCGCTTTGGAGTCTGGTGTGGAGGTTGCTGAAGTAGTGAAGCGATGAATGGGTGATGTAGGAGCCTTGTGCCTGCCAGGGTATGGACTGCCATTGGCACTGATTCTGTTAAAAGAAGGGGAAAATAAATGCTTTGTTCGCTCCGAAAACATTTTTCCACTGAAAGACAGAGAAGAACGATAAACAACACTTCCCGAATCTGTGATGTGAATTCCAATGTCATACTGCTGGATAGCTTACACTGAGATATGACTGTGTTGAGTGCTCTTAAGCACTTCTCCCTCTGCATCTGAATAGTTTTCCTGTGAGGCCATCAACTATCTGCAGGTGCACTGCTCATCCATGTATGTGCATGGGGACAATCTTTCTTAAATGCATCTTTTCGCTACACCTACTCTGTTCTTTGAGGCCTTGTATTTGTTGAATCTGATAGAAGGTTATGCACATTTTGTCCTAGAAAGGTTGCACAACACATTGTGGATTGGAAACACACTAGTGTTCAACAACAAACTTTTCCGGCAGATTGAATTATGTGCACATCTTCCTGAGATTAATGTAAACCACAAGGCCTCAGAGCCCTCATACATCTTGTCCCTGCACACTCTTGTTACTCTTGACCCGTTGACACCTGGCCTTACCTTTCTGCCCAGCTGGGCTTTCTAGTTGTGTAAGATGTAGGAGAGTTGTATATATCTGTCAGACTGAAGATGGAAGTGAGAAAAAGAGAGTAACAGTCAGATCAGACACTCCAAAGATCAAATAATTATATGTTAGTCATACAAACAACATAGCGAGACAGCGGTCAAAGGTTGGAGGGCTGCAAGACCACAAAGCAACGGAGCCAATGGGGGAAAGACCATATCTCTGTCTGTCTTACCTATTCAGTGTGCCATTTAGAAGGTAATAAGACTGCAGTACAATTCTAATGAATACAACTATTTTACTTACTGTCAACTGTATTGAAAACAGTGCTTAGATGGAATTTAGCATACAATGCTAAGGAATTGCTATGCCATTCCAGCTTTGGTGGACTATCATGTTTCTATTGCTACAGACCTCTGCAGAAACACGAACAGCTAAGAGACAGTGACTCATGTTGTAAACTTTGAATTCCTTAATGCTTTGAATTAATTTATTGATTTGTCTTAGATTAACTGTGGTGCAGAGCCACAATGGAAGACAGATGAGTAGTAAATGTCAGCAAAAATAATGCTTTCCAGCAACTTAAAAAATGAAGTAATTATGATTTTTCTTTTTCTGGTACAGTACGTCTTTGGAGATGGCAGATCATGCAACATAAATCACATCTGAGGGATAATAAAGGCAACTATGATCAAGAAAACATTTTTAAAGGATGAAGGAGGTAGAGAGGAACTAAGCCACAGCATGTCTAACACAAATAACCTGATGGGGTGCTGTAGAGAATAATCTATTTTTAAGAAAAGATAGGAATTATTGAAAATTAGAAAAAAATTAGAACTACTATGTGTGCTTTTACTCGTATGTTGCTTGCAGGTGTCTTTACTGAGTGTACAGTGAGCTACAAAGAGACACAGACACCAGTGATGGGGATGACGGAGTGTTTCCTTGCTGTGAGGCGTAATGGTCTAACACAATTAAATGAACTGTAGCTCCTGCTCTCTAACTGTAGTGCCTTTCTCTGGCCTGGCCCTCGGCTCCGACAGACACCTGGCTCTGGCTCAAGTCAGGGGACGGAGGGAGAGGTCTAGGGTTAGGGGGAGGGAAGGGGGGTGAGGCTGGGGTAGTCTGACAATAACGGTAATCACAGTCAGGTGGCCGGGGAGGAACCCACCAAGGACTAAAGGTCCTCTTTTTAGGTGCAATGGACACAGGAGACGATATCCTGGTCTTGACGCTGAGATATTCTCTCTGCCCTGGCTGGTCACTGGCTTTAAGGAGGATGTTGCCCATACACTTTAAGTTCAAACACATGTTAGGAGTGTCTGCTACAGATGGAGCCACACTAGGATGACAAAATACAACAGAGTAGGAGTCCAAATGGAAGAAAAACTATAGGGAGAAACTGTATGAGGGAAAAGGGGAATGACGCTTGGAACCTGTTGGCCTAGAATACCTGTGAGCGCCCTGTCTAGAGGACTCAGTGACTGGATGACTTTCATAATCTGCCTCGTCCTCCTCATCCTCCTCTCCTTCCTCCTCCTCCTCCTCCTCCTCCTCCTCCTCTTCTTCCTCGTCCTCTTCTCTGTGGTGAGAGGAGGGATCAAGGGTTGAAAGGAGGAAAGGGAGGATGTAGGCAGGCAAGAGAAAAGAGAAAGTGGACAGAGACAATGAAAACACAGAGCAGAGGAAAGCCCAGGCGAGACAACAGACAGAAATGACAAACACCGAAAGCATTGGAAGAACAACAAGAGAGACAAACATTGAAAGATATTGAAAAGGGTTAGTCGGTTTTCACAACTGTCTAAGTGTCTAACAAAATGATGTAAACCTACAGAGAAATAAAAATTCTTTCTACCTTTTGTTTGATTCAGTCTGCTTGTTATTGTGTCATGTGACTTGTTGCCAGAAGGCAACAGTGGAAACGAGAGTGAGAGTTGTACAGAGGAGAGCCGGTGTCGTCAGAGTTCGTTGTGTTGGAGTACATAAAACGTAGCTTAGTGTTATCTGAAATATTTTTATTGTCATGGCTGCATATTAAGCTGATTTTGACTTCTTGAGCAAAACCTGGTGAGACACAATAAAAACAGACCACATCAATGGAAAGGTTAACTAAACTATATTTCTTTGTAGGGTCCTTTCCATAATATTGTCCGACACTTAAAAAGAAGTCCGTCAGTGGCAAAAAACAAGCACTTTTAGAGGACTTAAACTGACGGAAATGAATTGTCCTGCAATTACATTGCAGCCCGTTTAGCGGCTGCAGTCCACAGCGTTCTCGATCAATTTGAGACCAGTTTCGAAAATTGTAGTCCCCTTTAGTCAGTAGGACACAAAAGGGGAAAATGGGTTAATGTGAAACATACCAAAGTTACCCTTTAATACAAAAAACCCATCGCCCTGTGATTTTAATTGAGGGGAAAAACATTAAATTGAATAACAAGTGTTGGGGATGTAGAAGATATGCTGTTTGCTTGAGCAGATAGTCTGGGATACTTTGTCATTCACAAGTCTGTGGCCACTTTTCTTCTGGATCTGTCTCGGATGTCTGCATTTCATTAACAATATGGAAAATGGTGATCTTCAAAGGCAGCTTGGATTTCCTGTGGTGGACTGGAAGTAGCTAGTCCAGTATGACGGTATCATATGACCTGCTGGACTGAATTTAAGTATACCTGAAGACCTGAGTGCTACCAGGAATATTAGGGCATATGCTAGGCGACAAACAATTCCTAGTTTAAACTTCCTGGCTAATTTTTGTCTTCTCATATATGGCCTATAATAAAAAGTGGAATAATGAATGACTTCATGTGAAGTTTTTTCTGGTGCTTTTACAGGGCATAGTCCAAGCTACTACACAATTAAACAATATTGCGATTTGCTTCTTGCCTGAATTACCAGTTGTGGTTTCTATGAGTTTGTGTAGTCCCAAAGGTTTGCTGTATAAAAAACAGATGGCATTGTGGAGTCTGAGTTAACTCCACTCTCACTGAAGGAAGCATGACTTGAGACAGAGAGCAGATAGCTCATATCATGTGTTTACAGAAGCTTTCTATTTCCATCTGAGGCAGGGAAACGTCTTGACAGTGGGGAAATTAATTCAAATGTCACTTTGCAGTAACAGTCTCCTCTCTGCCGTTCTTTAAATTACTATATAATTAAATTCTCTGCTTTGGCTCTGGACAGAATAGACGCAAGGCTGAAATATAATACAACAGCTATCTCTCAGGGCTTAAAATATACATGATCAAAACAAAACCCAGCTGGCTGAACTTTTAAAACAAGGATGGGACCAAGTTCAAGCTAAAATAGAAGAAAGGATTAAGTTTCTTATTTTCTTTTGAAAATCTTCCACTTTTCCATTTCTCTGTCCTCCCCCGGCCTCACCTCTCACTGATGTCTTCAATGCGTTGGCCACCGAAGGGCAGGAAGCTGCTTGCATGAGAATGAGGGCCGCTGGGTGATGCTGGGGCAGAAGCGTGGCCTCTGCTATTCTGGAGTGAATGTCTCCGGCTGCGTCTTCTCTCCAGGCCTCGCCTCTCGTTGGTGCCACCAACGCTGGCCCGTCTGCGGTCCTTACGGACGCTGGGAGGCAACTGGGTTTCATCGTCTCCGTCCTCATGTCGGAGAATCATCTGGATCAAAGGCATCACAGAGAAACCTTGGCACACGCTTCATTGCTGGCTGCCGTATAAGTGTGTGAGAAGTCATGTGACCTCAGTCGATTGTGCGACACACATGTCCAATAAAGTGACATTAAGGCTAGTTGTGATGAGATAATGTGGCAGTGTATGCTTTCTTACCTCGTAGATGTTGAACTGTTCTACAAGGTCGAGGTCAGAGCCTTTCCTGCTCAGGTGTCTCTGGGCCATGGCTTCAATGCCCTGCTCCTCAAGACAGTCCACCATGTCATAGTATGAGTCCTGGTCCGGGAGGCTTGCCAGAGTCTGAAACACAAACACATTCAATAGAAGAAAAAAAAAAACCACAATAAGAGTTCTAAACTGGTTCATTATATACATGATACTATACAATCCATTCTTATCTTTAATGAAATCAATATGTTGTTGCTGCTGCAACGACTCCTTTACTTAATAAGGGGGAGCGAGAAGAGTGACAATGACTCAGATCCTACTGAAGTCCTTTAAAAAGCTCAATATGACAAAGGCTCTGGCAGATCAGATGACATTTTGGGAACAATGCAGATAAGAAACCCAGAGGGGGTTTGAGAGATAGAGACCAAGAGAGAAGATAAGACAGTTAAGGAGCTAGTTGTATTCTTTCACTGACCTTATTGATGAGTGTCATTGCATACACCAGCAGCTCTGTATCCACTCCATCCTTCTCATCTAGGATCTCCATGATGTTTGACCACAGTTTTGTTTCTGCAGCAGCAAAAGGCATGCAACACATTGTATATCAAAAGAGAAACTCCACCGGGTTATAGTAAAGTCTTATTTAATCCATTTGCTGATCTTAGAGTGTAAAAATAGTTTTGTCATCTCATGGCTCGAGTAAGAGAAATGCAGCCATAGCAGTTTTCCTCTAGAAAAAGTGGCAGTGGAAAAAACAGTGCAGGGGCGAGTTGCACCGGAGCAGCCGCGTGCCTCAGACACAAGTGTCAAGTCCACCTCCTTCTCAACAGGAGTCTGGGGATCAGGTTCAGTCTTCTTACGCAACAGCAGAAGTGACAGGATCGGGGAGCTGAGACAGAGGGATACCCGACCCCAGCACGGCTGATGTTCAACCGCCTGTTGTACAATGTGGAGCCTTTAGAGAGGCAGGTAACTGAACCCTGCTGCAGACAGGAGTTACAGTCTTTCTCAATAAGCCTCGTTCCATGCATAGCTAGAGAGCTTGCCCAGGACAACTGATCTGACTGCTGTGTAACAGGGAACTGTGATCTGCGGTCAGCTGAGCAGCACTACAGCCGCCATGGATGACTTGACTAGAAGAACTGAAGGAGAAATCTATCCGAAATGGGAATTTACATTATTTCATTTTTACATTATTTACGGTATTCCTTTAATATTTCACTGCTGGTTTCACTTGAAACATTTAACAACAGCGAATTACAACTGATACAATGCTAATTTTATTTTAGAGGTATGAAAACAATCTGTTATTAGCTGGAAAAAAAACATTCATGTAAAACTAATTTGGTGTAATACCTCACGCGATGAATCGACAGAGTCTGGCAAGGTCTTGATGCCCTGATAGTCTGTCTGCAGGTATTGACTTTAACATCCCAAAGTCTCCCTAATGCTCACCTCTTTTGGCATCCACAACGTTCACAGCCTTTATGAGCAGGGCGGCGTTAGACTCGGTGTACTCCACAAACACCAGCAACAGCTTTAGGGCTGTCTTCACCACCAGACGGAACTACACAAAGAGAAAAATACAGTACACACAGAAATCACAATGTGACAACAGCCCCTAAATCCAAGCATGTACCACACAATCCACTTCATTTCAACTGTAAATGTAATGCTTTTGCTCAAAGAAATGGACCAGCTCAACACGGGTGATGCGCCAGCACTTCCGACTATTACTGGTATCCTATTGTCTAAAAAAAGCTTTTCCTGTCTGAGACGACTTGAGAGTTTGATAAGAACTTCCTGTGACAATCAGAATAAAATAAAAGACTGGACTATAACAAACAGTTAAAGGGACTTAAAATACTGTTGCAGTCGACTAAAACTCTAAATTTACACTTATTAATTTGCTTGAGAGTGACAATTGATCATGTCAGTGGTGATAAAAGCAGTGTTAATTTAGTAAAATTTTTGTCTAAAGAGCTGCCACATCAGCACTACCACGACAAGCGACACCCCAGTCAATGATCACAGTCAAAATGATAACTGACAGTGGAAATTTGCCATATAAAATTATTGGGAAAACAGGGTTTTGATATTTTTTTTAAATAATAAAAAAAAGATGAATGCCAAAAACTATTTCAACACGAGAAGGCAGAGAGAGTGAAGAGTTAACGTAGTTCCCTCCTCTGCTGCAAATATGCTTCACATTACAGAATCTGACCACTAGAGGGCCGAGGGGATCACAATGACAGAGGAAGGTATGTGAGGAGTATGTGATTATTTCAATGTCGTCAGTGCACAGATGGGTTTGCTGAGTTGATTGTAGAGTATATCTACTGTGTTTAGTGTTCATAATCTTTACCTTGGATCCAACCAGAGTGTAAAGCCACTGGACCGTTTCAGTGTGAGATATGAGGCCGTTCATCCCATCCACATACAGCATTATCTGACCGAGAGCTGGAAAGAGAGAGAGACAGACAAAGAAAGAGATGGAGTTTGGTTAATCATCTGCCATTTAAGTTTTTTTTTCTTCTTTTCACAAAAAACTGTCCACATTTGTCCTGCTTGAAGAACTAGAAGAACAGTAAATGTTTGCTAAAAATGTTTGGGGTCTGTTATTAACATTGAGCACGATTCTGAGTGGGAGCATTTCTACGCAAAGCAGGTGAAACTTTAACAGCAAAGTCTCATCTGGTTTGCCTTAGAGTCCAAGAGAAACCCTAAAAATGCCCCTCTATCTTTGTTTTTAGCTAATTATGAAGCGTTTATGTATATAATGATGTAGCACAGAAAACAGAAAATTGACCATCATACCACTTTTGTACAACTCACAGTGTAATGCAAAATAAAAATAAAAAAGCATGCGCATCCAGATGCTAAATACCAGGTGCTGGACAGAAAAGCATGTAAAAGATGTAAAAAAAATAGGGAGAAAAAATACAATCTCACAATCTTCAGCCCACCCTATATGTCCGTAAAGAGGACCTACACAGTAGTATCTGACCAATGACGTCGATTTTTCAAAGAATGTTCTGTGGCTGTCACATATGCACGTATAACAACCACACAGTTGCCAACAAAATGTGTTTTGTTAGTGAAAAGGCTTCATAATGTTCCTCTGCCCATCATGATTAAACAAAACAATTGGGTGAGGACCTAAAAAAGAAAAATGACTCTCGTCCCTCAAGTCAGTGGACAAAAATGGAGGGAAATATTTCAGCGCCTTGAGTGCCTCACTGGATGCTGACATGACTTCCAACTGTAACAGGATACATAAATAAGTACATGATAAGAGCCAAGGGATCTCTATGGGGGGGCACTACAAGTGTAGGACTTCTGTTAAAGGAGGAGATGGGGGGGGGGGGGGGGGGATAAACACTGCTGGAAAGAAGTGGAACAGACAAAAGCTCCTTTTAAATATGTAGCTTTTTTTTAAACACCATCTCAGTGGCCATCCACGGGGTACTTAATGCATTCACACAGAAGACCACAGCAACAGGATGAGCTCAGCTTGAACCCACTGCAACTTTAGGTGATACATTAGCTGACATGTGGGGAAAAAAAGCTTAGTTGTATAAACACGTGAAGACATTGAAAGTGGAACATTTTTGGAAGGCCTGGTTGATAGTTCTTGGCAGAAGCTGAATAGCTTTTTTCTTTTTTTTAGGGGGGGGGGGTAATACCTAAGAGAACTTTGGGAAAAAGACAGGAAATTCCTGTCTTTTTCAAATGTGACAAAAGGTGATGAGCTTGTGCTGATCAAGTACAGAAAGGAGTAGCTGGAGACTCCTTCATGGGCCGCAAAGCTGACACACCAGGTGTTTTGAGCTGTTAAAAATAACATAGAAACTGTCAGAGTTCAATCTTTGACCAATAACTAGATAAAATACTTAAACAGACTTATTGAGGGCTCTTAAACAGAATGTCATGTAATCTCCTCTTGCCATGTTTCTCCAGACATGTTATGATGAGATTCTGTCATATTTTTCCTCTCCTCTTCTCTAGGGGGGTATGAAAATCATGAATATGCTGTAGATAAGCCAAAATTCCCAGGTGCAGCTGCTGTGTGTGCATGGTGCGTGAGAGTCTGTGGGTGGGTGGATGCATGAGTGCATGTGTGTGTGTGTGTGTGTGTGTGTGTGCATGCTGACGGCCCGCTGCAGCAGCAGCAGGGGCAGTTCATCTTTTATCAATCAGGGTTAATTACTCACAACATGTCAGGCCGGAGCATTCCTAACAGTCCTCTCCTGCTGCGAGCTCAGCTTGGACAACATGGTGAACCAAAGCGGACCACATCAGAGTGTGTTTATGAAAACATGATTAACCTCCTCAGTCAGCACGGGCCAGAGTGTCACCTTCTCCTGTGACTCCCCCCCCCCCTTTGTATGAGATCACCGCTGACAGACGAGTGACAGCAGTAATGACATGACCTACAGCTGGTCTATTGAGTCCAGAATGGATTCCTAAGGTTTGGAAAAAAAAAAGAAAAGATCTAACTAGCATGTAAAAAGTGGCTAAACTAACTATTAACAGTAACTCTTTATACACAGACGCAAACAGCTGTGAGTTTTGCTGACTGAGAAGGGAATCTACGTAATTCTTTTTCAAACTGGTAGCCGATGTCTGACCTGCAATATCATCACTACGCAGACTTTTATCTCTGGTGTGCACCTGTGTACAGTATCTGGTGAGGTTTTGAGGAATGTCCCATTGAAAACACGGGTGAGAAAAGATAGGTGGCCTTAATGAGGCTTTTTAAAGTGTTATTACGCAACATGAATGTTCAGCTGCTGACAGATGAGACGTTACTGATTGTTCCCTAAAGTCAACCACAAAATCAAATGACTTTTAGACCATTCTGACATATTATCATAAGACGTTATTTAAAGATATCAACGAAAGGTTTTGGGCTTTTTTTTTTTAAACTGTATGCATGTAGCCAAGTAAAATAAAATCTGAGTGAATGTCTACATCATGTTCATCTAATGTAGTGTGCAGTTGAGATACGGAAACAATATGATATTCAAACACTTATGAACGACGCCAGAAACCACAAAAAAATCATTAACTTTTCTCTCAGATTCATTAAAACGACTGCTTCTTGGAATTATTCAATGCCAGCTGCCATTTATGTACAGTTCAACTTTGAGTTCCAGAAACCACATGGACTGCAGTTACCCTGTGAACAGTTGGGTAAAATGACACTGTAACTGTTTGAAAAACAAACAAAAAAAAAAAACACTTTCATTGTGGAAAACTGCAAACTTAAGGGTCTGGTCAGAAACTGTCCAAAGGAAACGTCTAATGACTCTCAAAACATTCGCCTTTTGTGAACTTCAAATGGAACTGATTTCCACACACTTGTGAGTAAATTAGTCGTGAAACTGCTCCGGAAAATGGAAAGTTACCTGTGAGTTGCAGTTCAGGCTTTAAAAGTAAGATTAAGTCATTATAGTATGGTATACTTTCCCAGCGTTGTAACTTTCTGAATAGCTGAGTGTGGGTCCAGAACATAGGATTTGTTTTTAAACTCTAAAACAGACAGTCATCAATAACTTTGGAAGAGGGTTAATAAGAAGAGCATGTGAGTGCTCAGTCTGTACAGGACAGACTCCACTGATCTGGGGCCAAAAATGTGGGGCCTCCATTCGAGTAATCATGAGCAGCTCTATAATACCTCACACAAAGTACAACAATAACACCGCTAAGTCCCTTTGCATGTATGTCACGTAATGAGATGTTGGCAGACAACGAGCTGCCTTCAAAGCTCAGTGATTAGAATTTAAATGTATGCCATTATGGGAAAGGATAGATGGGGAAGAAAGATTTAGCTAAAAAGAAACTTGGAAGTGTTCAATGAGCAGCCTGGCACTCTCACACTCCCTTTCTTTCAATACTTAACATACGTTACGAGTGAAGAGAACACTTGAACGATATCCAGCTGCAGAAGGGAACCACACACACACACACACACACACACACTGTGTGGAAGAGACAAACCCTGTTCCTGTGTCTGAACCAGAACTCTGAGAGGAGTAAAAACGAATGCAACTGAGGTCTGGTGGAAGTGTTTCTTCAGGGCCTCTCCCTCTCATAAACCACAGCAATTATCTTCCACAGCCCCAGGAATGTGCAGGAAGGGCTGCTCCCTGACCACTGCCGAGGTGAGAAGCACTCTGAGGTCTGGGTGGCAGCGCCGACACGAGCCAGCTGACTTGGGGAAAAGGCACTTATCTGTGAAGTTGCAAGAAATCAACTCAACAGCTTCCCCTCTATAAGACCGTTCCCCACTACTACTTTGGTTTCATTTACATTTTGGAATTCATCAAAACTGGGTCGGCCAAACGGTCTGACAGCAACATGTATGTTACAAGGACTTGAACCCACCTGAGCTAATTGGGGTTTATTGCAAAGTCTGGAAAAAAGATATCTTTTAATGTAGATTCTTGTTCTATTGTGGCACCATAATTATAGTAGATTATTTTAAATTCAAGAGTAGTGTCCACGCTAGACTTTGGGAACACATGGAAAGAGACACTGGTTTGTCCATAGTGATCCAGCAAGCGCTTGAACATTACATTACTGACATTTAACATGACTACATCATTGCCTCCAGCTAACTTCTCATTTAGAGCCTGTCTACCATAAAAAGACCCGTTAATACGCATGACAATTATTAACTGAATAAGACATGTTCATGATACGTTCCAATTGTTATTCAGCTAATGACGGAGACCATTAGAGCCAGACAAACGGCCTCCGCCAGACCAATTCAGAGCTGACTGCCAGACTTACATTGAGCCCCATACAGTAAAACAACAGGGGGATGCTTCCATTTTCTGTCCGGAATACTTAGTATTTGACACAATTTACTGAGGGCCCAAGCCAAAACAAATTCCCTACAGACAAACAAACAAACCTCATGGAACAACAGCATGAAGTAAGGCAGGGGAGCCTTTCCAGTATTTGGCTGAGCAAGCTCTACAGGCACCGTGAGCCGAGTAGACTACAACACTGCAAAGAAATTCAAAAGGTTAATACATGTAATATTTCTCCATTTCTTCTGCATTCAAAATAGTATAAAGCAGATAGATTTCAGTTTATACAGTACTGCATTTCAGAACATCCCGTTAGGACAATGAACAACTGGGGAAAGCCCAAGTGGGGAAGACTTTGGAGAAAAGCTACTGCATGCCATCCACCCACTCGTAGAGTGAACTGAAAGATGAGCTGCGGTAAATTCTTACAACTCTTGAGAGAGTAATGGTGTGATTCGCTCTGGTTCTGGCCAGCCATATGCTGAATTCAGTCCCAAAAAACAGTCAGCTCTCAGGAATCAGCTGTAAAAAACCCACTCCAGTGCTGAGGCTTTCAGTCTATCTGCCCGTGTGCTACATTACTGCAAAAGATGTATTTATTTTCCAAATTATAGTTTATGTATCTTAGAAGGCAAGGTCGGAGATGATAAAGTAAGAGCTTTAGAAATGAACCAAATCAAACAATCTTAGAATATAATTGGCTTGTATACTGAATTCTGTTAAAGTAAAACATGCTGCAGCGTTATGATTCCACTGCCAGTCGGTTTGCTAAGGCTGAAAACTTCTACAGATGAAGGGAGAAGAAAAAGGGGGAAGGCAGAATTTAGGTCAGGCAGGTGGGGTTGAATTGGGTTCAGATGCAAGCCGTCTGCTCAAGTGAGGGGGATCTAAAGGGGGCTGTGGGGGGCTGCAGGGTCTGACACAGAGGGAGAACAGGGTGGGACTAATCTTAACCAAAAACATGACAACAGCATATGTTTCTTTTTTACTTGATTCCTTTACTTGCTATCCTGTGAGTAATGTTAAAGTGACAGGTGGTGTATGAAACAGTCCATAGAGTACATTTAGCAGCTATTGTGTTTGTATGCAGCGACACACACTTTTGGTACACAGACGTGCCACTTGATGTTCTGTCTTGCTGATCTGCCACATGTAGAATGTAATGCCACCACACGGAGAAACACTATAGTGAACAACAACAACTTAAACAAAAGGGTCTTGTGTTTCAGGTGCACTTGTTAAAAAAGGCTGCTGTCCACTAGCATGACTGCTGAAAAGCTGGACTGAGTGCTGTTTTTGGAGCAGTGTTCCAGGTCACAGACAGTTTAAGAGGCAATGAAATACCTGACTAGAGCACATCTCCCTTTCCCACCACGGCCCTCTGAGCAGCTCCCTCTGGAAACGAGGAAGTCGAGGTGCTGTAACTTATGGCATCATAACTGCCATGTTATTAAAAACAGAGGATCTGAAAATGGTAGCAGGTGAGGGAGAGACATACGCAGATAGAAACAGAAAGATGATACATAATGAAATATGGGCATGATATATTTGATACAGTAATACTTTTGGACTTTTCACGGCACAACGCCCAGTTCTGTAGATGCTATAAATTCACCAATATAACTTATAGCGTGGAAATATGGCCCTCTGGGTAATTTATGTAATGTTTAAGAATGTATTTTCCCAAAAATGTATCCAAGACTGCTTCTAAAGGTGTAAAAAAAAAAAAAAAAAGATTGCTTCCCTAATTTCCAATAGATCAAAAACTTAAGCTTAACTTTCAATTTGGTTCCACTGAGACTTAGAGACGGCTGGTGTTTTGTAAACAACAGTGTGCAGACAGAAATGGCACGGCCTCGAGGAAGGGCAAACATCGAAAGTGTTGCTAAAAACATAGCTGATGGTGATGAATGTCAACAGTGAACATTTCAAAGCCGGGAATAATTGCTTCAAGTTGACCGAAATTGGTTTGTCTTTAATCTGCTCTCTCTCTCTCTCTCTCTCTGCTTCTCCATTTCACAGAAACCAATTATACAGAGTTGTTTCTTTTGTTAGTGCTCTTTCTGTAAATACTACAAGTGGAACAATGATCCAGGAAAAAACCTTGTTATTTGTTTTCCACCTTGTCTCCCAGTGTTCCTCATGATAATAAGTACCATAGGGATCTTTTTCTTACCACACTGAAGAAGTTTGAGATTCAAAGCAGAAACGTCTTTGACCTTTTGAACAATCTGCTTTCATTTTATGGCAGTTAGAGTACTTACTGTGCTGTCAACACTTACGTGTTACTGTGACAACCTATGTATATATTTATTTGTTTGCTTCTAGCATTGCTGTATAGACATTTTCTTTAATTGTTTTTAAATATTTTGACTCAAAGAAAAGGTTTCATACATTTTTCTAAAACCTGGGTTGAAGATTAACTTTGATCGAAGGTTAAAATGTATAAATAAATAGTTTAAAAAGTAATAGAGTGAAAAAGAAACATCACTTTACAACCCCATGAGACCTCAAATTTAACATAAAACATTAAATATGAAATATTCCCTCAACATTCACTTCATCAACTAAAGATTTATGATTTCAACAACTGTTTTAGAAAGATTATAAATGAACATCGATGTTCTGTGTTGAATTAAACATGAATTAAACCTCAAATGCTTATTTCAAAATGAAGAATATCCCTAATGAGCCCTCCATTACCTTCTTGGCCCCTGCGTGTTTGCAGCACTTCACTATGACTGAGTGAGTGTAAGGCGTACAGGAGGACCAGATGGCATCGGCACCTCTGAAAAAGTGACCTCACACCCTTTCCCACTGATGGGGTGATAAAGGCATACAGGCTTTCCCCTGGGCCAAAAACGCACGCCTCCAAGGAGCTAAGTCCAGCCCTGGAAGCCCTCCGAGCCAGGTGCGAGGGGCCCGTAGAGGGGATGGACCCCAGCCATGCAGACCCAGAAAATACCCACATCACAGATGGAGCACTGACTGGCCACAGACACCTCCAGGGCTTTGAAAAGAAGGAATGACAAAGTGAGTAAAAAGAAAAAAGTGAGATGGTGTAGATTGCTGGGAGGAACTCCCATTTACAATGACGGCAATGTTCCAGAGAGTGAAGGCTGGGAACCTGTTCTTGTAAAATGCATGCAGACTGGTGTGCACGTGTGACTGGGCCTTTTTTCATCTACAAAAGAACCATAAGATTGATTTTTATTCATGAAAGAGAGCAAGATTGTTTTGTCGGGAGGTTTTTTAATGCACACCAGACAGAGGCTGCATACCTACCTTTACTGGCCTTAACTTAAAGACCTTATAGTAAAAAACCCACATATAAGGAGTGATCAATGTTTGATCAATTACTGTTGTTGGTTCTCTCTCTCTCTGCACATGTAGAAATGTCATGCATCTAATATATTTGCCTCCTGGGAAACCTTATGATATAGCTCCTCTTGGAAGTCATCAACAGTAAAGCAGCCAGATCTAGATAGATTTCGGACCTGTGCATCTGCGTTCCAGCACATGCTCGACTTGTGTTCTCCAACACATGGCTCACGAGGGAACGTCATCTGCTACTCCACATTTCCTCACCTGGTCAGGGGAAATTAGGTCAGGAGTTGAAACAGGCTAAACAGGCTTTTGGGAGAATGGTAGTTTGGTTTAGTCTCTCATGGTGATGCAGAGATACATGAGGGGAAACTGCAGAGTCTGCAGAGATGAAGTGATAAATTAGCACATCAAAGTTTAAAGAGAGTCCCACAGAAACACACTGACACAGATGTTTTATCTGAATTCTCTGGGAGGTAAAGGGAAAAAGGACAGCACGATAAGGAGGAGTGAAAACATACGGGAAGTGGTGTCATCATTCACAGCACAATGACACTAACAACTCTTACATATGGTCAAGTTTCCAAAAGCCTGTCATTCTCATCCTAAGGGACCAGTCCAAGTTCAGATGAAGCATCAAACATCAAACTTCAGAACCTGCAGTCTTGGTGGGGGTCACGTTCCTGTTTAAAACTAGCCCAGTGGGCAATACCAGTACTTTGTCACAGACATCTGCCCTTTGGGTGGTTAGAACAGCACAGAGGATTGTGGGAGTTACCCTGCCTGACCTGGACACTGCGTATGCTGGCCGTCTCCAGAAGAAGGCCAGAAACATCCGCACAGACATCACACACCCGGGTCACTCTGTTTATTCCATTACCATCAGGAAGGAGATACAGGACCATCACAACCCGGACCAACAGGCTGAGGAACAGCTTCTTCCCCAGAGCGGTTTCCTCCATCACCCCCCTACCCCCACCCACCACCCCACCCAGCTCACACCGGACAGTGCTGAAACAAATATAGTCAATAACACGACACTTTAACTAAGCACATCTTTCACTTTGAAGCCATTGATGCCTGTGCTTTATCTTGTTTTATCTTGTATATATTTATTTTATGTCTTGTTTCAAATCGTCTTGTCTTAATGTTTTTATACACTTTTTTCGTTGTATGTTCGTACAATGACAATAAACATCCTTATCCTTATCCTTTGCTCTTTGGTTTTTTCAATAACAGAAAAGGTCAACTATGAACAGGTTGGAAAATTTGAGCGCAAGCATTTATGAACATGCATCATCTAATTGAATAAACATGAGTGGGGGTAACATCTGATTGAAATGTGCACCCCAAATCATAAGGGTCAAGTACACTGTGACTCCTTTAAACAAGGAATTATGAATAAATAACAACAGAGGTGTCTGGACTATAACACTGTAGTCTTATATGAAACCTTTAACCACAAAAGTTGAATTCACTTTGAAAAATTAGAATAACTGATGATGTTCTGGCTCAAGTTGCTTGACAGAAGTGCAGCAATTTTCATTAAAAGATAAGGGAACATATGAGGAAAAATATCAATGAAAGAAAGTAAAAAAATAGAGAGGAGGGGACATTTTTATGATTTGCAATATCCTGCCAGAACTTTTATTAGCTACTTAAGCATGTGTGACTTGCCCCCTCACAGAAGGCTGTAGTGACCTTGCAGCGGGTGCTATGAATCCCTTGGTCCTCTAGTATCCCCGAACAAGCTGGCCCTGCCCCTCCCTCACCGTGACAGAGATGACCCTTCACCTTACCAACATGGGAAGGAATCATTAACCAGCAGCTAAACTTGGCTGAGCTTCCATTATCTGTGGCACACATTTGAGCTTGTATTAGGTGTGTGAGTGTGAGAAGGTGAACAAGCACAATCATCAATTTACGTGGTGTATGTAAACACATGTGGTTCTGGATAGGTTTATGGAAGGAAACGTGTTGCAGGATTGATTGATGATAACATCCTCGATTAGCATGTGTTGTAAGTTGAGGTGTGAGAACGTAGAGAGGAAGAACGTATGCAGTGAGTTTATTGGTGAAAGGGAATGGTGCTGTTCTGCAGATGACGTACCCCTGAGGATGTAATTCTGGTAGTTCTGGTCTGCTTCAGCGCCGACTTTTATCAAACACGTCAGTCCTTCCTCCACCACAAACTCATGCACCAGGTCCTTGTCATCCTGGAAAGAGGTCAAGGAGAAACATGGGAATATTCATCATAGACACAACCAGAGACTATATTGTTTTAATAGTTATTTCTATTAAACAATAAAAATGTGATAGATTTAGTTCCAGCTCCCACCACATAAGTGCCATTACTTAAACCTTTGAGTGTGTGTATGTTGGTTGCAAATCACTGGCATGCAGAGAAATGGTGATCTGGGATGTGTTGTTTAACAGCTCACACAAGGCTTTCCAATTACTGAAAAGAGTTTTACGTGAAAATAAATAAATCAACCGCCAAAACAAATGCAGGAACTGTTGATTTATGCTGGTCACCTAATGTTAACACATTATATGTCTTCTGCACGAAATGGAGAAATGACTGCTTCAAGCAGAAAATGTGATGAAACAAAAGAGACGACTCTTTCTATCGCTTTAACAAAAACAATTAGCGGAGAGAACAAGTGCTCAGACTTCTTAATGCCATGTAGCATTTGCCAGAGCGCATGGGAACATTTGTCATTTCAGCCTTCACAAAAGTATCTATTTGTTTACATTCAGTTATAGCTAGTGCATGTGCAATGAGCAATGCACTCCTCCTGTTGCTTAGGCCTCCCCACTTCATTCCATATTTCGTCTTCCATGACAAAAGCACCTGCATCTCTCACACGCGTTGATGACTCTAATCTAAGACTCTGTTATTGACGACTATAACACGTACAATGCACTACTGCGATAAGAAATACTGATTTCAGGCCAGGTGGATATTTTATTCCACAACAAGAATAATCAATATACTCTTCAATGGAATCCCCAAAAAGCCACTCGTAGCGCATAAAGTGAGATATTCTAATCTATTCTGGGCCTGCATCAGCATCTGTTGCTCTCTTTTCCATCCAACTGTCGGTTAACCCTCCCCCTCTATGGCCGACTGCCCGCCAGCCCAGCCCAGCCCCAGTGCGTGAAGTATGACCAGACCTGAACACTCCACAGCTGCCACGAAGGCAGACTCTAAGCAACACAACCCTGCCTCAACAAAACAATGCTGTGTCCAAGTGTGAGTGTGCATGTGTGCACTGATGCATGTGTGCACGCTACATATAGTTCTTGCATGTTAATGTGTGTGAACATTCAAAGGCATAACCAGAGCCACGGCAAAAGATATATCATATGCTGACAAATGCTGCAAATTGAAAAACAATGCCTATATGAGATCATGATAAAAATGTTGTAAAAATATATATTTCTTAAGGATCCAGCAAAAATGCAAAGACTTAATATTGTCTAGAGTATATAGATACCTGAAAAATCTGCTTGAGGGAAAAGAGGGCTCTCCGTAGCTCCCGTCCAGTCGAGTTGTAGAGCTTTTCTGTGAGAGAGAGAGAAATGGAAAAGAGTGGAAAAATCAGCTGACAGTCAAATACATGGCATCTTTCTACGATGTTGTCATACAAAAAGTGAATAAATGAAATTGACAAACATTCAGGAACATTATAACTTCCCTAGAGTTCCTGTCAACTACTGTTTTAGTGTGTCACTTGCATCGCACACAATGTTTCCACATGAACTACACATTTCTCCTTCAAAATCCCTTCCTCATGTCTGCGTCATGCACACATCATTGGCAGCAATTATCCCCAATAGCTGACGGTGAAAGATGTCCTGCAAGAATAGTAGTGAGAGCAAAAGAACAGTAGGAACAACTCAGAGCACATCTGTGGAGAGTTAGTGAATAGTGGATGTTTCCTGCTGACAAAGCCATATCTGTAGCTTACCATAATACAAAGTCAAGGCAGAAACTTAAGCCAATAGCCACCACAATGGTGAAAGAAACAATACACCCATTAATCAGTTATGGAAACACCACAGAGCACTAAAGGGGAGGTATGATGGATGACAGATGCTTGTGATTGAGGCAAACATGTCCTGCAACTACTTTGACGATCCTTCACCCTGTGTGCAGTCTCCAGAGTCTGCCAGGGAGTGGCAGTCTTGAGCTCAATCCTTGTAGCTCACTCATCACTGCTGTGTGAACTCTCTCTGACTCAGCAAAACCTGCCTCTTTACTGCTGCAGATAAAGCAGCATACAGTAGAGTCCAGAGCAGTGCATTTTAGTACGCTCTCTGACTGCTTCTCTCTCAGTATTTTCTTCTCATTCGCCCATTGCTTTTCATTGGCATTGAATGCCCTTTAACAGATACTTTCTTGTCTTAGTCAGCAAAGATCTGACAAGAGACTTGCATGCATACAAATATGGCATTAACACAGCATGGCAGTTTCTCTCTCTCTCTCTCTCTCTCTCTCTCTCTCTCTCTCTCTCTCACACACACACACACACACACACACACACACACACACACACACACCCTACATAAAGCACTGTGCAATGTGTCTCTAGTCTGTTTGTTGCACCACCGCAGCTGTTGCAGTCCTGACCGGACAGGCAGGGTTTATCACTGTAAAATCCAACCCCATTGTGAAAAGGAAGATTTCAGAGAGAGCATGTCAACACTAGAAAAAATAAAATAATATATTGGTCTTAACAATGCTAAATATGAGTCAAACAACTTGCTGCTATGTTCCAGGACATGTCATCGCAGGGTAAGGTTGTGCACAGTAGTGTAACCCTAAACACTTATTACTCACATATATTATTAGTGTAATCCACTCTACTTCAGACAGACAAGACATTGGACATGCATCTGTAATCCAGACAACCTAGTTTTGGGCCATATGTGGTTAAAAGGCTCCCACTTGATGATGCTGCATATTGACATGAAACGGTTCCAGCAGAGTTGCTTATCTTTAGACGATGTCTTGTTTCAAATTTATGACTCTAATGGTATTTGGTACAAGTGCAGCCGAGTTCTTTGAATGTTTTGTGCACTCAGTGCCGTATATGGGTCGGATGTATAATGAGCAGATTGGTCTAGTCCCAGCCAGTCACTGGCAACATCCAAAAGGAATAAATCATCCAGAGGTATTATGAGGGGAAGCTGTGCGATGTTGGTGATTTGTGTGTTTACATATGACAGGAAGGAACTGTGACCGGGCCTTTTTGGCTCGGGCCCCCCAGCTGTGGAACTCCCAGCCTGAATATCTCAGGGTTGCCAAGTCAGCATCATCTTTTAAATCTCCTCTCAAAACTGACATGATATTTGCAATAGTACTCCTTTTTTAATCTTCTGATTCTGTTTTACAATTCATCATCATTCTGGTAAAACACTCTGTAACTCTATTGATAAAAGTGATATATAATTAAATAATAACTCATTCATGTAGAAATACCCCCAAAGAGCAAAACAACACTGTACATTTGATGCTTCCTGTGCTTTTATGCAGAAAGATGACTGCTCTTCTCCGTCAATTTCAATGTATCTACAATAAATGACATTGACATTTTTTTAAAAGTCGATACAGATTTATATATTTAGTCTTTACCTGCATCTGTGGTTGATTCTACATCATGTAAAAAGCAACAAAGTCTTTTTAACTTTTGCACCCTCCCCTGCAGGTCAAGGTAGGGCCACATCCATTGCCCTCCACCTCAGGGAGATGACTCTGAGTTTAGATTAGGGATCTCTAAACAGACAAGCTCTCAGATCACTGGAGCGAAAAGCCAGATGAAAACACTCTGGGTTACTCATCACACCTTCACAATACAAAGCAAGCTTGATTTGTGGTCCTACTTCAACCCAAGTCTTGAATCAGTATGCTCTTTTTCCTCTCAAAGCCGTAACTGCACTTCCTCGTGGACATTGAATGTTAATCAGTCAACAGATAAATTACACCCAGCACTGCTGAACAACCATTGAAGCCCAGATCACAGCATAGCACTACAGCAGTGATGCATCAGCACCTGGGCTGCCAGTGGGTTTGAATAAATCCCAGGAGCATGTTTCATATGTGTGTGTGTGTGTGTGTGTGTGTCAATCAGCTACAGCATGGCAGTGAGACATCTTCCATGCAGAGTTCCACTGCCATTCACCTCAATAACTCAGAAAGTTATTCCTGCCCAACACTAAATTAAGCCCATCTGCAGGAACAGACAGTCCCTGCCCTGTCCCTGTTCACAGTCCACACAACGATGCGCCTCCTGGAGGCCCATCTCTAATGAGAAATAGCTCAGTGGAGATTAGTTCCATACCATTTGGCACAGATATGCACCCAAAGTATGGTCCCTCTGCATTTCTCTCTTTCGGAAAAGAACCTAGGCACAAATGTATTCAGAGGAAATGTTTGTGAACCCCAACTCTCATAGTCTTCGTTTACCTGAATGAAGACTATGAGACATTTGCCATGGATTTATTATTGGGCCATGGCAAACCTAGGGCGAGAAGAACAAAGGAAGTTATAATGGATAACACATACTGTAGTTTGGACACTGCAAAACATTCTGGGCACTTGTAGCTCTTTACGGCCTGGCCTGGTAATATACCCTTCTAATGTCAACAATTAGTCCACAAAGAGGCATCTAACCATGTTGTCAATTACTTTACATACTGCAAAACAAGACTTGCTTGAAATAAAAAATAAAAAATGCACGAGTGCAGCTGAGGACAAGCAGCCCATTTTGTTTTCTTGTCACCTTTACAATCCCCTCGGGCTTTTACTGACAAGAACCTGACAAGGAAATGACTCAACAGAGTGAGGGTTTTGTTTTTTATGCCTTATATTAATGTACCATATAGAGAGCAGCTGTTTTCTGCTCTTGAATTGCAATACACAGTCACATTTTCTCAGCTGGAATAGCTACAGGGATGTAATGGTCTCGTAATTATAACAATCATAAAGGTAGTAGTGGAATTTCTATAATCATCAGGAATGTGCTCAACTACCCGGAGTAGAGGAACGAAGAGAAAACCTGCTGTGGGGGGCCTGGTACATTCAGACAGGCCAGGACTTCACCAACTTTGCTGCTGCTGAAAAAACAACTTTTAGAAGGAAATCTGTCTTGTGCTTTTTCGGATACCTACTTTTCGGAGTCTCTGTGTCAGTGCCAGTACATTCCAGTAATGCTTTTTTGCACAAGTCAATATGTCACTTTTTATCTAACTCCGCATGCCGATCTCAACCCAAGACCCGTCCCCACCACTCACTCACTGCTAGACAGATAACAAATTATTTGCAAACAAATTTTCCAATAAAGCCACTAACAGTTCTCATTTTACATCTGCAAACACATCTAACACTCTCAGCTACTCATCCGTTTGCATGGCTTTGTTTCCAGAAAGTGCCATAAAATGTAAAGGATGACTACCACTGCTCATGCTTCCCACCGCAGGCAGAACACATAAACCACATCCAAAGCACAGCCAGGAAACCCACAAGGACCCCACTGGGCAGGACAACCCTGCACACAGTGCTGTAAATTAAACTGTGTTTTCTTCAGGAGTGGAGCCGTCAGACAAAAAGCTGGAGGGGAGGATCCATAGAGTCATATTGGTGATCGTCTACAATGCACAATTAAATCAAAAACTTTCATGTGGGATGAAGAGATGCTCATGTTGAAAAGAAAACAGTACAGTATGATACCATGGTTTTGCTAATAAGCTGGGAAGAAACAGCCAAAAAACAACATCACCCACTTAGCCGACCCCTACTGTTGCAACAAGAAAACTAACATAAGTAAAAAACAAAACATAGGGCATAGGACATAGGGGAGATGAAAGCTAAACAATGGTAGAGTATCTCAAAATTTGATCTGCTTAATGCCAAAGCTCTATTTTGGCAATGATACCACTGATAACACCTTTTCCTCTCACCCTGTCACTATCTCAAGCATAGCTGAAGTTCAGCTATGAGTAAAATCGGGAGTGATGATGATTGACTTTCCTATCTGGATAAAACAGGTGGATCCTGGTTTGGATGTGTTTTTGTGTAGCTTTGCCGGAATAAAGGTCAGTGTGTGCAGCAAAGCTCTGGTCTGGTCAAAGCTGGACCGTGGACCTCATGGACCCAGCCAGCGCCTTGCCCATGTCTGCATTTAGCCCCGTCTCAGAGAGCCCGAAGCCCGTTCCACTGGTCAGTAAAGCCCACAGACTCTGTGAGAGGTGACGGCGGTCAGACTGAGCTCAGACAAACTGTAGCCATCTGTGAGACCACAGTCTCGTGTGTGCCAGCACCGCCACATCACTGCCTGCCATATGTAAGGATACAGGGACCCATCTTTCATTTTTGTCCGCTGGTATTTTCATGAGAAGCCTTTGAGTTTACAGTATGCGTAATGGCCATCTGCAGTCACGAAACACAGCAGCACAACAACATCAACAGTACTTCCTTCTCATTCTTTCCCTTTCTCCTTTCTCACTCTGTAAGGGAAACCTCCTGTTCCAACATTTATGAAGAGAAAACACAAGTAATTAAGG